GTGGGTCGAATGTAACACGGGGGGTCTGTCCAGATTAAAGTTTTGTCTACAAAGGCGTCAATCTTCACTGGAGTTACAAGCGGTTGAAAGCGTTTTGAACGTCGGGAAGGCGTCACCGGAGTCGACTCCATCGCTGGAGAGAAAGTGGTGTCACAAACGCGTGACAAGCGCGTCAGTCACCGAAGGTGGCATTATATTGTTTCAAGACTACCGCGACAACTTAAAAATGCAGTGACTTGACTGATGCCATTCTGCTTGTCGTGACGCACCGGCCACTCGTTCAAATCATTATCTACATTAAAAATCTGTGACCTGGCATGTTCATGCTTGCGGCTAGTGCTGTGGGCAGAACTAACTCAAGGTAGTTCTGCCGGCAGAACTGGCAGAACCTGGCAGAACCATGTTCTGCCAGCATGGCAGATGGCAGAATTTCATAGCGCTAGAGTACTAACTACATGGATGTAAGACCACTTGACAGCAACATAGAATCAATATTCCAAGTCCCATCTTCATTCGCATCATGATCTGCGACCATAATCTCATCCTCTATCGTGGTAGGCACTAATCCCTCGTTGACATGCCGCAGTTCCACAAAGTCGAACGCTCTCCCTTCCAACACTTCCTTCCTATCCACATCCCAGTTTGAGGCAAACTCCATCATTTTTTCCGTGTTACGAATATCTTCAAGACGAGAAAACTCAGCATCAATGTCATCGAGTGAGATCGATTCACTGCTTCGAGATTGTCGCCGGAGACTGCTGAAAGTGGAGGGACAAATGCGAAGTCGGTTTCGAGCTGCTTGGCAACGTCTGTATCAATGCCTGGAAGTTCAGTTGTGTGCATATGAGCGTGACGACGTCATGTTCAGTTTTAAAGTGCCTCAATCTATACTATCGTACACTGAACCGACACACTAAACTATATAGCACATTCTCCCACTGTTCTACATGTGCGGGAGTTCTGCCACATTCTGCCTGGGAGGTTCTGCCATCTGCCTGGCAGTGCCAGTTCTGCCCTGCCACATGGCAGAATGGCAGAGTTCTGCCCACAACACTACTTGCGGCACACACAGTGAGCAATGGACCGTTGACTCGGATTATGGTTTACCGCCAAATAATTTAGTGTCGTTGGCCATTTGCTGGCAATCATTTGCAATTGCCAAGTCGCCAGAAGGAGATCAAACAGAAGTTGACTAAAGTTACTTTTTTAAAAGTGAAAATTCTAGTCAAACCTACTTAGTCGGTGACCTAAACTCACCTAAATCTTATAACAGTAAACATAATGTAGTTCCTATGATTTTTCCATACACCCCCTTAACTTCCCTAACCATCGCTCACATCCATCATGCCCGCACAATGACCAGTTGGCCGCATATTAAATGGGACAAAGTTAATTTTTAGGTTTACGAGGGTATTGACTTGTTCGTTCACCAGTCTGACAGCACTCAGAATTGATCCCACTGGTTAAACCTTGCAAGAGCGCGGATTTAATCAGCAAACAGATGAGGCTCGGAGCCGTGATGTACTTTTGACATCAGATTAGTGTGCCCTTGATGGTAGTAGTAGAAATGTAGTGAACTTGAAAAAGAGTCGACAATACTTTTTAGGCTGACCATCGGCATGGAGGCTACGGGCATCTGAGGACAGTGTAGCACTGCACGCCAGTAGCTTTGATAATTTTTTTTGCCGTTATCTTGAGCTACTCTACACAAAAGCACTCAAAACAATTTTTCCAATTGCCGTTCTATCATTTTTTGGCAGAACTCGTACACAGTCACGGTGCTACCGCCGGTACGCTAGTATTGCCCCTAGTAGCCGCCAGTTGGGGCCAGTGCATTATGATTAGCCAGAACTTCCGGGTCACGTGATGCATTTGGTCAATTTTTAGGAATCAGAATGAATTTTTACGTGAACCACCGGATCATACATAGAGCCTGAGCCTGAGCAATCGCTGGCAGCGGTTGATCAACAGCTTATGAGAACCATATAATCTCTTTTCATATCGATATCCTTGCTATTAAATCACTTCCCCCCATCACGAAATGTCCTGTCAGCAGTCAGCCGATATGCTACCCCCTGATCACTTCCTCCACCAGCCTCGTCAGGACTTCCTGATCGGCGTTCAGGAGGGTCACATAGATACCTCCACTCTTGCTGCGCACGATTTCGATGTTGATACTCGCACGGGTTTCATGCCCCCAGATCCTCCTTTAAGTAGACTCCCAGCACAATGGGAACTCTGGGAAACAGCACTAGATGCTGCAATGCAAGCAAAGCTGCAGCTCTCTGTCAAACGATTTCTGACAGTTGAGGAGAAAAACTCATCTGAGTCATGGCGAGAACACGTTCGAAAGGTCAGTACGGGCCTCCGTATTTTTTATTACGCTCTTCACACACACACACACACCATCAGCTGCCTGTCCTTCCTATGTCCGAGCTCACACACTCCGAGCTCTTACTTCGGCGCGCGCACCATGTTCTCACCTTCATTATGCATTTTTACATTTACACACTCCCCCTGTCTTCTTCCGTGCTTATTCCGGAACCAATTTCTGTCCCCCTCGTCGCCATATCCAGTCACTTGCAGTTACCACCAGTCGTCACGTACTCTGATAATGTCCTCTATAATTGGGACATTATCCACCCCAGGGCCCAAACGGAGCTTGGATTCGAGGCTCCCGCTCTGGACAACCTTCGCAGCCAGGACATGTTTTCCGGTACCATAGATGAACAAGAATTCTACCTTGCTTCGGCCCGCATAGAGCTTCGCGGCGTCGAGGCTCTCGAGCTTATGCGTGCGACTATGGACGAATTGTTCGTCGGCGACAAGATAGCCATCAGGCGCATTACCGCATACCTCTACAAGCTTGCTTCGGTTGTGCACGACCTCACGGCCATCTTGCTCGACGTGCGTAAGGGCTGCGACCCTAACACGTTTTATCACTCCATTCGCCCATGGTTCCGTGGCGCAGACTCCGATCCTGCCCACAGGAAATGGGTGTTCGAAGGTGTTGAAGAGCAGCCTACCGACCTCTCAGGGCCAAGCGCAGGGCAGAGCGCCCTGATCCATGCTTTAGACGTATTTCTTGGTCTAGACAACTGCAATGTGGTCGAAGGTGGCGTTGCACCGGACCAACGAACGCTGTTGAGAAGGATGCAGATCTACATGCCACGTCACCACCGCAATTTCTTGCGACACCTCAGCACAAACCCACGTCCTGTGCGGACGTTCGTGATGCAAACGAGGTCTGATATAAACCTTCTAGACGCATACAATTCTGCGGTGCAGTCGGTGAAGGAGTTTAGGGATGCGCATATCAAGATCGTGGCAATCTATATTATTGCACCTGCTGCTCGTGAAAGGACGGAGCTCGAGCACCCAGATCCAGAAGCTAAGGAGGTTGGGAAGCAAGTGCTGAAGGGCACTGGCGGGACGGATCTAGTACGCTTCCTCAAAGGGGTGAGGGACAAAACTGCCGAGGCAGTCATGGAGCCTCCGTTGTAGCCGTGTTGGATCTGGGATCCTGGAATAACATGAGCATCGGCATTTATGCATTTGTTCAACTTATTGGTCATTATTCGCTAATTCTTTTGCCTGTATGGCAACATGCCCACTTTAATTGCTTTGTATGTTCAATTAGCCTCCCTTAGACAAACAACACAATGGTAGAATGTTCGATCAGTGTCTCTTCCTAAATTATATGGGCTTACTACTTAGGTGTCGGACTTGTGGTTGAGTGTCTTCCATCAATACTTATCACCGAGGTCGAGCATTGTGGGGCATCGGGCGGTTACAGTAACAAAGCAAGAGTCCTACGTCATAGCATCAGCGAGTGAATGTACCGGGAAGTGCCTTCAGAGCTCTTGGTGCAATTTCCATACCAGAGTATATCAGTTAGCCGACCATAGTTACAGATATTGTCAAGGATCTCTGGCACTGGCACTCCAAAAAAATGACGACACGACAGCAACACCACAAACCTGGGCTCGGCACTAGTTTGACTGGAGCGAAAGGTGTGACGTAGTCGCCTATACTCGACTTATCCGTGGAGCAGGAGCCAGGTTGGTCATAAGCCTACTGTAAGCCCTTCTAAAGCCGCTGACTGTGACGGGATCTTTCCGTTAAAGAGATCGCGCCTAGAGCGTCGATGTCGAACGATTCTAGGTCAGGAAATCGTAGCTGAACTTGCATATTGAAGATTTCAGAATAATAATGGTTGGCATACCGTTAGTCGGGGCAAATCAGTCGGTCCCGCTTCTCATAGCAAGCATGACCATTCATATACCAGGACGGGTAGCTAAGAGGACACCACCTAGATATAGAACATCGATACAAAGGTGTGGCTCTGGTAAGCTGCTTGCACTGCATCGAAGACTGACAACCTTTTGATAGAGGTAGACTCTGATCCAGATCACAGAACCCATTCGGAGGATACAAAAGGTGCCATGCCGACGTCAATTGATGTCATTCTTGAGTGCTCTCGAGTAGATGCCGTTTAATGATATGGGTGGTGACGAGAAGAGACGCCAGTGAACAGAGCATGATTGCTCAGAGCCGGAGTTTCTCGCAAGAACCTTGAACAGGGTTTCATTTCCGAGTCGGTCGCCTAATAGATGATTACGAAGAGATGGAAAAAACGAAAAGATGGCGCCCAAGAGAGCACAGGACAAAGGAATAAGGTTCAAAGAGTAGCCGAAGGCTAATTGCGATATGGTTCACGGAGTGCTGTGAAATCCTTACGAGTTTTTGGCAAGAGCTAACCAGTTCAAACACTGGACAGGATCCATCCGTGCCTCGTGTCCGAGATTGCGGCTAAAAGGTCTCCTTTGAAGTTGCTAGATTAGTTGGGCGCAAGTGTTCGATATGATATTTTGGTCGGAGGGTCGATCGGATCTGCTGTCAAAGTTGTGAGAAGACGTTCCATGTAATATTTTACAACGAATCATGCCCCCACCGTGAACCAACAATTAGCACTAACGGCATATCCAAAAATGTATTATAACAAACAAATACAAACACTTTTCCTCTCGCTTCATTTCCTTTCTGAGCTAATTGTCTTGCTCACTAGATTATCAGTCACTGATTTCAGTTTCTCATTGCTTTATTGTTATTGGGCATTTAGGAAGCACTGTTTTCGCATATCCGCATCTATTCCTTGACTACAGACACAAAAGGCCTTGCCGGGTCTTACTTTCAGATACATTGAAGACAAAAAGCACCAGACCTACTTTTTGTTCTCCACCAAGATCGCAATAACTTCTTGACACGCTCGCCCAAGATGGACATACACATCAACTCTTTCAGCTATAAAACACGCCAGACAATCATGGTGGAGGTTAACCAACTAGTATCCGAGCTATTCATATTACATCCTTACTACAATGGCACCAGCAGCAGCCAACTACTATTCCGCTCCTCCCCATGCACACCAGAAGCAACGTGGTTATCGCATCTGCGATACTTGCGGTGCAGTTGAAAACCCAGTTGCCCAGAAGTTTAGACTCTGTGGTGGTTGTGTAAGCCCCTTCCCTTCCCTTCGATCATCATCCCCCCTAATCACATCGTTATCTTTCCATAGATGACCACCCAGTATTGTGTAAGCTACTCAGTCTCCACTAGCATGACTTTTTCTAACCCTATATTGTAGTCCACCGAGTGCCAAAAATCGCATTGGCCTTCTCACAAGACCATCTGTCAGCACACCGCTGCTCAGATGTCAGGTGCAAAACAGCAGGCCATCGGGCCTGCATATCCTGATGAAAATTTGGCGAAGTACCTTCGCAAGTTTACCTCAACACACTCTTCACTTCTCGGATGGGCCGGCTTCCAAGCCCTTCAATTAAAGCGCCTGCCTGCCAATATCCGGCAAAGTGCGTTGCTTATCGAGCTGAGCTACAATGCTCATGCCGAATCATTATATCGGTAAGTTCTAGTGTCGCCGGACTTAGTGGGGATAATGTATACTGATTCCGCCGGACACGCAGTTTCTCAGTGGCAAATACGCATATAGTCTCTCGGACATTCGTAACCAGCCATGATCCACTCGTAGCCGCTGATATCAGCCGACGAGAAGAACGCTGTCGACGCAGTGGGGGAATTGGAACCCTTGTTATACTCGTGCAGTGTGGTGGCATTTCTCAAGTTATGCCTGTGGAAGTCGACCCACCTAGTAAAATCTCGTGGGATTCACGAGACGATTGGGCGGAAGTCCTCCGCCATTTCGTTGAATCTGGCCGAACAGATTTCAAACCTATATCCACGACCGCCAGGGGGTAAGTAGTCAAAGTTTGATGGATCGGACCGTGAAACTAACCGGATCGTATCTTAGGGTCGTTTATGGCTAATCTAAGATCATCGCCTTCATGACTTATGATTATCTTTCGGCAACGTGGATCGTTGCATGACCAGCATATTTTCGTTCCGCTGCATCGTGTTCGGACAATTTGTACTATTTACGTCGCATCCATTACAACCCATCATACCTCACGATTTCATGTTATGTTGTAATTGTACTGCATGTCGATTTAATGATTATCACTCAATACATTTGAAACTTGAATATTGAAAGCCGCTCAGCTGGCCATGATGTCACTGGAAGTTTATGGAACAGTACCGCCTGCTTATGTAAATTCGTAGATGGACAACACTTTGATTCTTCCCATTTCTTCCAACTTACTGAAAGTAACATTGTCCCTAATCAATGATGAGTGCTCAGGGAAGGACACACACATCTGCGCCCGCTGATGGATCCAGGACGATTACGCTACACGATTCGCAGCCACGTCCAGAAGATGACGCTAGTCAGCCTGGGGTTGTGGGAACTCTTAGATTACGGGGTGAACCACGCAAAACTCGTCAGCGAGTTGCGTGGGATGAAGACGTGATTGACAATGAGGGATGCGGCAAGAAAAAGTCAAAGAGTGAGTGTGTCGAGTCTTGAATTCTTGTGGCGGTGTTGACTCGACCACCCCCGTAGTCTGCTGTATATACCACAAACCTCGACGGTTTGACGAATCATCTGAGGAGGAATCATCTGAGTCAGACTCTGATTCAGACTGCCAGCATAGTAATTGCCCACGTCAGAGAAGGATGCATCATCCAGAAGGAAACGGGCACAGCGATGGACTTGCTACGCGTGACGCCCCTAACAGGGGAGTGATTCATGAAGTAGAAGAAGCGGGCTCGAGTGGTAATGCGTATGAGCGCAACCCCAAGAATAAAAGGAATTAGGTGTGTGGGTTGAAGTAGTATGGAGCGTTGTTCTGACGATGAGCATGTCAAGGTTGTCCGCCGGGCTATATATCCTTGGTACCTTACCTATAGATTTGTAGAATATATAATACCCTTATTCGCATACTTTCAGGAGCTGAGCCTACCGCATACATTCGGTTTATTGACATGTTTTTAAGATGTTTCGCTCCTGTTCAAGTTGTGGAAGTTTTTGACTCCTACTACTAGTGGAGCCTCCAATCCCTACAACTTGAACTGTGACCTTCAAGCCTTGGTACTTCAACCATGTATCATCCTTTCAAAAGGTCGAAACGCTCGCGAGAAACGACAGATTCTCCATCGTATCGAGCGCGTTCGCTGTCTCCAAGGCTCAAACAGCGGTATCGTAGTCCAACTCATCCGAGTCTGCCGTCCAACTTTTTACAGTTTGTTGGTCTCATTGTTGTCATTATCATATTTGGCAGTCTTTATATCTCGCTGTCGAAATCGGTGTCGCGACGTACAGGGACGTCGCCTACTCCACCGAACACCACAGATTTCGGAATAGGTCCAACTCGAGTACGTTCACCGTCACCAAAAATCGTTGATCGAACCGTCCTTCATGTTCTTCATGATATCCACGAACCCAATGATCACCACGATCTATCTCCCTCAACAGTCACACGACCCCATCTCAAATGGCCCCCGATTGTCACCAGAATTCCTGAGCCTAAAGATGTTCCAGAACATACAATCGTTCACGTTTCTAGTATACTGTCAGCTGCTGCCGCAGTCCAATTTGACGAATCAGTTTGTGGTTCATTCCCATGTCGCTTTCTTCTTCCTCTCCGTGTCGCCGAGCAAGAACCGAAAACCCATCTGCACCTCCACCAACTAGCTATTCTCGCAAGTAGCTTGAATCGCACTCTTGTTCTCCCGAATGTAGGCAACAATCGCATGGGGGCTTGTTCCAAATGGTCGTTTGATTTATATTACGACGTGGACCCGCTCAGAAGCGCCCTCCCCGCTATCAGCACTTTGCCTTTCACTGTATTTAACAATTGGAGCGAAACGCGTTCCATCTTACCTACAAGCAGAACCATATCTTTCAGCGTCAGCAAAAGTGGCGAACGAGATTTACTGCCTGATGACCATTTCACCATCGATCATGGCCTTGCAGATCACAAAGTCGCTTCCTGCCTAAACTCTAAATTTCCTAGACTTTACCAAAGCTCTTCTATAATTTCCTTCAAGTTCTACCGCAACAATCCGATCAAGCCATCGACAAGCCAGCGTCTTATCCAGATTCTCTCAGAGGCTGTGGATTCCATGGAATATTTCTCAGACGAACTTGCCGCGCTTCCGAGATCTGACGTGTTAGCCATCGAATGGGATCTACGCCACCCAATCTTCCCTGAGCCCAACATAGACCTGCAATACTCTCATGCGCTTGTTGAGTTTGCAGAAAGATTAGCAAGCTTCACAGGATCCTATATTGCGGTGCATTGGCAACTAGAACGTGTTCCGGTAGAAAATCTTGCGTGGTGTGCGGCATCGCTCGTCTCTACTCTTCGTTCAGTGCTCGGCGACGATGACTCGGGGTCTCAGCTAGTCTGGTTCGCTACCGACTACCACACCTTTTCAGAACAGCCAAGTGGTGTGAAGACTAAGAGCGCGAGATCTGGGACTTTTCGAGTTGTCACGCCCGAGCATGAGGAAGCCATGAACATCCTTCAGGACGCATTCCAAACAGGTGGTGATCTGGAGGGATATGCCATGACTGAGTTACCATCGCAGATAAAAAGGCTGAGAATGTTCGAGGGGAACGTTCAGTTTGAAGAAGAGATTCTGGAAGACTCAGGAGTTTCAGGTATCCTAGACAAGTTGGTGGCGATGCAGTCTCAGGTGTTTGTCAGCGGATCTAAGGCTTGCAGCAAGACGAGGTGCGTCTTCATGACAGCAGGTGGTAATATTTGATCAACGGCAGACCACAGTTCCTCTTCGAAGCAAATAGTCGAATTTCGAGAGAGCGTAATGAGGGATATGGAAATTGCTCTGGACATCCGCAACGTCGTGGAGTTATTTGGAGAATGGTAGCGAGTTTAGTTCCTGAAGTTGAAGTGGACAAATGAGAAGGAACGCGAAGGAAAGCATAGTATAGTCATGCATGGAACATGCTCATACAAAATTTTGCGATCACCGAGGGATGCAAGTTCTAGCACTCTGACCGAACTTATGGCGCCTCGCACCAGCCAACACCCTAATCTCTAGGTGTGCCCCGACCAACACCTGCGAATGATGGCCTGTAATCGCCGGGCGCACCACCCTCCTTCTTCCGGTAATCATCGCGGTCGCCGCGAGGTGCGCGGTAAGCACCGTCGCCACCACCAGGGCGTACAGTTGCTGGGCGCGGAGGGCGAGCGGCCCGCTTGTGAGTCGAAGGGACGATCTCGTTGGGGAGGTGTAGCCTATTGATACATGAGTCCGGATAGATACGACATAACAAGACTACGCACCACTCCCTGAGATAATCAACACCTTCAGGAGTCAAAACGTAGTAATACCACTGCCACGAAAATTGGGTCTTAACGAAGCCCTTGGAGGTCAGGCTCTGCATGGCCTTTATGACCTGAAGGTTAGGGACATCAAGCTCTTCATGCTTCGGCGCGTTGTAATCTTTCTTGGCGACCAGAACACCCTCTGAGATCAATCGATAATGAGCTCTGGAAAACCATCGCAAGGCCTGTATGCTGAAAACCCACCCTTGAAGAGGTTCTCGTAGATGGTGCGCCTGTTTTGTTTGGTGATAATCATGCTGGGCTAATTGAATGAAATGGGGAAGCTGAGGAAGAGTTGAAATGGGTTGAACAGTGCTCATAGGAATCAAACGTACTGCGATGATGATCTCGCACTTGTCCGGCTGAGGAAGACTGGAGTCAGTCATGTCATCCAACTGGGAGGTAGCCCATCCAGCCATAGAGAGTTTCTGATACTCTTCTTTGCATCCTAATACACCCCAGACAACTTGAACGGTACTCACAAGGATTTGACGGGCAGGAAGGGCCTTGAAATGAGTCTTGACGTCGAGCTGGACAGCGTACGCGTGCCTCTCGGACTAGGTTTCGACGAGCAACGGCGGAGTATGAATGTTTCTAAAAAAGGAACTTCGAACTCTACTTATCGCGAACTCAAGGTTAACCGCACTTTACGAGAAGTAACGACTTCCTTAGATCTATCTGAGGTCTGAGGGATTACGGACGCTGATACAATTTGTTTTCAAGGTACGGTTACATTGATACAAAACAAGAGGCGGCAAAAACACGCAGAATCGCACTGACACTAGTATTGTTCACAGGCTCGTTGCATGAGGCTCTTCCAACAATCATGACGGCTGAATGACGAGACCTGCAACCATGGTCCATCGGAAGTTTACATATCAGGCCCCCCTTTCGAGCATACGGATCATCCTCTCGATGTCGTCTCCGGAGATTGGATCCCTTGCCCGACTAAACCACTCGTTCAAGCTGAGGTCGCTCAGTGTAGTAGGAGATTGTCGGGTCGAAGCCGACCTCCCCATATCCGCGTTGATCCGTCTCGCCTCTAATATAATATCTTCCATGTTCCTCGCACAAAGGGATTCGTAGTAAGAGATGTACTGCCCCTGGACAGTCCTAAAATTCTCATAAATACTTTGTCGAACATTTTTAATAGGAAATCCTCGTACTTTGTTTGCTCTTGATCGCGCGTTTCAACGGCCCGTTTTACAAATTCGGAAGACGCTTTTTCTTGACCATGATAAGCAGCTCCAGACGTGCTTGGGAAAACAGCTGGCGTATCGTCCCGCGATAACGTTGTGTTTGTTTTACGGTTCAGAAGGAGCGGCCTCTGTTCCTGACGACAACCCTTGACCTGCGCATCGAGACTAGAACCCTCGAAAATTTGACTCGTTGCAGGCTCTCGCACGCGGTTTACTTCGGCGGCCCATCTGGCCACTTTGGATGCGACACGTTGGGGAGCTGGACTGAGAATATCTTCCGGAATGGGCATACGTAGTGGCGTTGTACCTGAAGGCTGGTGCAACGAGGACGCGCGGGCTGCTGGCGTTCCCAGATACACTTTCGGGGCGGAGATATGCATATCTACAGACCTTCGCTCCGCAGCAGCCTCAGCAGCCCAATCAGGGACGGGCCCGCGAGTTGAAGGACCTCTGTGAGTCGTTATGTAATTGGAACCCGAAACAGTCATCCGAGGGGGAACGTTTCGATGAGTCACGTAGGCTCCGGCAGAGTGCAAGGGCTGCGGTCTGTATGCCTTTGCAATGTGATCAGGTAGATCAGCCATGTACTTCCTTGGATGGGTAGGGTTGGAGAGGTTCACATTCAAAGCGTGGTCGGCTTGTTCCAGGCCTGGTCCAACGAGTCGGAGAGGCGGGTCATATCTCGTCAATGTGCTTTTCAGAACCAAGCCTTGCGGTGTGAAAGACACTGCCTGATTGTTCAAGGAGTTCTTGCTGAGAACCACGTGTTGCTGTCTTCCTGACTGGGGCATTGCGGGGCTGGACTTGATGACTCCCCCAATACAATGATTCTGTTCTGATGACTGTCCCGAAGGAGCGTGCATGGATGCCGACAAGAACCGGTGGAATGGTGCGTTTGTTCCCGATTTTGAAAAATCCCATATCTCACTGCTTGGCTCCTGACCTTCGAGATTGGAATTAAATGTGGAATAAAGTTTGTCGTCTGACGCTATTTTAGTAGGGCCTTCCTTTATACTCGGAGGGCATTCCTTGGTGTTCTGAGATGTCGACAGTTGATCGTTGTGTGTGGCAGACAGCTGTACAGAGGGAAATTCGCCAGGCATCGAAGCCTCCGGTATCGTCGTAAACAAGCTACCCTCCTTCATGTTCGTCTTCCGTGGAGCCGAAGAGGGGGGAGCAAAGACTGACACTTTCGTCTCCATAATCGCCTCGGGCATGAACGTTTCATCACATGGCGCCAAGCATGTTCTGTTGGGACTGTTGTCTTCGAGTTGATTGCTGTTCTTTTGACGCAGAACAGGTGGAGTGTCAAACCGCCTTTCATTCTCGCCCTGGACGATTAATGACGACTCAGAGGCCGTGCTGCGGCTAAGCGCCAAGGAATACGCCGGTAGTGGGGACTGGACGGCCCTACAAGGCTTTATGCTTTCCACGGCTGGATCGCTACGGGATTCATCCGCTGATGACCTAGTCCCTGGACAATGACCAGGACCTTTCGGTTCAGGGACACCAATCATGATACACGAATTGAGAACGTGCTGATTATTATAGATATCATCTCGTTCCATAGCTCCAAGCTCGGCGCTGCCAGGAATAGTTTTTCGGTAGACGCCTCCTTCCGAGTACGTCGGCTGCTCACCAGGAGCTTTTCCCTTTGGCGTCAGTCGGATAATAGGATACCCTGCTTTGCAAGGAATTGAGGCTGTCACCGTTGATTCATCATCCCCGGAAGGCACTAGTGGCAAATAGGCTTCTGGACCCTCGATTTTAACTACTGGCACTAGGCCTCCAGAATCCCGTGAACAGATGACGTGAACCTCAGGTTTTCCGGTGATCACGCCAGGCACGGTATCGTCAGGAGCGTCTAGCCTAATATCGTGGTCTGGACGATTGGTATGCACTTCCTGTCCGCCAAATGAGGTGTGCTGTTCGACAACCAAAGGCTCCTCTTCACCACCGACATGGACGCAAGATGCATGGAGGAGGGGATCATCTACCTGCGACTCGTCGACGATGCCATCTTCGGGACAATCTGCGAAACTTGGGTTTGCATCCCCCAGAAGTGGTTCAAGTCTAGTAGTTCCATCACCGATTTCCTCCAGCAGCGCGGCAATATCGACGCTCTCGCATGCGCTCTTCTCCTCGTTCTCAGCAGGCGTTATGGTAATGATCGGAATTTGTGCTTTCGTGGCTGGTTTCCTCTGCACGACATAGCAGATCGACTTGATACCCATTGGGATCCAGCAAAGGCAGGCAGTGAGCAAGGCGTAAAACCGGTGAATTATAAAGAGTGGCCACCCCCGTGCAGTCACCATGAACATAGCGATGTAACGAGCAGCGCTAGACGACATGTGCGCAACTTTGCTGAAGCACGCTACTAGAATTTGGGTGAGGCGTGCTGTACCAGTGCGGAGAAAATGACAGAGCTTGGATATCACTTCTTTTATGATAGGCCATGACCAACGGAGGGCAGCCATGGGAAATGCCGCGATATACCGAGCGATTGCAGCACCTGGCTTCATTATCTTAAATATCCTTCTCATAAGGCTCGCCACACCAGGATTGACAAGCAGTGTATCACAAACTACAACCTCCGAAGACCGTTCGAATGGTGCAGCAACGAGCATCGCGAGGACCTATGCAGAAAATATCACCGAGGTGTATCAGTTTGAGGCGAGCGGTTTCAGGGGTATAGGACTCACAGATAGTATGAGGTATGCTGCACTCAAGGTAAGCACATAACGGATGAAGAGCAGCATAGGACAGAAGGTGATTATGCGCGGGGAGAAAGGGGCGAGTGCTTTGTGCTGCTTCTCGCTGGGCGCGGGTACCTGCTGGCGCACCCAGGAAGGGAATATTGCGTTGCGCGTGCGCTTCTGTGATGGGTGCAGTGCACCTGGGGGTGGATTGTGAAACCAGAAAGCGTGATTAGGTTCCGCCAGCGGATCGAGAACCCAAGGTGTCATAGTTGGAGATAGTGGTGTTAATGTTGTAGTAGGTGTATCGTGTGAAGAGACAGGAGAAGATGTGGCTATTGACATTGAAAGTGATGGCTGAGAGTGAGCTAAATCCTCTGGAAGCATGACATTTTTCGAGTGCGAATAAGCAGAAGTAGGCCCAAGAAGTAGATGGGGCGAGAGATACGGGAGGGCGTACAAAGTCTGTGTGACATGCACGCTGAAAATGCGAAGCAGCATGTCTAGAAGAAATGCCCAGGCAGCGGCTTGGATCTCTGGAGGGATCATTTTGGGTGCCGATGGGGGTCTATTTGAATGTCGCGTCAAATATGTAAATCAAGAGGTGAAACGGAGTAACGAAAAAGATAATGAAATGGAGAGGGAGGCGACAACGATGTTCAACTAATTGAACTATTTCTGAGTCGCGACGACAGCACGTGACTAAAAATCAATGTCAAGTTAACAACTTATGACATATTTTCGTTCATATTTTACATTTGGGGTCGGGGAAGCCTGAGGTAAATTGGTTGGGTAAAGGTCACTGTAACTTAGACTGGTGACCTAGATACTTATAAGGCTTCTGACCGTACGGTGTTTCGCGTCAATATTTCAATATTCAAACATTAATTTCAACGAAACTTTTAATTTTCTTATGGGTAACAGGTCTCGTGACTACTCTTATGTTAGAAACAATTCTATAAGTATGCGAATTCAAACCCAGATTTACCAGTTCAACGTCTATTGACGGCTTGCCTCGTTGTCGGGCTGGACCGTCACCAGTCTAACTGAAACCGACTCTAGTGTCCACGGTACGGTGCATACGGCATAGTGCGGCGGCTATTCTTTCTGTTATCTGACTTTTTAACTTTGGTCTCGAGTTTGCTGTATGTTTCGCGTTCTTTTTAACGTCATGGACTCGGCGGACACCGCAGGGCAGCGGTAGTGAATTCTGCAATTCGAGAAAGTTCTTATTACTTATTTTAGCTTCTGCACTATGCGCCTCTGGGGTTGAACATAAACGGTGTAACCAATTGCAATTGTCCATTCCAGGTATAGCATGCCATAATCTCCATTCGCCTTTGGTTCTAGGGGAGACTATTAATCATTCTGAAGAATTATAGAACCCACTGGGCCACTACCCATCTTTATCTCTATCGAAAAATGGTGGCGTCATATCTACCTAGATTTGATCTCTAGCTGCCTACAGCATGGTCGACCCTTGCATCAGGCAAGTGCAAGAAATCCACCAGAACTTGACTGGAAGAGCTTAGTCAAGTCTCTGCATGTTCGCCTTGCGTTTAAGATCATCTCACATCGACATCACATAATATACCCAGTTCCGGCAAGATTGAGGCTCGATCATCGGTTTGGAAACAAGCATTCGTCTTATCCCCGTAGACAATACCAATGTCCAAACGTGGTTCTTCACCTCGCTCCGAGCTTGCACTCGCAGGGTCATAATCAAGAGTCAAGATTATTATCGCTATCAAATCAGGGAATAGAATTAACAGGCTTGAGAGCAGATTTCTGGGTGAAGAAGGAGCTGGCGTTCGTTCCACGTTCTTGGAACAGTACTTGAGGCTAGTACTGCTCCATTTCACAATCTACCTTTAGGCCTAATTCAGACGCAACCGCTCCCTCACTCCTTAAAAAACCGTCAGATATATCCTCCCCCATTGGAAGTGAGCAAGCATCTGATTTCAAGCAGGTACTTAGAGACCTCATGAAACGCCAAGTGTTCCGTGGTAGTCAATCTTCCTCGTCCTCGTGCTCAGCATTTCCCTCGTCCATCAGATCATGGCCGTCTATATTGACATTCGTACAGTGTACGAAACTCTCGTGAACGTTCTAGCAGAATGTATTACTGGACAGCTCTCGTCGTGTCGCAGCTTGCTGCTGAGCTTCCTTGGAACATGACAAGTTTGACAATGTTCTTTTTCTGCTGTTACTAGACTATCGGACTCCCCACAGGTTGGGCAGGCTACATGTTCCTCATGCTCTCTGTCGCTGTCCCGTTGTACTATACCATGCTTGGACATGTCATCGCGTCCATGGCACCGACTACTTCAATTGGATCCCTGTAATTCACAACTCTCATTATCTTTGTCTTGATCTTGTGAGATGCATGCTTTGAACCACGTTACATCGTACTGACAGCCCATCAGTGACGGCACAATCCAGCCATCCATGGGGCTTAAGTGGTGGAAATGGTTGTACAATGTCTCTCCTTTCACATATATCATCGAGGGTCCCCTTGGTCAAGGTCTATGAATGATATCTTGCTGGATAACCACACACATTTTAGTCGTCGTAGCTATTCGCTGCTCTTACACGGAACTAGTCTCTGTCAACCTACCGAAGGGTTTGACGTGCGACAAGTACATGGGTACTTTCATGCGACTCGCGGGCAGCTATCTCACGAACCCCGAAGCTGCAGAAGGCTGTCAGTACTGTCCCTATACGACTACAGACTAGGACATGTTCTCGAGGTTCAACATCGCATACAATAATCATTGGCATAACCTTGGCATCGTTTTCGGATTCGTCGCGTTTATTGTGCGTCACTACCGGAAGTTGCTTGGATCTCGTGCTCACATAACGTCTTAAGATTATCGCTATTTTCTGGTTCACAATCTCATGCCCATTCGCACTGTTGGTGTGTTTGCTTTTCTTAGGCAGAAGTTGATTCGTGGCAAGTAGATTGCGATACCTCACAAAGGATAGGCCTCAAGCTTCAAGGATATCATGATTACCTGTTCTACTGTCTCGAACACCAAGTGTATTGTGCCCAAGAAGAATGAATGCATACCAGTCGTATGTTAGATAAGGAAAGAAAACACAATATTTCTGACGGAAACATGGGTACGTTTCTAGCTGACAAAATCCTCGGGGAATACTCTGCAATATCTTATCAACCATCGAACCCACCGTAATTGACGCAGGAGGCATGATATTCGTGGATCCATTATTCCAACTCATCATGGTCCACATCGTCTGCGACCCCGCCCTATTTCCTACACCTCTTCCAGTCATCTTCGACGAAGTCTCCGTAGGGCTATACCGCCTAGGATTCGAAAATACGGCCCCTCTACCTGGTGTCAACCTTGACATCTCAGTAAAAACCAAGATCCTCCCCGGCGGTGCCGTGTGTTGCCTTTGTCAGTAACGCTCGCGTCCGACCATATCTTTTCGGCGTTCACGAGCGAGAGCAAAGTGGACGCGTTGTTGCATGGACATAGTCATACGGCGCGTGCCGTTAAATGGCAGGTTGCGAATGCAACGCTTTTGATTTAGTTGGTAGTTTAGTAGAGAATAATCTGTGTGTGGGAGCGATTGGTAAAATGGACGCCTGAAGCCAGTGAAAGGGCTTTAGCGACGAGAGTGTGGAGTTCCTGGGATCCAGAGTTCATCACTTTGATATCCTTCCTGAATATTTTCGATGAAACAATGGCGTTGGGAACCATGTTTGCTATCAAGTTCAAGGACGACGATGCGGGTAATGTCGGTCCTATCATATTTGGTTTTTTGGATTGCTTATGTGGCTTTGGGGCGCAGGTTATGCATCGCATTCCGCTCAGACTCTGCCCCAGAGCTTGCGATTACCGCTGGATGATGGATTTATGTCCACGGCCCCTGGTGGTATGCCTCTTGGGGTGTATCACAGGATGCTAAGTAACTGTTGTAATGAGTTTGGCTGGAGCAGATTAGATCCTTCTGCAGTGGTTCCCACGGCTAGCAATCATTTGTTCACTGATGAAGACGCTCAACTTTGCTGGCACTGAGGAGGCTGTGTATGAGCGGAGCGACTGGCCTCTCTCGAAGCTCCAAGACTACTTCAAGGATGATACCCTCGCTCTTATCGGCTATGGTTCTCAAGGCCACGGTCAAGGTTTGAACGCTCGTGACAACGGCCTCAATGTTATCATTGGTGTCCGTAAAGATGGCGAAAGTTGGCAGCAGGCTATGGAGGATGGCTGGGTATGTTCATGTCAACTTGTCAGGCTTGCAGGCATCTCATGTAACATTGATATACCGTTAGATTCCCGGAGAAACACTTTTCCCCATCGAAGAAGCCATCAACCGCGGCACGATCATCATGAACCTTCTCTCCGATGCTGCACAGTCACAGACATGGCCTACCATTGCACCTCTGATCACCAAGGGCAAAACCCTCTACTTCTCGCACGGTTTCTCTGTTGTATACAAGGAAGACACAAAAGTTATACCCCCCAAGGACGTTGATGTTATCCTAGTCGCACCTAAAGGATCTGGCCGTACCGTACGCACCCTCTTCAAGGAGGGTCGTGGGATCAACTCCAGTGTAGCCGTCTTCCAAGACGTCACTGGTAAAGCCATGGAAAAGGCTGTTGCCATTGGTGTCGCTATCGGATCAGGGTACATGTACGAGACCACCTTCGAGAAGGAGGTTTACTCCGATCTCTATGGTGAACGTGGTGTGCTCTTGGGTGCCATCCGTAAGTGTTCTTACACCACGAGTTATTCCCAGCTGATTATTTATCAGAGGGTCTGTTCTGCGCGCAGTACAAGGTACTCCGTGCCAATGGCCACTCGCCTTCGGAAGCCTTCAATGAAACCGTCGAGGAGGCCACCCAATCCCTGTACCCTTTAATTGGAGAGAAGGGGTGAGTTGTGTTTTATTGTCGCTTATCCTTTCCCTCATGGTTTGTAGCATGGACTACATGTACAATGCCTGCTCCACAACCGCTCGCCGCGGTGCGCTTGATTGGGCACCTATCTTTGAGAAGACCAACACGCCTATCTTTGAGCAGTTGTACGAGAGTGTGCGGAATGGCACGGAGACCCGCAAGGCTCTCGAATTTAACGGCCGCTCGACGTACCGCCAAGATCTTGCCAAAGAGCTGAAGGAGATCGACGACCAGGAAATTTGGCGGGCAGGCAAGGTTGTGCGGTCGCTGCGTCCCGATTACAAGCCTGAATAGATAAGATTGTGGTTGAATTGGAGCTGCTTTAACTCAGCTTACTTATTTATTTTGTTACCAAAAGCGCCCCGAAACATGCCATGTCGGAGAGCACAATGTACAGATGTGATTCTTGAATAAATGTTACGACTTGCCATACTCTGGGTTGAGACTGATGTTGAAGAAATTCAGAGGTCAAGAGCCAGGTGAAAATGATTCGGGGGTTTCAAAGTGGTGTGATATTCAAGGTAATAGTATTGAAGGAACATCATAGTAGACAGGGTAAGCAGCTACATCACGAGGAACAAGTTCAGGAGGACATGAGTGCTAAGCGCTAACTTGCGCTCGTGGAGCGCGGCAGGGAAGCTTCACAATAAAGGACAACAACGGGAAATCGACAAATCAAGAACCGGGGATAGTTCCATTTGTCAGGAAAATGCAAATGCATAAGTCTCACTTACTTTAGCATCTCTCCAGAATAATACCTCCCACTGAGTCCAAAAGCTCGCCGTTTTCTTCATGGACAAGGACAACCGAGACGACTTCACTTTTGCAAAGCTATCTGATCTCAAGCTCCCTGTCACTTTCCGCATGTACGCACCATTACTCATCTTGCGGGCCACTTGCCCACACTCAGCACTAGTTCTCAGTTAGAAGGATCAATACCACAACCCTCTGTTTCAGAGCTACTCGAGAACCCAGAACTGAGGTTTCACGGTGCACAATCTTCGTGCGTTTTTCTCTGATATGTAACTTCTCTATGTTGATCCAAATGTCAGGGCTTTTTCAGACCTCTATGTCTCCTGCCAGCTCCTGGCGGATAACAAGCCGCTGACCATACCCTTCCGCACTTCCTTCAAAGCTTTCAAGAACAACTATGTGTACGCCTTGTTTTGCACTTATCTCGATTGATCTGACTATTTATACAGGTGGAACGAATGGATAACGTTGCCCGTTCGGTACTGCGACCTCCCGTTGAGTTCACAGATAACATTTACTGTATGGGATATCGGGGCTCCACGCACAGCGGTGCCCGTCGGTGGCACAACGTTTAGGATGTTTGGAAAGAAATGGTTCGCCAGGTATATCTAAATTGCATCACAATGCTTATCATGCGGTCACTGGGTCAGGACTTTGCGCCGGGGAAAACACCGTTTGTTGCTTTGGGCAGGTCAAGAAGCAGACGGCTCCATGCAGACTAAAACTCCCAGTAAACTTGGCAACAGGGATGAAATGGGTCGTTTAGAGAAGGTAGGCAGCACGACAGCTCTGTGGTACGCTCGTTCATTCCTGACTTTCCCCTCAGCTCGTGAAGAAATACGAACGTGGCGACTTGCCAAAGTCAGATTGGTTAGACAATATGGCTTTCAGAAAAATGGAGGAGATACACGCTGTAAGTCTTCTACGATCAAATACAAATGCAAACACTCAAAGAAGACTGAAGGTGGAGACAGAGAAGTCAGAAAACATGTATCTTTATGTCGACCTTCCACGATTCGACTTTCCCGTGATATTCAGCGAAGCTGTCAGTCACTCTTTCTTGAATGTAGTCTCCTTGACGTTTTATTCTCTATAGGAGGCCCAGAATCAGGCAACGATACCATTTGCACCTCCAGTAGCAGCCCAAGCACCTCTTACACCTGTACTTCCCAGTTATTTTGCTACAGATCCACACCTCTGGGCCATCCTTGACCCCGAGATTGCACGCGAAAACCCCGTGGAGGACAAGCATCGTCGACTCGTGCGGAGTCACCGAAGTAGTCCATACGACAGAGAGCTCAAACCAAATGCCAAGATCAGAGATGAGCTTAATGTGCGCAAAACACCAAATCGTTATGCATTGATGAATTCCTCACACGCCATTTGTAGGAAATACTTAATTATGCGCCCTCTCAGCCTCTCAACTCCGAGGAGAAAGACCTCATCTGGAAGTTTCGTTTTTACCTCGCACGAGATAAGCGCGGGCTTACCAAATTCCTCAAGTCTGTCACTTGGCGCGATCCTTCGGAAGTCAAACAAGCAGTGGAGGAGCTACTGCCAATGTGGACAGAGGTCGACACGGATGATGCTTTGGAGCTCCTCGGACCTGGAACTGTGGACTCGAGAGTAAGAGCGTTTGCAGTACGGCAGCTTAACCGCGCAGATGACGAAGTCAAATATTTCTTTTCCCTTCCTGATCGCGGCACTGATGATCTTGGCAGGAACTTCTGTTATATCTCTTGCAACTCGTACAGGCGCTCAAATTTGAAAGTGCCGCTAGCGAGCAGCGCTCGAGTCGATCAACAACAAGTGCAATATCTCATGACGATAGCGGGCTGACAGACTTTTTGATCGCACGTGGAGTACAAAACCATACACTAGGTAACCGGCTGTATTGGTATCTGATAGTAGAAGTGGAATTGGAGGATAGGGTCGTGGCGAAAATGTACGGGCGGGTGGTGTTCAAGTTTCTGAGCAAGATTTTAGAGGTCATCGACCTCCTACTCATGTTTATCCTCGCTGATGAAACTGTTCCTTAGTCCGAGAATGGCAGTGAACGCCGCGAGCTCATGCGACGTCAAGGTGTCCTCGTCGAGACCCTCGCCAAACGAGCCAAGGAGCTGCGCACTTCTAAAGACCCACGACCTAAAAAAATCGAGAAACTTCGCTCTTTCATCAACGACTCCAAGAACGGGCTCGTCAACATCCCTCCTCTACCTCTGCCGCTCAACGCACGCATAGAGATTACGGGCATCATTGCTGAAAAGTCTTCGGTCTTCAAGTCGAATCTTTACCCCTTCCTGTTATATTTTCAGTGTTCTGATGGCACGGAGTACCCTGTGATTTTCAAAGATGGCGATGACATGCGCCAGGACCAGCTTGTCCTCCAATTGTTCACGCTCATGGATCAGTTGCTCAGGAAGGAGAATTTGGATTTGAAGCTCATCCCCTACGATGTGCTGGCGACTGGGCTGTTGCAGGGTATGGTGCAATTTATCCCCAGCAAGACTATCGCAGCAATCATCAGTGAGAATGGGACGCTCTTGAACTATTTGAGAGCGAACAATCCGGATGAGGGCAGCGTTGGAACGTATGGAGTCGAGCCGAGTGTTATTGATACATTTGTGCGCAGCTGTGGTGAGTCTCGTTCTGCAATCCTGACTGGAGGATGTGTGCTAAACCTTGGCGATAGCTGGATACTGCGTTGTGACATACCTGCTAGGCGTGGGTGATCGGCATTTGGACAACCTTTTACTGACACCGGATGGTAAGTGGAATTATGACCAGAAGGGTCCAGTTCTTAATATTGGCTTCACAGGTCACTTTTTCCATGGTCAGTGTAACTTTGTCCGTATAATTCGTGCTACTGACATTTGATGAAGTCGATTTTGGGTATATTCTTGGTCGGGACCCAAAGCCGTTTCCTCCTCCTGTCAAAGTCTGCAAAGAGATGGTCGATGGCATGGGCGGAGCCCAATCAACCCACTACGCGCGATTCAAAAACTACTGCTTCACCGCATTTACGATCCTCCGGAAAAGCGCCAACCTCATTCTCAACTTGGTAGCGCTCATGGTAGACGCGAACATTCCAGACATCAAGCACCGCGACGTTCATGAGCAGATCCAGGAGAAGTTTCGGTTGGACTTGACGGAGGAGGAGGCGATCAAGCATTTCGAGGCGTTGTTGAATGAGACTTCGTATTTCACGGTTGTGCTAGATCGGATTCATGATTTGGCCCAGTATTGGAGGAGTTGAGCGGGCCAGTGGTGTGTGTGCTATTTTTGCTGGGATTGTGCTTGTGCTTTCGGCCGCTTTGATGATGAGCACTTGTCGCAGCTTTTACCGTACGTGGTCCTATGGGTATTGGATTTCGGAAGTGTTGCTATACTTGTCAGCTATTTATGTAGTTTCTAACATCGATTCGTGCAAGGATTAATCACTACCAGGCACAGACTCAGGAGAAAACGGTCTGCAATGTGCATTGATCGATGCCTCAAATGTTTCGATTCCGAGAAAAGACTGCAAGGCCAAGTCATACACCATCACTCCGACATAAGGCAAAGTTCCTGTAGTTCCAAAACTAGTAAGTACAATTCGTGTATCCTTCCCCAAGCCTCTCAGCAACCAACACCCGAGTGGTGCCTTCGTGGGTTCTTCTTGAATCGACAACGATCAAAAGACTACCAGCATAGTGATCGAACCCTGACCGGCTTTCCAGTCTGGTGGTCAATCTGTTAACTTGAACACTGTCCAAGGAACATCATCAGCACACCCAAGAATTCTCAAAACCAAAATCAAAAATCACCACACGCGCCCATCCCCGGCTCCGTCGCAAATACACAGCTTGCAAGGTCGTCCTCGCTCATGCCCTCATATGACGCATATTTCTTTTTCACGTGCATGATAAACGCTTCAACATCGTCTCGATGTACGAGAGAAACGGTGCAACCACCCCAGCCAGCGCCTTCAAGCGCATCAAAATCAGAGGCCAATGGGGTGTATGAAACAGAACGCACCGGTCATACGACTCCCATATATTCTCCCCTTTCCTCGTCCTGTCTCCACTGCCCCAAAGCTCCGCGCGACACGGACGAGGTCGTTCACTTTCGGATGGGAGCAGTCGAATTGCCTGTGGCAGCTGTCGTGCGACTCGTTCATCAGTTTACCGAGGGTCTGGAGCTTGGATTCTTCATTGCCTGATGATTGAAGGGTTGATGAGCGATATGTCGATCAGCGGCATCGTCGAGTGTAGATAGTGTTATTTGATTGTCACAAAACGGACCCAAGGAAAAAACTGCACCTCCTCCAGCTAAGCAGACCTCCCTAAATTTGAGCACTTTGAGCGCCTCTTCAAAAACGTGCCGAGCACGGAGATACAGCTCAAAGTTAGTTGTCTCCACTGATGAATTTTCAAACAGCAAAACATGTCAGAGCGAGCATCAAGTCAGAGTGATGAATAAAATGGGCACCATCAAAAAAAGCTCACCGTCCACCCCCAAAAGATACAACTCCCTAAATTCTGCCTCACCCATCCCGCTCTTGCCAATCATCTCATCTAGGGAGATATCTGTTCTATCACCAAACTCTGGCAACAGATAGTCCATAGCAATTTCCAACATGTCCACCAATCCTTTCTGGAGCAGCACAAGATCTTCCAACTGTGCATCTTGCTCATCTCGATAGAAGCCGCTCTTCCGAGCGAGGACTTCACGTAGGGTGACGAGGTGCCGCTTCGTGTTTTCGCCGTCTATGGAGTCGACTTGGAGATTAAGACGATGAGAGAGGAGGCGGGCAGCTGCGAGGGTCTCCGCAACACGGAGGTTGTAGTGGTGTTTAGCGCTTTCTGCTTTATTGGAGACGACTAGGCTGTCGCCGAGATTAAATCTGTCAGGAAGTTTTGGACGACTATGAACTGGCTGCAGTACCTATTAGCACAGACAAACACGGCGTCGCGCGGAAGTACGATTGGCTCCGCATGAAGGGAAGGCACGAATGAAACATATAGTGCGCTGCCAGGAAGAGCGATCACGGAAGCCGATTGGTCCATCCTGCAAAGAAAGTGAGCGGTTAGTTGCGTGGATATTGAGGGGTACACAAAGCTGTCAGAAAATAGCGACACTCACCCTCCACTGTTCACCCCAACTCGTCTCTCGTTTTCCACTGCAATATTTACCAGCTCACCCTTGGTTGGGGCCTTTTCCCCGTCAAAAATACCATTGACTGCTAAAAATGCCAGCGTACTCGAGACGACCATGGCCGCACTGCTTGAAAGACCAGAACCAGGAGGGACATTTCCAGTTACAAGAATATCAACAGGGACAGGAACGGGGGATATGGACGATGGAAAGAAGAAGTGATTCAGAACACCCTATGCCCGACAATTAGCATATAAAAACTCATGAAGGATTGAAGTGAAGGTGAGGAACGAATGAACGTCAAAGGCTGGAGAAGGAACACGAAAGGGGCAAAGACACATACATAATATCCCGCCTTGACATAACTTTCCCATCGTAGCTCGCTTTTATCGATGTCCAAGTGCCAGGGGGCGACGCGCACAGCGTCAAGGGGAACGTCGTCGCCAAGCGTGTGACGGCGAGTCGGCCAGAAGACCTGGCGTGTGTAACGAGTGTGAAGGTTCTCAGCTACGACAGAGCCTGGCGAATAACCCTCAGGATGCGCGGTAGCGGTAGGCGCTGGCCGCGGAGCACAAGCAATGAGAATATCATGCTCTATAGCGGCTGGAAAAACACCGAAGTCCGCATAATCTATGTGTTCACCTGCATCCCATAAATTAGCACCGCATTGTACTGTGGATATTAATGAGATTATACTATCATACCAATGAGGCTGTGTTACACAGGGAATAATGAACATCAGTGGGAAAAGGAGAGTGTAAACGTACTTGACTCGGCCTGGGGCTCGGGCGATATAGGTAGGTTTGTGACTGAACTTGGTCTCAAATTCTCTGACAAGCTCGTCCCAGCGTTCTCTACCTAGAAGAATTAAAAAATAGTACACAATACCTAGGGCCCAGACTCACGCGTGTTTGGCTGCTGTCGCGAGACTGCCATACACTTCTTTCAGGGTGGTGAAGATGGGGATTGGTGCATCAGCTGCTGGAAGAACTGTCATCCTCGCAAATATGAAACGAAGTGTAAGGGCCACTCCACCCCTGCCGAGCCTCGGTGCAGAGCAAGGGCGGCCCGGGGCACGACAGAAGGCCCGGATTTATTGATGAGTACTTGCGTTTGTTTGTCCTTGTTGTAGGCTGGCAGGGAGTCTAGCCGCTATACGTTACCGCGACGTTACTATCCCTTGCAAGCTGTCTGAAATCAATTTTTTGTGTACATAAGTGGTGCACGGAGAGCAATGCGAACGTTGGTGCTCACTCACACAGCTGGTGTTCCGCCGAAATGCAGAGCGATGTTGATTAAGCTCGTGTATAGCGATGATCGCGAGACTGCGAGACGTCTCGCTGTGTATTATGATCCTCCTCTCTGCTCTCTTCATTCATGATACCCCTCATCTTGATCTGTCGCCATGACTCTTTCTGCCGCAGCTCATACCCTGGATCAAGTCACAGATCTGCAAGGGACCGCTAGGGCAGAATCACATTTTGGGAATCGCAGAGGTGATTGGTAGGCGTGCTCCGGTCCGATCGATCTTAGACTCATCCGAGTGCTAAGGACTGGCAAATCCGATTGAAGCAACCACCCTCGTATTGGTGCCTGCACCACTGATCATCGATCATGTACACGCGTATGGAAGTTAATTTCACCAATGGCCCAGATGGATAACGAAGCCAAGAATCATCCATTCATTCCTCTTGATTTCATCCTCGTTGGTGACTTTCTACTATTTTGTCTTCATCATAATTAATTGCCTGCTCCCAACCTTCTTAGCTACCGTGCCCCTGTAACCTGAATTTATCAGCTTCTTGTCTCATGTACGGCCTCTTTTACGCCGACTTACAGTCTTCCTTGTTATCACCATCGATCAAGCCTTCGAGGTCGACCAGAGCACTTTACTCATCTGTTCTCTTGTAGACCACTCGACGTTGTGTAAACTAATTAGCTGGATCCCGCGGGCTACTATTACACCTGATCCGCGGCTCTTCAGTGTGCTCATTATATAGTTACCCAGATCAACACCAGCTCGCGTCAATCTCGTCTGCTCACCCATCATAACTGCTCTCATCTTCTCTGTCGTCCAAGTCTGCCGGCATGAACAGTTACGAACATCTAGAGATCCAGTAAGTCTAGAACGTTCAGTCCCCATACTCGTTCCCTTGACTTGGATCCGAGATGCTAACGAATCACGTTTTTTTACTCATTACGCCTCAGATACCCATGGTCTCAGTATGCCCCGCCCATATCCGCACATGCCGGATCATTGCCACGTTCCTTGTCTCCATGGTCCGACGACACTCCATTCGTTGAGCGTGAACAAACTATTGTAGGCTCATTCTCTATTTTTGATTGTGGGGACTGATGCGACGCGTATATCGCAGTGCTCCGATTTCACATGTTGCGGTTTGTCTCTTAGAGACCTTCACTCATTGGTGGATCACTTTGAGGAAGCACATGTCGTGGTGTTCGACAGCGCTGGAAATGCTGTGTACCCGAACCCTAGCCCGATACTGCGCTTTTTAGATCACGAGAACGAGGGACCTTACATGAGTTTTGTGTTGGGTTATCCTGCACCAAAGGCTCCAGTGGCGTTTCTTGACCCGGCATTTTGTTTCGATTCGGCATCAGATTGGTCTTCGCCCTCTCTCAGTTCAGAGCCGATCAGTCCCGTAGAGACGAGTTCAGAAGAATTTCTACCACAAAACTCGTTCACCAAAGTGAAGAGCAAGCCAGTTCGCACTGGGAAACGGGTCCATCGACCTCGTCAACGAAAAAAAGACAAGACGTATAACTGTCCCGTAAGCATTATTTGATTACGCCCACATGGTCGCCCCATTAATTTCCGCTGATTAGCGTCCTGATTGCACCAAAGTAAGTCTAGGCTCGGCGTATTGAAGATGAGAAGGGAAACCTGATGGAAAACAGACGTACTTGAACGCAAACGGGTTGAAATATCACCTCGAAAAAGGGACTTGTAAAAATGAGATGCCGATGCCGGAGTTCTACCGCTAGTCCGAGGTGAGCCAAAGTCCACCTGATCGTTGATTGTCCCCGCATCTACATACGTGTATGTCAAGGGTTCCTCCGCACCGAAGCAGACCGAGCTATTACCCGCGTAGTATGTACCCCACACTTGGAATCCGCGGGAATTCAGGGTCAAAAGTATTACTACAAACGCCGGTGCTACCGACCAACACCAGAAGCAGCTCGTGTTAGCGTAGTGTACATACATATACTAATTCTGCCAATTCGTTCGCAAGCCGGATATATCGATTGGATGTCAGCCACATTTCGCATTGACGCAGGCCCCGTCCCTTTCGCTTTCATTTCGTATGGTTGCATATTAGGTTCATATTGGCCCATATCAAGTGATATAGAGGCTTATCTGATGCTCGCGACTTGTTCCGTTTCTCCTGTCACGTCTTGTTCGAATAAACCATAAAATAAAAATTACTTCAAAATAATTTGTTCAAGAAGTTTTACTATTTAAAAAAAAGTTTGTTTAAAGGGTGAATATAAAGCCCGCAGTACGTCGTCACGAACGATCTGGCAAATTTTGAAGTTGGCTGTCGATTTACGTGGAAAGGTGAACTGGTGACCATGCACATGATTCAGATTTGAGTCTGAGTTGTTGTAGGGATGGAAATTAAAAAAAAAAATAGGATAATCGGGGGTGTCAGGGCATGAGGCCGGTGTCGTTGTGCTGGCGGTCGGACCGGGAACCCACAGGGCCACAAGGTGCAAATCGGGACAAGTGGTTTCAATGAAACTCACTCTTCAAGTAGCTCTCTCTCACATCCTTCTCTTCCTACATTCAAGACCATACACGGCCTTGCAAGGGCGTGTTAAGACCAGCGCTTGATATCTGTCAGGTCCGATATCTGGTCCGGTAAACTGAATTCCAGAAATCCCTGAATTCCTCATTCTAGAACAACTGGGATTTTTAGCAGCCAGGGTCTTCTCGCGATTTCAAACGTCGATTACAGTCCCCAACGGCGCTCGTATCCTCCAACGTCCTTGACCTTGCCCCATCTCCATGATCACATCCTTCCCTGCACCTGTACTCTCTGTCACGCCTGATGCAGTGAAAGATCTTCAAGGGCAAGATGCCCTCTCAGCTCTCTGGACTAGTAAGTTTTGGCTGCATGCATCAGTCAGCTTTCTAACTCTCTTTCTAGTCTTTACCAAGTGCAAGGAGTCACTTCAGGATGGCCGGAGACTTGAGAATATCTCTTGGAGGCTATGGCACCGTGAGCTTATTCTGTCTCAGCAGTCATACCTACCTCCTACACCGGATTCCATCTCGAACCTCACAGTATCGTCCGATACCCGCAACTCGTTCTTCCCCCTTACCGACCCTGTCGAGGTAGTCCAGCCTTTAGGTATGTCCGAGGATCATTTCCTTTTTCGTCTTTGCTCATCTCGCATTCTCCTTGTGTTCCGCACATGTAGGCACACCCCCTTGCCCGCATTCGACATCTCTATATCAACATCCTCCATCCCCTGCATCCACAACGAGCCCTGTTGTTCCTGAGCGTCTGTGCATACCCCAATTCTCATCAGGCACCCCCGTAGCACCGCCTCTCAGCACTTCCTTCCGCCCCAAATCTTCTTCGTTTGTTGGCCGAATAATAATAGACATGTTGCCAAATAATGTTCTTATACCCGACAAGACGCCATCGCCGCGCTCGCTTCAACAACCTACCGTCCCCTCCGTTCAGCTTCCCTCGACGCCTACCTCTACAGAAGCTTACTTTCCGCGTGTTGTCGTCGTCAACCCCACGCCCCAACCTACTCCACCGATGACACCCTCCCTCAGCGAAGAGCGAACTAGTGCCTCACAGCCACCATCAACGTTCCTTCTACCGCCGCTTCCCCCACCTACACTAATCATGAAACGTCAAGCTCAGGCGGAACAGCCGCTCCCGCAGTCAACTCCACCAGACGGACTTTTACCATCCCTGGCCCCGGTCCGAGGCGCCGAGTCCTCAAAGGTCTCTGGAAGGTTTTTCTTACAACAGAGCCCTGAAGATGCATCTCCGGAACGCGACGGCTCAACGGAGAGCGGAAAGAGCCGTGTTGACTTGTTCGATGCGTCGAGCGTGGCCTCCAGTCAGATGCACAGCACTGATATTGAGAAAGAAGTCACGAAAGAGCTGAAAGAGAAAGATCGTGCCAGTACTAGGCCAAAGAAGGGCAAGGAATTAGGGAGATCGTCTGCCCGGCCGGCTTTGGCAAAACGGACCCACTCCGCAAGGCACATCGGGCCTTCGATTCAGCGCAAGCATTCGAATCAGGATAGTAAACCGCGTGCGATGTTTAATATTGGTTCGAACTCGTCGAATGGGTCCAAATCTGCTCACGGGAGCTCGGCGAAGCTCACTCCTCCTCCACCGCCTCCACCTGCCCCTGTGGTTAATGGATTGGGCGCTGCGATTAACGGTATGACGGCTATCAATGTAAAGCCTGCGCGGCCGGTCGTGGCTCCTTCTACTGCGAGTGGTAACACTGTAGTCAACGGAAACGCCAACGGCGTTGGCAATGCTGCTTCTAATGCAAGCAACGGCACGGGTCCCCAACAGCGGAAAACCATCGTTGTCGCCAGTACTTCTGAGGAAGATTACGAGACCACTGATGCGGATGACTCTGGATGGGCCTCTGAGGACATGGACGCTGAGGACAAAGCCCGTGAAGCTGAGGAAACTGGACTACGCGGGGCTGCACTGGAGGCTCAGCGCCAACGTGACCTCTTCGCAAAGGTTCCCAAACGTTCTTACTCCAATCTCAATCGCACACAGTCCGGGTTACTTTCTCAGCTCATGAACCCCAACCCTACGATATTTCCGCCGAATCATCCGTATCGCTTGAGTCATTCAACCGCGGATCTTGTGCGGATGCAACGGCAAGCACAGCGTCAAGCTGAGCAGGCGCATGCTCCACAAAGGAGTGTTAGTGGGTTTGCGGGGCCTGCAAGGCTGCAGACAAGTAAAAGTTCGGCGGCGTTACCTCTGGCTGCACAAATCACTGCCGTGTCGAGCTCGAAGCCCCCATCGTCTGGAATGAAGGGGACAGAGAACGAGAAAGGGGGGTATAGGCCAAAGGGACGCCCGAAGGAGGAAGAGATGGAAGATGAGAGTGGTGAAGACGATGACGACGATGACGAGGACGATAAGATCCAGGTATCGCGGAGTGTAGCGCAGCAGAGGCTTCAAGCGCTAATGTCGCGGCGCGCACCGGAAAACGGCAATGCATCGCAAGTGACTCAACATACGCTGGAGAATCATATCGCTCCTGCTGCACAATCCACGGCACCTATACCCCTCGGTCATCCATATAACCTTCCTGCTCCCGCGCTACCCATGACGCCGCGCACAACCCGGCGAATAATGCTTCGCACTGAGCTGTCAGAGAGCATGCGGAGGCAACTATTGTGGGAGCGGCAGGTAAGCAGTACTACCAACCCAGCTGCAAACGCGAGACGTACGAACAATGGCGTACTCGGTGGGTTGCGACCGCTTGCTTCGACGACTTCGGTCGGGGAGAATCCTAGCGCTACCAAGAGTGCCGAGGCTCAGGATAGGGATGAGCGCAGGCAACGCGCAATGGCTCGAAATCGAAGTTGGGCGGACGACTACCACTACTCAGGGTGGTAATTTTCTTGCTGGAATTTGCCAACATGTGGATCTTCTATAATCTGGTGTCTCTCGCATATGTTAAGGGGTCTGTTTTTTTTCATCGTCTTGTCCTCTAATCACGCGGCACTGTTGCGTTTATCTCTCTCTTTTCTATCGTACTTTAGTACTCGCATGCTCCACTGGTGAACATGCTACTGATACTGCAGGGCGCGGTTTCCCTCCCTCCTCTGCCGCGCGTTTTACTCACACTCATGCTGCGCTTCCTCCCAACCTTCCTCGTATCGTTGCATCTCCCACACATAATTTGCACTTGCATGTCACACTCCGTCCGCGTCATCCTCCGTCATCCTCGCTGTCCATTTACGTTGTAATAGTAGTCACCTTAATTACCAGGTAGTTATTCCTATGGATTAGGGTGTTGTGTTCAATTTGCTTTCGAACCCTTGCCTCATGTACTCATAGTGTGTAGGGTAGGTATACTTGGGGCGTCTCGCCAAGTTGTACATATATTAATGACAAGGGGTTCTTCCATTTAGGGACGGGTTGTATGTACGTGTTGTAGGATGTCACCGGGTCGCCAGCTGACCAGGCACCACCCAGCAGTCATGTATGGTTTCCTGTGTTGCTCAAACTGCTAGGATCTGAGATCTGAATCAGAGTAGCTTACCCTATAGTGGAGTGTTCAAACCGCGGACTCACGCTACCTGTTCCATTAGTAATATTAAATTCAATAAATAATTAACCAAGTTTGGATATGTTTGTTCCTGACGGTATCCAGTGGAATATCAAACATCAATTACAGATAAGTTAATGATCAGCCCGACCAACGATTTGAATATTTAAGTAGTAAGTACGTGTATGATCGCGGTACTCCCATGCCGTCTGGGTTACGAATACCGTCGGCTTAAGTCTGTTTCCATTAATATTAATATTTCTCTCGCGCACTCAGTACCACGTGAACCCTGATACAGCACAAGCTGTATCCGCTTGCAAGGGCTCAAACCGATTCCACCATGTCATCCGCAGAAGACGAGTACAATGAACACGATAATGCCCTAACCTTGCCTGGCTCCAAAAAACGACGAGTACAAAGGGCGTGTGACATATGTAGACGCAAGAAGAGTAAGCACTACTTGTCTTGAATTCCTCAAGGCCGTTAATTTTAAACGTCTGATCCAGTTCGATGTGAGTCAGCCTCATTACCTTTCGCCTTCCGGTGGTTACTCAGTAGTAAAATTGACCATGTCCTCTCTCGCTATACTTTTGGGGGGCGCTTGCTTTAACTTGAAGGTGATGGAAGCCAGATGCCAGGGAACCGATGTTCCAATTGCATTGCGTATAATTTTGAATGTACGTACATAGAGGCTGCAAAGGTGCGCTACCCCCTCGGTCATCTCCTCGAGTAGCGCCTGACGCACCCTACCCTAGAAACGAGGTCCCCCAAAGGGGTACGTGTGAAGCAATGACTTTCCCGCATCCACCCACGGTACTCACCGTCGACGATACTTTACATAGATATGTCGAGAGCCTGGAGAATCGTTTGGAGAAGATGGAGAAGCTTCTGCAAAAGGTCGGTCTGTTGCGCAGATACTCTTCATGATCGTCGCTCACTCCAACCCAGGTCTGCCCTGACGCCGACTTCTCTCAGGAGCTCGGAGGCGGTCCCTTGGACAGGGAAGCCTGGCAAAAAGGCAATATGAATGGCTCAACCAGCCATGTCATGAGTCCCTATGCTACCACTCCTCTCGAAGATCTCGTATCCAGCGATGACGACGAGATAGTTTCCGTCCGCCTCGCTGATCACATGCAGAACATGTCTATCAATCCGAACTTATCCCGTTTCTTTGGAAAATCCAGTGGTGTGATGCTAGTGCAAAAAGCTATCGACCTCAAAAAGGAGTACATTGGCGATGAAGATATCCAACCTGATCTCAGGCAACACAAAGGCCGCCCTGAGTTTCGTGGAACCTTCCCTGTGCGTGTGGTCATAACTTTTGTTTCTAAATTTGACATCTCATCAAGTGGGAGCTGGCCGCGAAGGATGATGTTGAGCCGACCTATAACTTTCCTGAGGAAGATCTTGCTGCCTCCCTTGTCGACCTCTATTTTGCTCACTATAATGTTCTAACTCCACTGTTGCACCGGCCAACCTTTGAGCGCAAGGTGGCGCAGGGGCTCCACCGCCGAAGCGCGCCATTTGGGGCGGTATATTTATTAGTCCTAGCTGTAGGCTCGCGCTTCTCTGAAGATCGCCGCGTCTGTTTGGAAGGTCAGAGCGAACATTCGTCAGGATGGAAGTTCTTCGAACAGGTACAGATGGTCATGAAGACCTTGCTTGGGCCACCACGTCTGGAGGACCTCCAAGTGCATTGTGTAGGTGTCAAGCCAGTGCTCCTCCATTGAATTACTAACTCGCGCCTAGCTATCTGTGATTTACTTGATGGGGACTTCGGCCCCACAGGCATGCTGGACCATCGTCGGAGTCGGTATCCGTCTTGCGCAGGATGTTGGTGCACATCGCCGCAAGGCTTACAGCCATAAGCCCAGTGTCGAAGAAGAGCTTTGGAAACGTGCATTCTGGTATGGTTCGAATTACTCACCGTAGTACATTGCGTCTCAATGTTTTGTCTCAGGGTTCTCGTCAGCCTAGACCGATTGGTGAGCTCATCGTTGGGAAGACCATGTGCGATACAGGATGAAGAGTGGGTCTATCTACGCCACCCTGTGAGGATATAAAGCTGACCAAAATTATAGCTTCGATCTCGACATGCCTCTCGAATGTGATGACGATTACTGGGAGCACTCGGACCCGGACCAAATGTTCAAGCAACCTCCTGGCAAACCTTCTCTGATATCGCACTTCATCAATTTCCTGAAGCTTAACCACATACTCGCATTTGCCCTTCGCACTATTGTATGTAGCTTCTCGCATAAGAACTGCCGATTAATGACGTGCTGCAGTATTCGATCAACAAGCTGAAAGTACTGCTTGGCTTCGTTGGGCAACAATGGGAGCAACAAACAGTTGCAGAGCTTGATTCTGCGCTTAATAAATGGATCGACGCTCTTCCTGATCACCGTATGTATCTTAGCTTGAACTTCGTTATTGCCGCTGCTAAATTCTACAACCTAAAGTCAGATGGGATCCAAATATGGAGATTAATGACTTTTTCCTGCAGTCATATTCCCTCTATTCAAGTTACTATCATGTCCAGATTCTCATCCACCGCCCATTCATTCCGTCACCTCGAAAACCATCTCCCTTATCTTTCCCTTCCTTGGCGATCTGTACAAATGCCGCTCGATCTTGCAGCCACGTCATGGATGTATATCGATGTCGATCTGGTAAGCCGGTGCCTTATTCACAGGTACGTCAGGGAATTTCGATCTTTTGACACTCAGTACATCGTAATGTTACTTTAGATGGCTGCGTTCACGGCGGGCATTGTCTTACTTTTGAATATCTGGGGTGGAAAACGCTCTGGACTGTACACTGATCCTACGAAAGAGATGGCAGATGTGCATAAGTGCATGTCTATACTGAAGTCGTGCGAAAAACGGTCTGTCGACTTTTTTTACTGCGCAAGAATGTCTCTCATTAATTCATAGCTGGCACACTGCTGGTCGTCTGTGGTATGTACATTTGAGTCTTAATCTTTTTTTCGGTGGAGGGCTCAAAATATATGGAAGGGATATCCTGTATGAACTGGCATCCGTCGGTGACCTTCCGCTGCCCCAGCCTAGTCCCTCTGGTGGAACAAAGCGTGAACGTGATTCAGGTAGTCCAATGTCTGCTCCGCCTACGACTTCACCATCAGAGGTACCCCGTACTATCGCAGGATCACGCCGCGTCGGGCGCGACGCAGCTGCCCTCGCTCGCTCGAAGCCTTTGAGCTCATTTGATCTTCCACTCTACAGCAATGATCTTGGGCGCCTACCGCTCCATGGACAACTGAACTTCCCTAACACGTCCGCATCGCTTGGTTCATCTAACACTGATATGTGGTATTCTCACGGGGGTGGGAATCCGGTGCAACCACACGCTACGCAGACTTCTATGCAAAATGTGACCCTGCCTCAAGATTATTCGCAGGCCGCTGTTCCTGCCGCGTACAGCGTGGATGATATGTTCTATGAGCAGATGACCCAGTATCCGGCGCAATATCAATCAGGGACCTCCACTTCCTCACCTTATGGTGATGACCCTCAGGGGTTGCAGAGTCTGATGGGTGGCATACATCAACACAATGTACTTCAGCATCCTGGGGCAAGCTGTTTTGACACGGACACGATTGCCATGTGGTCCAACGCTCCCACTGGTTTTGAGTGAGTCGCACTCATTCGGGCTAATTCAAATCCCCGCTGATGAGTGCACAGGCTTAATGACTGGGGAACGTACCTCACAAATGTATCTGGGATGGTAAATCCTGACGGTTCAGCCTCACACTCGAGGCATGGACACTAAACTTCGCAATGATGACCTTTTACTTTCTTATTCTTGGCTCGCATCCATTATACACGTTGATAATGCCCTAATGTAGCGAGAAGTACATGCAGCGCTCGTCTTCTGTAAATTGCATAGCTTTTATAGCTTTTGATGGACGTGAGGCAGCACTTCATTATCTCATCTATATATGCTATCATGAGGTCAATTCGCCTTATTTCTGTAGCCTTTCCATAGACTTGTACACATGACAAGAAGCCATCGGGAAAAACGGGTGTCCATATTCCTACGCCCGATGTATGAAACTAACAAAGTCTGGCACAAGGCTAGTACTTTGTTGAAACTATCATCATCAACTCAGTTAGTTCTAACGTTTCTATTTCCAATATGTCGACTCGCATACCTCTTCTTTTTGTAAGAAATTCGAATGTTTCCTTTGAATATCGCACTGATATGTATGAGGAAAGGGGACGATGACCATGGGGTTCGAGGGCACGAACGGAGTGCGGACGTCCAGCGAGAAGGACTGTCAAGAAATCCTAGACATCTTCTTCAGTCACGGCCACACTGAATTGGACACAGCACGCGTATATGCCGAAGGCACCACTGAACAGGTGGGCACGCTGACGCGTCGAACGTCGAATCCTGGCGCTAACCGAATGGTTTTCACTTTCACGCCAGGTCTTGGCCAAGCTCAATTTGAAGAATGCGACGATCGACACCAAGTGCGTCGTATGATTTCGTCCTGTGGCCGTAGACATGTGCTGATTTTCTGGCGTAGAGTGTACCCTGTCACTCCGGGAGATCACAGCCCGCATGCGTTGCGGTCTATTTTCCTCACGTCCCTCCAATCTCTGAAGCGCGACAAAGTCCGGGTCTTGTATTTGCATGCTCCTGATCGCAGCGTTCCATTTGAAGACACCGTACGAGAGATCAACAAGCTCTATACTGAGGGTCGTTTGTGAGTGTCCACGTCCTTTCAAACGAAGGGATAGAATCTTACTGGCCCATCAGCGAGATATTTGGTCTGAGGTGAGCGTGTTCGTAGAATGCTCACCCAAGTTCTAGGACTAAGTCATACAACAGCAACTTTGCAGCTTGGGAGGTTGCAGAAGTTGTCGGAATCTGCAAAGCGAATGGTTATGTGCTGCCAAAGATCTACCAGGTGTTCGTATAATTCCAGTTATAATAGAAGATACTCATGATGCATGTAGGATGTACAATGCGATCACCCGGGAGATGGAGCCTGAGCTCCTTCCTTGCTGCCGAAAGTATGGCTTGCGGCTGGTCAGTTACAACCCATTAGCGTGAGTGGGGTTCAAGAATGTCATTTGGATGGAAACCTCATCACAAGACGTAGCGGCGGTCTTTTTGCAGGCAAGGTGCTTTCCACTGAGGAGGTAGCTCCCGAGGGTGGCCGCTTTGACCCGAAGTCGAAGATGGGCCAGATGTACCGAGCACGGTACCTTAGGGAAGGGTACTTCAAGGCTCTTGAACTCGTGAAAGCCGCTGCCGTATGTCCCTCTGCAACTGACAGTCTATACGACTAATGACTTGGACAGGATGGACATGGTCTTCGTCTTACAGAGGTTGCCCTTCGTTGGTGTCAACACCATTCTCTACTGACGCCGGAAGACGGTATCATCCTGGGCGCTAGCAGTGCAGCGCAACTAGAGCAAAATTGTGTTGACTCGGCGAAAGGGCCTCTCCCACAGGATGTTGTTGATGCGCTTGACGAGGCTTGCAGGCTTGTGAAGGCACACGGAAGCACCCCGTTATACTGGCGTTGAGGGCTCTTTTCGTTGAGGCATAGTCAAGAGTGTGGTAAACCTAGTGACAATTGAATTTACTGTCATGATAATGAATTCCAACGAACGCTGCCACAGCGTCAACTAGTATGACAATCGAGTACTGTGTACTTTATCGACATACGCACAATATCCTAGAACACAAAAGAAATTAGGTCGAGCGTTTATGGTTGAAGGAAGGCTGGATAGATGCGAGCTGGAATCTTCATAGTCTCTTGGGAAGACAATATGTCGTCTCTAAACGCAGATCAATAAAATCCAGTGAACGAGAACAAAAACCCATACCACTTGGTGGAGAAGGTGTGCCCAAATACCTTCATGAAATCCTTCGACAGAGACCCTATCACCGTGCCGGTGCTGACTCCACGTTCTCGACTTTTCCGCTCCCACTCGACTACCTTTCTAGTGGTGTTATTCCCATATTCCGCGCAGAGTTGCTTGAGGATGATGTCCCGACTCAAACCAGGAAATCCGCTCATGTGTTTGAGCATGTACTCTGCCATTGGCTCGAGACCAGAATCAGCGGTCTGCGTCATGATCATGCGCCGGTTGATCCGGAAGACCATCTTCGCTCCTGGATCATCAATCACAAAGCGAACTGGTACATCGCTTGCAGTGAAGAGGAAATAATCGGCATTTTTGTCGGCTTCAAGCATCTTGGCTTGACGCTCCGCAGCAGGGGAACGTCGGCCCTTACAGGGACCTACGCCAACGTTTGCAATATCCACAGTCCCATCCCGATTCGTTGGAAGATTACGCATCATATCGGCAATTGGACCCATTTGACCACCACTAAATTGCCAAAGGTCGTCATCCTTGGTTCCGCTGAGACCTTTCGAAACCTCCTTCTTGCCACAAGCCTTTTTGTGAACGGGCCAGTCTTCCTTCTGGCAGGATCTAGCGGATGGAACATGAGGCATAATGAAGAGAGATTATAGCACTACGCACTGAGAACAATAATGTACTTGGAACTTGAGTTTTGTTTTGCAAATACTACACACCATGAAGCGAACGCCTTCACCGATGTCTTCTGGTGTTTTCGTACAGTTCTCGCAGCGTACAAGGGGTTTGTCCCTGAGAGTAGTCTTTGCCTGTGCTAAAGAATGGGCAAAATGCGCTCCCGTATTCTCCACGACGTTCAGGACGTCTTTCATCCCCACGCTACGATGGATGATGTCGTGTAAGATCGACTCCAACGAGGCCAGCAGGAAGAAACCTGGTAGTATATTTTCAGAGACGCACAATGTTTGATGAACGAGAGAAAACCCACCGATGAACTTATTCCTGTAGATAGTTGCAACTTCAAACACCATCTTTGTACCTTCAGGTCTCTGTCTGCTAGCATCATTCGATGTCTGTTTCCACCATGAGTTTGGCAGATCCGACGCCTGTTCCCACCAAGAGTTTGGCAGGAATGTTGGATCAGACGAGTCGAAGACCTCCAAGAAACGAGTAAGGAACCCGATAAAACCCTTCCCGCCCTCCGATAGGAAGTTCGAAACTGTGACATCTGGACAAAGAGCACGATTGTCTTGGCCCAAGAGCGTACTAGGTGCCTCAGATGCCTTCTCAAGACCCTGAAGGATATGTCTCCTCTGTGCAGAGGCACCCAACAACAGCCAGATGGTGTTGAATCGTCCTCCGTGAAGAATCTTGCGCAGGCTTCGAGCTGCGCCTTCTTGGATGTTGCGGAGATCCAAGTGGAGGGACTTCAGGTCATCGGGAGTGAGGAAAGAATCATCCAGTAAATAGGAAATCTCCTTGAGGACGTCTGCTGCTGTTAATGATGCGATCGCCGCCTCCCAATCCTTATCCCACTTGAGGATGTCTTGTTTGATATTAGTGATATTGAATTTCTTGGACAAGAGAGGAGGGAATTTTACAGCTTGGTCCTCGGTTGTTGATACCATTTCTCTAGATGATAACTGACAGGTCTGTCTGATGGGCAAGCAGCATGCGAGGATTAGACGCGTTTAAATTTTAAAACCAACACTCTCGCATCGTAATAATCGGATGCCATTACACTAAATGTTGGTGTGGATGATTGATGCATGATGGTCTATAAAGAGAAGGCAATCGCCTTCAAGACGTAAAGCCTCCGGCGGACCGGCCTCATGAGGTAAAGTACTTATATATCGCCAAGTAATGATCCACGAGGCCGCCTGTATATGTAACAGTAAGTTTGAGCGCATGAACATCGACGTAATGTCGTGGACATGTAACAGATGCAGTGCTCTATCTGCATGCTTGTGGTTGTCATAATAATACAGTGCATATGGTACATGGCGGATTCTGACTCTAAGTATGTCACTGCTGAGTGTCCGTGGCAACGTGTACCGAGTTGAATTTCTTTAGGCTGACCGCGTCAAAAACCAACTCGGAATTCCTTCTCCGATCAGTCTACGTCAAGATTAAGCGCGAGATCTTGTACGAGATGAAATCCCTTACATTTCTACTACATTCAAGTGGAATTTGGGCAATCTGATATCCTGGTTAGCTGTTGATCATTGAAAAAAGCTCCGGCACCATGAGCCAAGTGAGGAAAAATGACGGACCCTTCTCTCAGTCTGGTCTCCGTTCACAACGGTGAAGTCGGTGTAAGCATGGTCTCGTGGACGGGCTATCAACGTCGACATGACGGAAATCGTGTAAAATTGTGCGAGAGATTCATTGAAGACCAGATGCCTGTAGAGTATTAATTATTGTTTTAGAAAGCATACCAGAGATGTACTTACATGCCGTCGGTCTGGAGAAACCAAACCTGTAAGTTGGTCTTTAATGCGAAGCAAACGGACTCACAAGTGCTATATATACGGCCAGGTCAATGAGGGTCCATATTGCTGTCAGCAGACCGGTCTGCAGAGTGACTAAAATGCCAATTTCTCGCTCATTAACACAGGAACCGACTGAAAGTCAAGTACCTCGTATTATCTTTTTTATGATATGATCAGTGTCCATGAATCCCGTTTTGTGTTCACTCTGTAGCATGTTAAAGCATGTATGCCCTTATCAAAATGAAGAATGACGGACCAGGGAGCGGACAAGTAACCCGGTAATCAGGAGGTTATCCAAAGCAGAAGAGGCAAGGCCGACGACAAATACGATTTCGAACCTATGAAACTGGGCGAACATAGGCACCATATTGATCGCAACTGTGGTTCCAATGCCACAAACTGGTAGCCATGAGACAACAAGGGTGAGTTTGAACAGTCAAACTACCTACGGAATGCAGCACTCGCGAGAATAACCATGATTCCAATTGGCCAGACACTAGACGTCAAAATGCGGATTCTCCAGGCGAAGAAAAACTGGACGAGGGAGGATACAACACCCTTGTGCATGGTCAGCCGGCAAGAGGCTTACGATCAGAGAACAAAATACCGCGATGCCTGGTACTAAAATGATATGGGCGATTACTGATATGCTAACAGATGACTACTTGAAGAGAAATACGCACGTAAGGAGAAAACTGGAAATGTCGAATGAGAACACGGTGGGGCACGAATTATGAAGAAACAACACACCCCAGTTGGCTCTGGTCAAACTGTATTGGTCACCTTTGTAACAACAAATTTAGACTTTGCATCCACTGCTAAATAAGAATGAACACACCAAAGTGAATGATGAGAGTGTCATTCAAGAAGACAAACTGCAGGATGACATTGGCGGTGCACAGCAACAGAAGGGTTGACACCTGAAAAGTAAAATCAACTTGCTGTCCACTCATTTGAACAAAAAATGCCTCATACAAGAAGTCGTATCCATGGACCGTCACTGGGAGAGAATTGATTATAAAGTGAATATTCATATTGGATCGCATTGCTCACTTTTTGAAGGAAGAAAAATATACGAGTCCTGATGTGACCAGCGCGCCGTACAAAATTGTGTTGACGGCAAAGCCTACGAGTAAGGGGCCAAACCTGATTGCCAGTGAGTGGGGTGGTAAGACCAGAACTTGAAGACCTACGAGATTCCAGCAGCAGTAAGCGGCATGCTGGACACAACCAATATGTGCTTATTGAGCTCCTTCAAGCGATGAGGGGGCTAAAAGACTGGGAAAATGGCGCAGGGTTCTCATATAAGTAGTAGTAGATAGCCCATCCGCATCTTATTCTCGTCCGATTAAAGCGTACGTTTTCAGGGTTTAAGTCAGGGTATCGTTGATAATTCTGAGAATCTACAGAGATCACGAGATTATTTTTTTTCTGTTTTGGAAGGTCACCGCGGTCATATTAATATTAGACCCCGAGCACATTTATACCTAGACTTGGACCAGACTCCACATCGCCGCATCGACGTCTCTAATCAGCCAGAATCACGTTCCCGTGCTCACTCAGTCCTTCCAAATTTTGGAAGTTGCCACTATCCAGCCAGTCTATGTAGAAATCTATTTACTTGGTGGAAAGCATCGTGTGAAAAAAATAATTATGTATGTCATGCTTGTTCGGTCTCGAACATCATTTAGCCTCTTACATAATTGTGATACCGCTTTGCGGGTTTCCGGTACCCTGTTATCACTCGGACGTTACTCGGCTCCATCAAACCCTGAGGAAACAAGGTACGGACATCCCTCACATAATTCACAAAGAAAGGACCCCAGACCGACCTATGACGTTCGGTTCAGTTTATTTGTGATGGCATCACCCAGCTGTATATAACCCTCAACGCATCCTTTCACCCATCTGCTTCCCTTCTGCCCACATCCCTCCATTATCCTCGTAACAGTGCTGTCCCTGACTCCCAATTCTGGTCACATGTGACCTTTTTCTTCTTTTCGGATCACTTTCGCTTGTGTACATTTATTCCACATTTCTGAGTCATGTTCTTCCCAAGTTGGCCGGCCTTCTGTAGGTGAGCCAACCTGGAAGGTTGCGCACATCTAGACAAGCCTTTTGTAGGTTATCTGGTGACCAAGTGCGCAACATAGCAATGCCTGTTGATTACGACAGCATTAATGGAGTTTACTTTGGTTAATTTGAAGCGAAGAGTTGAGCGGATTATCTAGAAAGACTTGACAGCATTAATGGAGTTTACTTTGGTTATTTCGAAGCAAAGAGTATTGAAGTGTCAGGGATATCATGACTGGGTATAGATAGTCCTGGTAAATAGCATATGAAAGTGTATAGATAGTCCTGGTAAATAGCGTATGAAAGTGTATAGGTTAGCGCCATCATCGAGACGGGGGAGGGAAATAATCAATGATACCAGCTCCAGGTGTGAGGGCGTACTCAAGGTCACTAACATAGCTGTTAGAATAGGCTGATCGTTGTCGGGGACAATTATTGCGTGCAGAACGTTGCCTCCATGGACACAGCTCCAGAACACCTTTGACATCTGGTCGAAGAGCATCGAAAAGCGAGTAGGATGGTACTGGTGTGAAGGGTAGGATTCTTCTGGGTGCTGGTTGCTGTGACAGCACATGCATAGTGTCATCATGTGGATGTTGAGTGACACGACGGCGCTGTGAAAGGGCTAAGATGCTGTCAAAACAATGGGTAAATGACATAGACGAAGATTACCTTGACGAGTGATGCTTCTTGAGGCTCGGTAGGCATGAGTAGCATCACGATCACGAGTGCCGATGCCCAATGATGCATGAACGTCGATGCTCTGTGCCGCTCGGTCGTCGAAGGCTCGGCCTCTCATGATACCTCCGAGAAGCGTTAAGTGCACCCCATCACAGTTGATGTTGCGGTGGGCCTGCTCGTTGCCATTTGTGGTGGTTGGGCATGCACGCCAAATATCTTCAGGTATGAAGCTCGCAGGACGGTATAGCGCGGGCAATGCGAACTTGTTAGTCTGAAGTTTGTCCTTAAGCCATGCTTCAGCTTTTCGGCCGCCACCTCTGATGACACTGAGTGTCCTCTGAAAATTGGGATGTGCATCCGATGAAGATAGACTCAGCATGGCATTATATACCTCCTTCGACACCTGTGATTGAAGCGGCCGCAAGTTCCTCTTGAAATGGACAACGCACAAACGGTAGAACCGGCGAAGGTGATCGTAGGGAGTCAGATCGCATAACTTGCGATGCGGTTCGTAAATGCATGGAGTCTTGATGTTTTTGCTAAGCTCTGAGCAAAACATTCCAAGTCCTACCATAAAACACGTCAGCCTTGCTTGTAAGCTGAGGAAAGGAAAAAATATGTACCGAGACCCTGACCCATATGAGCATCTGCCACTACTGACTCATAGCCACTACCATGGATGTGTTTGAAAGATACCGGTGTTCCTGTGTCCTCGCTGGCGATTGAAAAGATTCGGCGGAAAAGAACCAAGTGTGCCTGCGCAGATTGTGAATTTATGAATGCTCGGGCACCCGTAAGAGCTATACTTAGTATCAGTATTGATGAATTCAAGTGACGTGAACATAAACTTACATCGCATGTGGTTGTTGTCCCATGCTTCAATCTCAAATTCTTGCCAGCCATGCAAGCGCTTGAATGACGTGTCAATCGACACACGGCGTGCGAGCAGTAGATGGCGCGACATCAAGGGACTCATACAAACAATGAGACGGAAATCAACACCACCGGGGAGAGTGTGTGTTTCTGCGCACCGAACATAGCGCGCATGACGTGGCAGCTCATTCTCCTTGTCGACGAGCAGTTTTGCACCTTGAAAGCCGGTCCCCATTGGATACTTGTCATGACGGAATTTATACATGAGACGGTGCACATGATCGAGATTCGCTAGAGATGGGTGAAGGTCGGCAAGAGTTGGACTGCGGTCCAGTGTCCAACCCAAAGCCGTACGTAGCCCCCGCATGAATCCAGAGTCGCATAGAATACGTCTAGGAGTTGCATCGGCGAGCTCCCAATCCATATCCATTAGCAACGACCTGAACAAATCAACGAGTGGAGGTGGTGTTTTGATTGGAGCAGGTGGCGGGTGAGAGTGTGGGTTGCGACACACAATAGCGATGCGGGGTACAGCGACGAGGTTGACAGGGACAAAGATATCGAATTTTGACTGGCAGTCGTGCTCCCATTTAAGGAGACGACCACGTTCCAACATGCCGGCTACGTTCCTGTGCCAACGAGCTGCACAAACACGACATCAGCTGAGAGACAGGGAGTTTGAAAAAAATGACTCACCACATGTTTGCTTGTGCTCGACTGGCGAAGCAACAAAATCGCAAGGCACCAGGGGTCCATAACCACAATGTTCCGCACGTTCTTCATGAATAACAATTGCTGCGATGTCGTGAGCGAGCAATGCTTGAAGATAGTTGATATTGAATTCTTGAAGGTTCCAAAGGATGAGATGTGCCCGGTCAGCACGTGAATGATGTTCACATCTACAGCCACGGTGATTGGATTAGCAAATATTAGAATGATGGTGACAATATACTCACTGGATGAATCGTTGATTGTATTTATCAGTGCGCATGATAAGGTTGCCCAAACAAGACGTTGGAGAGTGTGAGGATACGGCGGTGGGAGTCACAAGAGCACGTTCGTAGTCATTGGGGTCGATGTTTGAGTCATTCTTGAAGTTGAAATCTGTGAACTCAGTGCTGGTACGGAAACTACAGCCGTGTACCTTAAGTGCACAGAAAAATGCAAATGTCTTGGTGAAAACTTCACGTTCTGCTGAATCATCAGCGGGAGAAAATGCTCTGGTAGGAGTGATAAGTTCGCTGATGTGTGCCCGGTGGGTGTATGAATGGGTGGCATTGATGAATGTGTCAGTGTTGGAGGAACATGCCTTCAGGCCCTTACCTAAGCACATCACTGAGCGTCACTGACATGATTCACGCATAGATTGACGAAACTTACAAGACGTCGAAATCCTGTTGCACTTAACTGGTTTGCCATCAGTGCTATCTCGAAGCAAATGGCAGAGAACGTTCTTCCGGCCTCCACCAAGAGACCAGCGGCTTCAGCTGGGGCACATTATAAAAGGTGCGTGAGTTTTACTTCTGCTTGTCATCTCATTTTTCAACCATCTACCATGCCAGCTTCTGATTCCATGTTTCTGCTTTGCCGTCGCTACCAACGAAGCAGCACGGAGCTCGTCATCTACTCACGCGATGTGAAACAGTGCGTCGAAATAGCTTAGTGCGTCTGATTTATCCTATCCAGATATCATGCTAACATTTCGTTCATTTCAGTCCAGTCTCCCGCACAACTAGAACTCGTGTAACGCCCGCAGGCATTGCCCAATTTTTGCGACGTAGGCGCACTTCTTGGGAATGCTTCTGCGGTGCCGTGGAGGAGCGCGCAACTCCTGTTCGTTTTGTATCGACAATGAATGGATTTACGAAAGCTGTGTGTTATTTCCGCAATAACAAGTGCGGTTTTTCAAGTAAGTCTTTGAACTTTTTGACAACCTCTATCTCTACCTTACTCAGTTCACAGTCAATCTCAACGAGACGTGTCACACTGCGCACCATATTTCAACCTACGAGGATTGGCCTGTGTTTCAAGCTGCCGCCAACACTGCCGCTCTCGTAACTAGGTTTGAACTTCGACAGCTGAATTCACCTCTCCATCATTCAGAAATTGTGCCATACTTTGTGGACTATCTTGGTGCCCATCGGTCCATTCATCCTTCACAAACATGGACTCGTACAGTCTCTGCCATTCCTGCTCGCACTAATAATAACAGGCGTCGTCATTCTGGTGTGTTTTTTTTTCATTTTCGTTCGTCTTTCATTAACTCACATGAATTCGTCTACAGCTGTCTTTCCCACTGCGAGAGATCAGTTGCTCGGCCATGCACATCACCCAGTGCAACACCCAATGCAACATGTTGAGCCTGATGCTCTCGTAGTCCCTCCCAAAGATGTTCCTGACTTACCCATGGTCCAGGAAGGCCCCATCCTGTCTCCGAACGAGCAGGATCACTTGTTTAAGCTTGCAGCTGGTGGGGGTATTCACGAGTTTGATGCTAACTGTCTTTTGGAGAAGTGTGATGGTTGCAGACGCATATTTATTCCAACTGCACTGAGGTTGCACATCATCGAAGGATGTGGAGAGAGATAGTCTATTGGCACAGACAGCTACAAAATTACAGGACCATGTACATATTCAAGTAGTCTATAAGTACGAAGTTTGTTTGAGTTCTGTCACAGAACTTAAACATACTTCACAAATAACGAGTAAACTTGCAAGGTTTCAAGAGCGAGAGAGAAAAAGGAGCTTGGAGGGACATGAGCGGCGGAAGGGAAGGGAAAAGTTCTGGAGAGGGAAGCATGTCGACGGGTGAAGGAATGTGTTGAGGTTATATACAGCTGGGTGATGCCGTCACAAATAAGCTGAAGCGAACATCACAGTAAGAGTCTGGGGTCCTTTCCTTGTGAATTATGTGAGGATGTCCGTACCTTGTTTCCTCAGGGTTTGACGCAGCCGAGTAACGTCTGAGTGATAACAGGGTACCTATAACTCCCGCTTTGCTACTAAGTTTACAGATCGGCTCCTAACAGGTGGGAAACACGAGTCCTTGAACACAGTAACTCGCCTCCTCCAAGTTCACCGCCCTTGTGCATATCTATTCTGCGCTGTTCAGCACATTCGTGTCGCGACCATTGTCAAGCTAGCCGCTGCGAATTATACACCCAACCCCTCGCCTTCAGCACCAACGGACACGTGAACTCAACGCATGACGCTTAAGGTCAAACACATTCCTTGGGCGCTTCCCCAACTTCTTGGCTTCTTCATCCTCGTGTTCCCATCTCCCTCGTGTCTGCCACCCCCTCCTATACAGAACTTGGGTATGAAGTGTAGCATCTTCTTCACAATCTTTTACATATGAAAATTTTGATCATCAACCAACCCAAATTCTCATGTCATTAATTTTCTGGGTGAGAGAATGTAATATACATTTATGGCTACTGATGCAGCAGGAATACATGTGTAGGCGTTGATATTTAGGACGGTATGTATACTACGAGTTAGAGTGGTAAGCTAGGAGAAGAAGAAATTCAAGATGCAGTGAAAACCACTGAAGAAAGAAATAGTATGAAAGCTGCGGCAATAGCGAGGATTGATGGGAAGAGGCAACGAGGGAGTGTTGACTGCGAGCACGATGGGGATTTGGCGTGCCGCCTAGTATTGATGCGCTGTCACGATTTCAAAAAGAAATTAACCGGCGACAACAGCACAGCTAGGCTGCAGGAGCGGGATTGGTGTCAAAGGTCACTTGGGCAGGGTGCAAAGAGATGCGGCAGCGTTCACAGGCACTAGGCTTGGAAAAAAAAAAGGCAGAGGATACTGTGCGCGAAGACCGCAAACTCGACTTGCAGACGAGTAGGACAACGAAAGCATCATGTAATTGGGACAATGAAAACGATAATACATAGAAAAGGATCCATACCTTTTCATGGTTTGCGGGGTCCAACCTTTACTAAATAACGTCAGTTCAATTGAATGGTTACAGAGCCGAAACGCTAACAGTCGCCAATCAGAATCTCAATCGCTCCTTCTTAATAAACAGAAAGATTTTTGTGATGAAGATGATCAAATAACTTTTGTGACGGTAACCTTAGTAAGTGTCACACCATGAGTCGAATTACGAATACCGAACCAATTGGTAAGAATACTTACACTACTTAGTGCGCAGCATCTCCTCGAGTCCAGCCTTCCATATCGTCAAGTCGCCGTCTCACTCATTGAGACGTCTCATTTTTCCACCTTTTGCAATCAAGGTACGAGCGAGCATTTCGCCGTACCTTTGTTTGCGATATCCATGTTGGGAAATGCAGTACCAGATGATACCCTTCGTGGATAGGACTTCTCCCCAAGTTTCTTTCCACCCTTCCGCGCAGCTTGGGATTATGTTCAACAGGCGAAGAAGCGTACGCCAAAGGATTCGTGGCAAGTAGAGCCATAGAGGGGGGTCAAGCCCTAAATCAACCGGGAGGGCGCATCAGATATCATGATACGCTAAGTATCAAGGGAGATAAGTCGTCAAGTCAAAAGACGTACAAATGATATCTGTTGCATGTTCCGAGATGACCGTGTCGCGGTGGTTGCCGTCAATCACCCATCCTCTGGGATCCTGTGCCATCGCAGCAATAATTCTTTCCTTGCACTCGTCATCTGAAGGGGTTGTCCACCCAGGTCCCCAAAGAAGTGCATCCAGGGAAATATGTGGCACATTGAGTTTAGTGGCAATGTACGCGCTGACGGTTGACTTGAAAGAGATGTTTTCAAGACTTTCAATTTTTTATCCAAGCCTACCTTGCCGGTGCCTAACAAATACCCGTGAGTCGATGAGCAATGAGGCCATGAGCAAACGACGGGCACACCACTATTGCCTACAACATGAACTCTATAGTTGCCCTTACCGTCACCAAGTAGCGACGGGATATTCATCATGATAGTGTGAGTCAAGAGTTATTAGAAGGCTCTCCATCCTCGGAGCCGTTTTCACAAGGATGAACTGGTTCATGATCAATAACTGCGCGTGTTAATGGAAGGCAGCTATATATACACGATGAGTAGAAAGAAGCAGTGAGACCTATCACATGTGATGCAAACCTATAAAATTTAAACCTCCTCCATGTCGTCATCCTCATCTTCATCCACCCCCATATCACCGGAGACTCCTTCTGGAAGAGAACTATCCCTCAGTTCTGAAAAATAAATCATGACTAAAATGAAACTTCCACATACATTCTATTGCACTCTCCGCTCCGATTCAAGCTAGCAATAGCAAGAAGTACCTCTTTGGAGACATGCATCGGGCTGCTGGGTGTACTCGCACAGTGACTTGATGCTCCACCGGTTGCGCGCGAAAGAGTGTGAAGAGAATATCGCAAGAGTTGGTTGATGACATATGCGCCATATGCTCAAATGTGCCCTTGGCAAGTTTGGGTCGAAATTTTTACGAGGTTCAGTCAGTTGTCAGCGACGATCTAGACACGGACAATCATGCATGATGAACTATGACCGCTCTCATCGTTTCCCTCGATATATCTCTAGATCTGGTGCAAACATGTCCTCTCGGTCTTCAACACACTGTCGTCCGCCAGCAATCAGGGCGGACAACAGCCTTTGATCTAACAAGAAATGACAACTCCATAGGATGTATTCTTTGAGGCGTGTTCGACAGGTTGAATGCACGTGGAACGGGACAAACCTCCTCAGTGATACTATGAAATACTCGGGAAGGAATGTCCATGGCCAACTAGGTCGGAAGTCGAGGAGAATGGGGTTACTGTCGGGCCTATCGAATTTACCTCATCCCATGATGGCAAATTGCCTTCACTTGTGGTAGCGAACATGTGATGGCAGCAATCTCTCAATCGGGCTCGTCAAACACAGACGCTTTGGGGCGGGGGTGAGTGGTTGCTCGAGAGTCGAGACATGGTAGCAGGCGCCAGGGTGGAAGAGGGAATTAGCACTCTGCCGTCTGCTCTTCTCCTGTTTATCACCCTTACCAGTACTGGAATTTCATGTCCTCCTGCTGGTCATCAATCGCCCTTCTCATTCGATTTGTCAAGAGCGAGCTGGTATGGCACGATTGAGTGAAATATACAACTTACAATTTCATGTACTCGCATATTGCCCTCCTGTTAGCTTTCCATACGCTTCGAGGGCTGCCAATATAATGATATCTGAGCTCGCAATCTGACCGATAGTGTGAACTGTCATATTCAATGGTCTAGGCTACGACCAAAACAGACCTCAGAGGTATCATAAGCGGCAGTCCCCGACTTTTCACAAGCCTATCAAGATTCAAGTGAATCAGATCTACTGGAACACACGATGGTCTCCACGACGTTGATCTCATCTGTCCCACAATACGTCTCCGCTGAGGAGCACAGAAATATCGTAGGATCGACTCCTACATCGTTCAACGACATCCCTCCCGTACTGCGCCACAAGGAGGACAATGTACGCGTTATGCTCGATCCTCCCCTCCATACATTCACCGAACAAGATTGCGCGAATGGAACGTTATTCGTGATCGAGAAGTAGTTATATTGATAAATCTCTCATTATCGCTATATTCTGATATTTCGTCCCTCACAGCGCCCTTGTCTTCATGTCATCGACCGGGGTTGGATTTCAGGTCCCGTACCCTGCCATCACCCTGCACGCAATTGCGCGTCCAGAATCTGGACCGTCAATATATTGTCAGCTAGACGAACTCACCGGAGAACCTGGAGCAGCTGAGTCACCTGAAAATGATGAAGCCTCCGACATGCGAGAGCTGAGCATCATTCCGTCAAATCCTGCGTCTCGTAAGTTTTCTGAGATCAAATCGCGTCACACACATACTGATAGCAGTTATCGGATCAGTGGAGCTGATATTTGAGGCAATGTCTCTCTGTGCTTCCCTTCACCCAGATCCAAACGTTTCAGATGATGACGACTTGGACGAAGCATTTATGGATGAGAGCGCCTTTGAGACGTTTACGGGCGAAGAGGGCGATGAGCTCAGTGAGGTTGGCCGGGTGCGCAGTGATTTCGTCAACAACAGTCGTTATGCACCGTACTAGACACCTCACGCAGGCGGCTCTCGAACATCTCGAGTCAATCATCGATGATCCATATCATCCAGGCGAGAATGGCCTCAACGGCGCTGGCGAAGATGTTGAAAGCGAAGGCGATGGAGGACATTGATCTGGACGTTTGATTTCGATCTTAAACACATGGCACAAACAAAAGTATATATTTCACCAACGAAGGATTGACGCATAATCCAGACATCCAGTACATGACCATTCGAATCAACAAATCATATCAGTCTTTATCTACGACTTGAAACCTTTGGGCCGAACATCAGCAGACAGTGTTGTTTTTGGTGCGACAATTGGTAATGGTCCCCAGTCAAATACAGCAGCGGGGGCTTTTGGTGCGGGCGTTGGAGAAGCTTCGAGACTCTCCGACTTCAGCATAGCCGCCGATTTAGCTGAAGACCCATGTCTCGGTGTTCGCTGTGGGCGACGCGAAGAGGATGCTGTGTAAGACGTAGAATCGTCATAATTGATGGACGTTTCTGGCGACCACCCGCCCTGCGTGAATATAGGGGTGTTGAACGCAGGCAAGGCGCTGCTAGGAAGGGAAATGAAACTAATAGGTGTAGGTGTAGTTGGCTCTTGCTTCACCGCTGCTCTGCTTGGCGTTAGGAATGACGTAGGCGCGGGTTTGGATGCTGCCTTGTTGTTAAGCAAGGGCTCCTTCCTTACCGCCAGCAGAGCCCGCTTTAACTTCTGTGCAGAGCGTTCAGCATTCAATGCAGCAGCCGTGGTAACTGCTACATGGGGAATTACGGCCGACGGCTTCTTAACGCTTGACTCCGAGAGCTGTTTGTCTCGTGGACCAGAGACATTAGAGGATATGTCCAGCTTGCTCATTCGCTGCTGGAGTTTTGCGACATCCCCGCTTTGTTGCGTGATCGAGATATCAATGTTGCGGAAAGCGCGGTTCACGGTATCCAAAGACGGTGCCCTGTGACCAAATTATGAGATGTTGACGGCGTTTTAGGATCGGACAACGAACTTTAGGCTCGGTTTGCCTGCCTTTAGTTCAGCAAGCCTCTTTTTAGAGGATTGCAGATGGTCCTCGAGCTTTTGTACACGGTCCCCCATCGTCTGTCCACGAAATCAGCATACTATCCTGTGAATCAGAGACAACTGTACCCTTATATCCCTCCGTAGTTGCGACTGAGTCTCCAGATATTCTGGTCCGAGAGTTCTAATCTTGAGCATCTTCGCAAACTCACTGTCCGTCTGAGCTCGAGTAAATCGGATGATTTCCTCCTTTCTTGTTCCCGCTGTGTACCATGCATTAGTTGATAATCTTGGTCTCAGCACTCATGACAGACCCTTCAACATACTACTCTCAAGTTCCTTCAGCAATTGTTTAAGAAGTTTCCGTTGCTCCTTTATCTCTTTGATGTCACCCTGGACTTCAGTCATTACATGACCATACTCCTTGATGTCTCCAGGCGCCCATTTCGTTGCATCTGGAAGATCTGTTTTCACATGAGATTGTCCTGGTGTTTTCTTTGACCCTAGTTCGGCGGCTTGCTGTGTTGCACGCGCTGCCATAGTTTTTAGCTGACCAAAGGGTAAGCCTTCAGTTTGAATGTGCATCAAAGACTTACATTGTCGAGTTCCCACGTTAGACGTGAGACCATGAACGAGCACTCAGACTGCATGCCTTGTTCGATGGGCGGAGCTGGTGGAGATATCGAAGGAACTGCAGATGGCAGCGGGCCTGGAGACAAAGACATGGGACCAGCGGATACAGCCCCAGGTGGTTTGAAGCTACTGAAAACGCCAGGAGGCGGAGGAGTGAGAGTAGGAGGCGCTTCCGGTGTTTTGGCTGGCGTGCCGAAGATGCTGGGAGACGCGGGGCTGGGACTCTCGCTCGGCTTCGAAAAACCAAAGAAACCTACTGGAGGGGGCGTAAAGACTGGTGGGGTTGGAGTCTGAGACTGAGTTGGAGCTGGAGCACCGAAGATGCTAGACGCTGCGGGTGGTGTGGTAGTCAGCAGGGGCTTTGGAGGTAGTGTAAACGCTGGTGGCATAGGCAGCGCCGTGATGGCCGGCGCGCTTGTACTCTTGCCGAACAGAACTGGGGGCGTTCTGGGCCGGGAAGAATCAGATTCTGCGTCTTGCTTCACTGGGGGTACCCATGCGCCGAATTGCGGCCTCGGTGAGGCGGGATGCGGTACCATAGTCGGAGGTGCTGATTTCGCTTGGGGTAGGAAACTGGGAGCTTCCATGTCTCCGGTGAGGGGGGCATTGGCAAGAGGTGAACTTTTGACCGGTCGAGTACCGGTCGTCCTGGGAGTTATAGCGAATGGGGAGGAGGCAGGAGGCTTTGGAAGAGGCGAAACCACAGGAGGTGTGGCACATTGAGCTTCTGGTACGGGAGATCCTGGTGGTGTTGTACTCTGGTCCCTAACTGGAGATATCTTTCGAGGCGGAGGAGAAGGCGAAGTTGACAATGTAATGGTCGGTAACTCCGCTTTTGGAGTGGTCGATCGAGACCTTGGAGCAGGCGATGGGATGGAAGAAGGAACCACTGTTGACTCAGGCTCTCCTTCTTGCGTCTGCACTTCCCGCACTTCTTGATGTGTATCCCCTTGCTTTTTCTCTTCCTCATGCTCTTCCTGTAGTTTCTCCTGTTCCTCCCACTGTTCCTCCAGCTCCTCCTGTTCTTCTTCCCGTTCTTCTTCCCGCTCGTCCTGCCCGTCTGGCAATTCAGACCCTTCCGACTCTTCCGACTCTTCCGATTCATCATCATCATCATCAGAGATAAATGACTTCGTGTCGTCTTCGAGTTCCCCATCCTCATCAGATTCTTCAACAGTCGAGTCCGCATCACCCTCAGTCGCATCTTCAGCAGAAACATCAACGAAGGATGAGGCTGTTGAAGAAGAGATGGACTCCAAGGAAGGTTCGTGAGGCAAAGCCTTGTTATCTATGACTTTCACCTCCTGCACTTTCTCCTCAACCACAGGAAGCGGTGGAGTGGTTGTCCTAGTTGGCGTTTCCTCTTGCTTGACAGCCTCCGCCTTTGCAACCGGCATAGTAGGCGTGAGCGGCTCTTCTACCTTGACATTCGTAACCTCTTTAGCGGGTGTCTCAGGCTCGACAATGCGTACGGAAAATACATTGACAGATTCTGTCTTCGGGGGTTCCTTGGCCTTGTCACCAGTGCTCTTCAGCAACTCTCCAAACGACTTTGGTGCACCCGCAAACGCGCTGAAACCGCCACCTCCACCTGACGCAAAAGCACTAAAACCACCCGTTGAAGGTGTTGAGAAAGCTGACTGGAGTGGGCTGGGTGGGCTCTTGAACGCCCCTCCTGGCATGGATGACGCACCAAATGTAGGAGCTGGGGAACTAGGCGTCATGGTCCCAAAGGCACTTTTCGTTACGGCACCAGGCATCGACGACTGGCCGAAGGCAGGAGCCCCGGTAGTAGGTTTTGTTGGTGTTGAAGGGGAACTTGATGCTAGGGCAAATGCAGAGACAGGTGGCTGTGCTGGCGCCGGCCTGTAAAACGGAGAGTCTTTCGGTGTTTCTCCAAATCCAAATCCAGAGGAGGGTTTCATCGAGAACGAAGACGAAGATGGCTTCAGATTACTGAAGGCACCTGTCGTTGGAGCTGGCGCAGAGCTCTTGAATCCAGACTCGGTCTCTTCACCCCTCTGCGCGACAGGGGAAGGAGACCGGCTTTCCTCCCGCGGCACAGACGTCTCACGTGGAACGTTAATTGCCTGGACAGGCGTTGGTGCATCGGGTTTCGTAGCATTGGTTGCACTACCCCATGCAGGCTTCTGAGAACCTGTATTGGAAGTAATAGCTCCGAAAGCATTTGGGGCACCTGTCGCAAATGCAGCGAAGCCTCCGGAAGTAGGTGCTGGTGTTTGTGCAGTAATGGTGGTTGATCCGAAGGGCGATTTTCCAAAAGCCGACGTTCCAAAGTTGGATTGTCCGAACCCAGACTGCCCAAATGAACTCTTCCCAAAGCTAGGGTCAGGTGTGACTCCAAATCCGTTCTTCCCGAATGCAGAAGTAGGTGGGATAGCAGATCCAAACGCCGAGGTAGTTGCTGGGGCACCACCTCCAAATGTCGATGTGGTCGACGCACCACCGAACGCATTGAACGGACTCTTTTGCTGGCCTCCGTTACCGAGAGCTCCAAAGCCGGTTGCAGGTTTGATGAATCCACCTCCCGCTGAATCACTTGTAGGAGAAGATTGAGATGCAGCTGTGTTCCCAAAAATGGAGGGCCTTGAATCAGCACCCTGAGGGGCAGGGTTGCCGCCGCCGAGTGACAGTCGACCAAAGCCGGGTGTATCATCTGCAGCCATACTATCTTCTGCAGAAGCTGATGTTAGTGCACTTTGTGTAGGCGCGATAGGTTGTGCTCCTCCAAACCCAAACTCTGTCTGTCCGAACTTCGAGGGTCCAACGGTGCCAAATGCCCCAAACCCTCCCGAAGTAGGCGTGGTGTCAAAAGCAGACTTCCCAGCTTGAGCAAACGGCGAGGCTGATGGAGCGGCGGACCCAAACATGGGTGTGGGCTGTCCGAATGATGACTGGCCAAATGATGACTGACCAAAAGAGGGTTGAGCAAATGCTGAAGTTGGTGACGGCTGTCCGAACGCAGATGTACTTTGCTGGCCGAAAGCATTCATTGTTGGTGTCTGGCTAAATGGAGATCCCAGTTGCTGACTAAACGATGATTGTCCAAATGAAGGCTGTTTCCCGAACGCAGACGACTGGCCAAAATCAGGGGCTGTCTGGGCGAAAGTTGATGCACTGGCAGAGGATGAAGTGGGTTCAATAGGAGACGCATGCATGTCATTGGACGGCTCCCGCATTATCGCGGTGGGCACAGCTGACAGTGTCTGAGCGTTCTCCATCATCGTTCCCGAGGACTGGGTTACCATGCCCGGGTAAGGTGTTCCCTTGATGTTGAGGATATGCCAACCTGCTAATGTCCCATCTGATGCGTATGCATACATGATAGGTGAAGGTGGCAACTGAACACCTTCCCCGGACGCACTCGTATGGTGGAACGGCTCAGTGCTAGTTAGATCAAGTTCTAGGCCAACGAGGACGGTGTCGTTCATGTCCCTGTCCAACGGGAGGCTCGGCGTCGACGTTTCCTCAAGCGACAAATTCGACCAATTCTCTTCTACACATCCGACCACCCCAATGTCAGATGAAGTACTGTCTCCCATAAATAACAATATCTTTGCGGGATCCCACCCCCGCAAACACACGATAAATGCACCAGGTGGCCGCAGCCCGGGCGAAGGGTAATACGGAGAGGAGAATTTCAAGTCTTGTGCAGAATTAGTTTTGCCATCAAGGGAGACGTGGAAGTGAGTTTGTTCGACTTCTGGGTTAAGAGGCAGCTGGGCGTAGATCGCATGGAAAGACGAAGCAGATAGCCAAGTCGATGATATGACGCAGGCATTAGATGCTGAGGGTGGGCTTGGAATGCTGGACTTTGGGGTGGAGGTAGAAGTAGGTGCATATGTGACGATGGAACCGCTTCTCATACCCAGCGCAAGCTGCTTGCCCTTGGGAGACCAGGATACTGTACAACGGTCAAAATATCAACATAGCATTGGAAGAAGATACGTACTTGACGCGGGAATGGTATTTGGTAAACTCCCTGCTACCCAACCTCCCACAGATGTTAGCTTTTGGACGTCGAGAAGCTCCACTGCTAATGCGTTTGAGCCACTTTGGGAGTCCCGTAAGATAGCTACAAGTTCCGGAAGATCTCCCGTATTCGGAGATATCGAAACAACGAAAGCTGAAGGCACAGCAGGAAGTGAGTAAATGGGATTGATGGGACTGTCTCCAGGGGAGAATAGGTGTTCTGCGGCGTAAACCATGATCGACCCCTCAGCAAACCCAACGACGAGTCTGGAGTCATTGAATGAAAATACAACAATATTTGGAGTGGCAGCACCCAGGGAAACCTTCCTTTGAGGTTGATATGGTCGGTCATCCGCATCGTTGGCGGTAGCGAATGCGGAGCGAAGATCGCTGAGGGGCGACAGCACAAGAACTACAAAAGACGTACTTCAGCAATGATTGCGAGGCGTGTGATATTGATACATACTTGTCCCAGAATTGGAATCTCGGCCCACTGCTGCAAACCATCCTCGAGAGTTTGCGACCGCGAATAAGGAGGCCCTGCCTGGGATGGGCGAAAGGTTTATGGATTCTTGGGAAAGGCGAACACGAGCGCGCTTATTCAGTTGTCGAAGAACAAGAAACTAGATGATGAACAGTTGAAGAATACGATATGCCAACTTTGAAAGATGAACGCACGTCGGCATCCTTCTCCCCCGGTTCAGACGATGCTGTTTGAACGGGAGGAGGGACTGTAGGCTGAATTTGTGAGATATTTGACATAGAAATCCGCTTCTGCTCGCTCAGATAAGTTCACAAGATTCTCTTGGCCTGGATAAATGGAAACACAGAAAAGAGGAGTGCTTTGACTCTGGGCAATTTAAGAATTTGAATATATTTGACTGAGTCACGTGACCTTATAATAACTTTTGTGACAAGTCTTTCGTCGCGTCAAACGACTAAGTGAGTAGCTGAGGCTGTGAGCTAGGTTATCATCGCTACTTTACGCAAGTGATGATCCGCCAGAAGTCTAAGTAGTAGACATCTCTGCGATTGAATTGGCCGCTGGCGTGCTTCTCGTGCACGTACTAGTACTAGTAGTGCCTGCATCACATGTGCACCGCTTGCACGGTGTCAAATGTACAACCAGTCACACACTCACCCTCTCGCATCAGAATTACCACTATCTCTCTTACAACGAAACATAATGGCGGTCCCACACGATGCTCAGTCCGCCGCACTGCTTGCCCACGTCGCGACACAATTGCAGCTCAATATCTCCTTCCTGGAGTCTCAGAACTACATGTCTGCTGAAGACGCCCGCAGCATGCGTGAAATCATATCACGCCTGCCCGGCGGCGCAGGCCAGTCGGTTGTGACCACCAGTTTTAATTTTATCGATCCAGCAGTCATGACTAGAGCTATCCCGCCTCCAGCAGACATGCCTAAAGGGAGAGCGATTCCGCCCCCACCTGTACAAGCGCCCCCGGTATCGCCTATTTCCTCCCAGAAACCTAGACTCGTGAAAGCTATCTGGGCATACAACGAAGACGGGGGAGTAAGTTTGCTGCCCACCCAGTATCTTTACAGTATTTACTTTTGCCACCAGGAACCAGACGATCTCTCGTTCGCTACTGGTGAAGTCATCGAAGTCGTCTTGGAGAAGAACGAAGATTGGTGGCTTGGTCGCGCACGTGGTCGGGAGGCTCTATTCCCGTCTAATCACGTCGAGAGCATAGACGCTTCTACCATCCCCCAAGCCGATGCAGTTGCAACGACTGCAAAGAAACCATATAGGCCATTTGGCGCTGCTCTGCATGGGACTGATAAACCTCCCGCCGCGGGTGTAGGCATCAACTCTGTTGGTCTGCAGGAAGCATCTGGTCAGACAGAAAAGAAGAATAAATACGGAAAGTATGGTAACACGGTTTGTTTTTTCGCTTTAAAATCGAGGACGTAGGCTGATACAGGTCTGGTTACTCAGATGGCCCACTCAGCTGCAGGGGGCGTTGGGTTTGGTGCTGGTAAGGAGTCTATCATGCAGGTCGAATGTCATTAACATACCCTTGTAGGTGCTGCCATTGGCGGTGGTTTGATCAGAGCGATTTTCTGATATGGTCGTGGCACACGGTTCGGAACTTTAGCTATCACATGGACCTGGTATGGGCAGTATCTATTTATAATCATTCGCTCTGTGTCTTCGAGCATATTGGCAAACAAGTTGAAATACTGATCGTCCAGTTGCGCTGTGTCGCGTTTTCAGGTCTCAAGTGGAAGGGACGTGACGTCACAGCAGACGTGCTTATCCTCAATTTATACAAAGTCACTCGCATGCGTAGGCTTCAGGGCCTTGGACTTTGTGGCGGTTCACTATCTGGTTCTTGCCCTTACACCAGCCCGCCCGCCCTGCCCTTTCCAATACTCGAGCCATCCCGAATTTCTTTGGAGACTCAACCGTTTACCTGGGTCGATTTCCCTCGCCTCATGTATACTCGTATCTCCGCTGACAACGGATGATCTCGATGAAATAATTTATTTCACGTCATGTTTGAAACATTCTGGTGAACTTACCTATCTTGACCTCTCAAGCACATCTATCGTACCAAAAATGAGGCCAACGGCTTGGTTGATCATATATTCCTGGCCTTGGGTTAGACGTCACGCGTCATCGCTCAAGGCTCAGCGTTCAAGCTTCCGGTTTAATAAGCAAATGTGATCGTGGGCGTACTACCACTTGTTTCGGCTAACAAGTACTAGATGTCCACGGGAGTTCGCGCATTTTTGGAAAAACGGTTATTACTCCACATCGCACAAACAAACAAAATTAATTCTTTGACAGTTCGATAGCGTGACATCGAAAGTACAAGGTCTACTATTTTCTTAAAATCGACGTGTTGAGTCCAGCGGAGAGTTACCGCGCAGAAAAGTGCATTTTCCCTAGAGTTCGCGCACTTCGTCACACTATGTCACACGTCTGCCGCAATGCCTTTTCACGCTCCGCAGAGTCCGCACCGTTTGAGTGTTGTGAAGTCGTGCATGGTGTAAAGCATTTCGGCATTGCGGAGTTTTGATTACTATGTAACGCTTTGGGCAGATTGTCACGTCTGGGGCTTATTTCTTTATCGCAGATAATCCTGACAAGCATGTGCCCCGGATAAATTTGTTTTAGTATTCTCTAATCATGTACATATAACCATCTTACAATATTCCAGAATTATATGTGAAGATTTGACCTTTAGAGCGAACCTTCTATGCCTCTCGCACTGATAAGTTGCTCATGGGACAAGATCTACTTCGATTTTCTTCAAAAAAAATATGGCAGTGTGTATTATGTTTGGGCGAATCCAGATCTATCATGGATAAGGATTCCGTGCAGAATTGCGTGTGCTAGAGTCAATGCACGGACTCTTGGGACACACGGACTCGTGGGACCATCTAGTACCCGTTACATAGTCGATGAGCAATGAGGCCATGAGCGAACGACGAGCACCGTACCACTATTTCCCACAACATGGATTCTATAGTTGCCCTTACCGTTAACAAGTAACGACCGAACATTCATAGTGTGAGTCAAGAGTTATAAGTAACAAACAGCCTTTGAAGTTAGAAACTCTGCCTTCTATCTTGCATTATGTATTAAGTTCTGCTGTTTTTACACGGGTGAATTGGTACCTGATCAATAACTGCGCGTGTTTATGGAAGGCAGCTATATATACACGGAAGAAGCGATGAGACCTGTCTGTGATGCAAACCTATGAAACTTCCTCCATGTCGTCGTCGTCGTCGTCTTCGTCCTCGTCATATTCATCCGCCCCCATATCACCGGAGACTCCTTCTGGAAGAGAACTTGGCCCAGGGACGTTTTCGGCTTTCATCTGTTCTCTAGACTTCAGTTCTGAAAAATAACCATAACTAAAATGAAATACCCCATCTTTGGCGAACACATCGTTCAGCTCCCACATTCCATTGTATTCTCCACTCCGATTCAAGGTAGCAATAGAAAGAAGGACCTCTTTGAGATATGCCTCGGGTTGCTGGGTGCGCTCGCGCAATGGCTTGATGCTCCACCGGGGTTGCTCGCGAAAGAGTGTGAAGAGAAGATCCAGCAGCTGGTTGCGTGGCATACGCGCCATACGCTCAAATGTGCCCTTGGCAGGTTTGGGTCGAAATTTCTATGAGGTTCAGTTAGTTGTCCGTGACGATCTAAATAAGCAGACACGGACAATCATATTGGCAAACGATCCCGAGTTGACTCCACTGCTCAACCTGTTAATGCCTCCGCGGCTAACACCAGCATCTTCTATCATAAGGATCTGCCTTCGTGGGGTATTATATTTTCGAGTTCGTTCGCGCATTTGTTGCCTGTATGACTCGTTGAAAAGAGGACGCAAATTACATTCATGTTTAATGCGACCCGTTAGAATGGTTGTTCTAGCTCGAGGGTTATACGAGGCGGAGTTTGGTCCAGAAGGTCCAGGGTCTTTGGGACGTTCTGCGACTACCAGCTGATTCTCAACGTCCTCGTTGACCATTTCAAGTTCATATCTGTCTACCTGCATGCCCCCCTCAACAGAAGGTATGAAGGCTGCATCTGGAGAAAAGACCGGCAGACTTAGATCCCGTGGGGTTGTGTCATTCGGGTCAGGCGGCAAGAACAAGAAGATGCGAGGGGATCGACCAGATGGGCTGACGGCATTTTTATACACCCGGATTGTGGCAAGATGAACATCCTCTGCGTCAATGGCCGCCCAGCGGGCCATGAGATGTTTAGGTATCTTCAATTGCAAACGAGCATTAGAAAGCCCGGAAAGTAAAAGGAATGAAGAGACTCCGGCAGGGTGGAAGTAACACTCTCTACCCTTCTTTCAACAGCCATGGGGCAGGCTCACCTTGACAAGCCATACTCTCCCGTTTCCCTTGTCCAACATTAGCTCCTCATCAGGGTCTGGTTGAGCATCTTCATCGTTGTGTTCGGCCTCGAAAGGCTTCTTCTCATCTTCGACAGTCAGATCATCCATGTGAAGTTGTCCGAGACTTTATAACAAATGACCTTCAAATTGGTGAACTAACAGATGCTTACTAAGCGACTATATGACACGCCCGGGCCATCTCATTTGTTTCCTTCACCTCTCGCTCACTCGTTGTTTTTGATGTGAGAATTCGACGGTCAATCTTAAATTGCTGATACGTCGAATACTGGCGCTTTGTGCATTTGAGGATGTGCTTCTATCGGGTCGACTGTTATTTTGGTCGTGGACTCCAACGGCGAGGACTATCAAAGATATGTCTTTAACCTTAGTACCATTTGATCACGCACCGAACCTTCGAAGAGTTGGGCGATCTAAGTTTTTCTGCAGTATCATGCTCCGTATGGTCGTTGAACGTTGAGACACGTACGTACACCCTTACACCTGATGTTTTGTCCTTGCGATGTGACGACGTGGTGCTGAACCAGGTGTATTTGTTCCGAAATCATATTTTATTCAGACTGGGCGCATATACGCTCATTCACGCGACGCTGTTTCGCCGCGTCGTTGATCACCTCTCAGTAGTACTCGCAGATCTGTGAGTGTGTATGCGACGGCGGGATGCCTCATTTTTCTGAGTATGCGTTATTTTGACGATAGGGCATTGCCTGGCTTTTGTGGAGAGTGCAATTGTAATGGTATGTGCGAAGGTGGGCCTCCTTTGCTGGGTTCTGCCTATGTGTTTTTCTTTGTGCTTCTTTTGTGTCTTTCTTAGCACCTCCTCTGCACCTTTCGACCCTTCTCTTACGTCTTTCTCAACGTCTCTTTTTGTGCATTTCCATTTCGATACCTAATTTGCGTACAGGTTCGACGTACTTGATGCAATCGAGCTACCTGAGTTTGTTGACGATCTGGCTGATCGTTTTAGTGCCATCTGGTTCACTTACATGGGCTCACGTTCCTCCTGTTGTCGCATGTGAGGACTTAACTGGATTTATTTTGGCGAGGTAGACGGTAGTTTTGACCTGCGCGAGACATTCAGGGACAGTCTTCCTCTCCAGTATTGAATGTGCTCTTGTGTTTCATTTATCACAGCATTTGGCACCCGCGGTAGAAATGGTAACGCCAGGCTGTACAATACCCACGATAAGTCTAGCAAACTCAACTTTATGTTTCACAACATCTTAAACATGCCTCCTAATGCAGATCATGAAACCCAGTCACCCAAGCTTTTGGATACTTATTATGTGAAATCCGCCATGGAAAGGACAAGATCTGACACGACACGTTGTAGATTCAATGATTCTAAATCTACTGGTCGTTTTCTCCGACGATCAGATCGGATACCTCCCTTCACTGTTTTCCAGGATGCCCTGGACGAAATATCTTTCCACCATCTATCCCAAGATTACTAGTATAAAATCCGCCGGAAAAAAGAACAACCAACCTGGCGACATTAGGGCGGCTGCTGAATTCGTCGAGTCCAATATTCAGAATGACAGCACCGTATGGCAGGTGGAGCAGATCAGCCAGAGTGATATCATATCTTTGGGTCAGCACGATTCAGCGTCTGTTCATGCAGATGCTCACATTTCTGGCCAGGTATTTTTGTTTGCCAAGGATGACATCGTAAGCATCAAGTTTAGCAGAAAGCTGGCCTTGTAATGATTTAACACGGGCTTCGTCAGCCTGTCTTCCCACCAAACAACTTATATTGAAAGTTGCAGATTCGACAGCGCGATGCAGGTGACTGGTAGCCACTTGGTGAACTCCAACTCCCATGCCAAACCAGAGACAAAAGGATCATAGTTAGATGTTTCGATCGACGCAGCTTGCTCAAACTGGGCTCCAAAACTCGCCAGAGGTGTGCTTTTTTGATGATCAGTCCATGTCGTGCTGGGGGTGTGCCCCGTGAGCTCGAGTCGGCATCGAATGTTCTGCTAGATTTGGTTCTCGCGAATTTCGGTGCGCTCTCAGGCTGTGTCTTGACGGTTAGTCAACTTAGATAAGCATGGCAAATGCCGGTCCCGCCGCTACTTACTACAATGTTAGAACGGACAAGTCACAAATCGAACCGTTTTTGACGTGAAGTTCAATTCAGATCACTTGTACAATATTTTATACACATCTTACACAAATGACTTCTGATACTAAGTGCCGAGCCCTTTTTACAGCTGATTAAGCTTTGGCTTTGACTGCGAGCCACGAAGGCCTCGCAGTGATATCCTTCCACCACCTGTGAGGTAGGTTGGTGAGTTATCTGGCCACAGCAATATCTGTTTAGGAACGGGCGCTCACCTTGCCACATTCGGTCTATCTTCCAACAAATCGTACCCCAATTCTTCGAATACGATCGTTCCATATGGAAGGTGGAATAAGTCGGCCAAGGTAATGCTCTAATGAAAGCTCTTGGTGAGCAAGCCATACGGTCGCACCAATCGTCGTTACTTACACCTCCTGCAAGATACTCCTGTTTTCCGAGTATAACATCGTATACATCCAGCTTTGCCTTCAAGTTGTTCACCAGGTCAGATAGCCTAGCTTCATTTGGTTCGAGGCCACGATGCCTGTTGAAAACGCTTCAGCCACGAACTCTGCAGAGCGTTAAGTCACCTACTTCTTGATGATCTTCTCCGTGGTAATACCCAACACAAACGGGTAGAAGTTCGACGTCTCGATTGACACTGCTTGTTCAAAAATGGCCTCCGCTTTGGGGTCACGGGGCACGAGATCTGGGGTGCCTTGCGATGCATACTTCTTTGCAATGTATCTGCAAATGGCTCTGGATTCATAGAGAATGAAGCCGTCGTCATCCTGACCGCTGCTGTATCAGCATTTGTCGCCGTAAGTGGTACAAATGAATTACTGACTATGTAGGGGACCTGTCCGAAAGGTTGGAACTCTCTGAAGGCAGGTGTTTTGTGCTCTCCTTTGTAGACTTCCACGTTCACAAGCTCGTACGGCACTTCCTTCTCTCGGCAGACTTCTGCGACGAGTCTGACGAGGGGAGCGACAGCGTGGCCATGTATTTTAAGAACCATTGTAGTTGTGACTGTAGGTGGAGGAATGACTAGTATCGTTGGTGATCTTGTGCTGCCCCCTATATACGCCCAGCGCACTTAGCCTCTTCGATCGAGACTAAAGCTTTTCGGGTACTGTATGAGGCTAGAGTCGTCATGACGCGCGATGAGGTGACAACACTAGTGAAATCTGTGCGTCATGTTGTCCTCGTTAATCCACTTTGGTTAGGCAAGTCCAACCTATTCAATTTGATTGATCCAGCCTCTCAGTGATAGCCGATATTTAGGTCTACTAGTAAGTACTGGTGATAGCGGAGATACTTACGTCATAGTGGCAAGGTATTCCTGCTCCAACTGTGACCGGTGACCAACCAATAACAAATGGGGTGGAATAGCAATGCATAAACTGCGGAACCAATTAGGCAACGGCCAGGTAAAGCTGATGGGCTGTGAATGTAGAGACGAGAGATATTGATTAAGAGCAGAGCATGGCCAGTAGTATCAGTGCACGTTGTACAGCATGACTAGTATGTTGTCCGCGCGCGAAAAGTATTGCTTGCAGTGACTCGTACGTACATACAGGCTCCCAGTATGATATGATTGATCTATTTAGACCACAAACAAACTAAACACTACATATGGCTAAAGTACATGAAACGTATAGGTATATAGAGATAACTCCGTGTATAGAATGGATCCAGAAAAAAGTTCGTGTATACCACTCATCGATCAGGACGTAGATTTGTCAAGCTTCAAGCTTCAAGCCCCAAATCAAACGTCATCTTTTTTGCACAGCAATGGTACTGTTCTCCGCCTCTCCACTGGGTGCTGCAGGACCTAACTCCACATCCTCAACGAACCTTCCCATTTCACCGGGGCTGGGGGCGCGCTCCTTTCCTTTGCGGCTCGAACGGCTCCAAGACAAAAATTTCGGCTTCTGTTGTGGTGCAGTCACCGCTGCATCGTCTGACATGCCCGCGCCAGGCTTAACCTGTTGTGAATCCTTCTTAGATACACTCTGACTGGTTCCCTGCGCCTTCTCCGCCTGCAACTTCAAAAATTCTTCCCCTCTTATCCTCAAAAACTCTTCCAGAAGCGCGGCATTCCTTGAATTCGCCTTGAACACGGCCATGACAACGTCACCCGCTACGGGTACTAGGCCGCTCAAAGCTGAAATTGCATTGTTGAGGAGCATGCGGCGCACGAGCCAAGCTGGTAGTTCAGCCTGCCTGGCTTTGCGGACGACCAGGAAATAATTAAGTGTGACATCAGCGACATCGCCGGCGCCAGGGATAATACCGATGATAAAAGCCCAGCCAAATCGGAGACCACAAATGGAGAAACCTTTGTCTAAGTAGTGGGCACGGCGCTGCACCGACTTGAGAATCTTTGCATCACGCTCTGAAAGGCCGGGAGGTATTGCGCGCTTGAAAATAGTAAGACCGAGGGTAGCGGAATTTCGAAGGAAGGGCTAGAGCACCTTTCTGCGACGCTGTTTGCCGCGCTTATCGGTATAAAACTCATACAACGGGTCTTCGGGTCGGTATTGCTCGAGATTCTTTTCAAAGAGCTTTGTACCTGCTTTTTGAAGGTAGGAGGTCATGACAGGGAGAAAGAAGAAGGGAATGAGCGACCGTAACGCATTTTTGCATATATAACAAGAGCTCCATCAATACACCTGACCCGTTCGGCTACAAACCTTGCTTTGTGTATTCCGCGGTCAAGTACTATTTTTGTTACAAAACTTATCCATATTTGGTATTTATGTAATTTTGAAAATATATAACAAAATTTGTACATGAATTAGTCAGCGATATTACATTTGACGTCAAGATGTCTCCATCCACTGGCAAGCTCGACGAAGAATATGTTCAAAATAGCTTTCACACTTATCTCAAGTCATCTCTCACACAAGCGAAAGTGGAGAAACTGATAGAAGACCAAGTTCTAGCATCCGCACAAGCAGATATTATGATTACTGGTGCGCAGCAGCCGCAACAAGCAGCTCTAATGTCTTGGTCTGATCATGTCTGACGTCAATGTGACAGGTCCGGCATTGTGCTTGTACTTTGCGGCCCTTAGATGCACAACAAACCCGCCATCTGTACCACTTCCTCGTGCCACAAAGTCTGCACCGCCTCTCGAGCTCTCGCCAGACAATTGCCCACCGGCATTTCTCGGCTTTCTAGCCGTCTGGGCAGCTACGGTGCCGCGAATCCAGGGCCTCATCCCTCATGACCAGCATGATCTTGCTCGCATTATTTGTGGCCTCGAACCTATTGCTATCCCCCCAAACTCCGAGTGCGCCGGCATCGCTGCCGATCTACGTGCTGTGGCAATTGAAATAAGTCAGCGACGCACCTTTCAGGATAGATATGCAAGCGATCTGCAGGCTGCGTTAGATGCAGGCGCATCAAGCAGTGGTTTGAAGGTCAAGACGAGTTTTGTACCACCACCTCTATATTCAGATCAGCTTTCCCCTGAATCGTCCGGATATGAGTCCAAGAAATTCGCTTCTCCTTCGTCTTCATCCGTTCTGTCCGCATTTCCCTTGCGTACGCCTTCCCCTACGATACTCACCCAAGACACCCCTGAAATCGACTTCATCCGCGAGACACTCTACTCCGCGCTCGCAGTCGTGCTAGAGCATATCACAGCCTCCCGGGATCACAACCCGCACCCTCTTGCGCGTCTATTCAAACATGATCCCCCACGTGCCCATTTTGCTGCGGTCAGCCTTGCCATTCTCGAGGTGGCCACGATGCAGGGAATCATTATCCCCGATCAAAACGCCATCATGTGCGTCAGTGCACGAGAGCTTGGAGGGCACAAGCTCACGCCAGATACATGTCCGGAGCCAATTCGGCCGTTCATGATGGAGCTCATTGCCATTGGGCGGGACGCGCAGGTGATGCAGGACGAAGACAACGAAGCGACGATCAAGGCTATTGAGAGAGGTAATGAGGATATCCCGGAACCTAGGTTCGAGCGCGTGCAGGCCATCATCATCAATGGTGTACGAGTCAGTGGGGGTACTGCGGATGATAGGTGCAGGACGCGTAAAAGGAGCGTGGAGGGACGGGCTGTGACATTTGCCAACAGGGTGAATGCCCTTGGGCTGTCGATCAGTAGAATCAAGGCATTTAGAGACAGAGAGAAGGAAGTATTCGATGTGTTAGGGCCACGCCCGTAAGGCTTTGGATGATGCCTAGTTCGGCGGAAGGTAGTGCATGGATGCAAAGGTGATCACGAACTTACTTTACTAATGCCAGTACTCTGCTGTATTTGATACCATATTGATACGAAACTTATGCTGTTCATCTCCACACCAGCATGATCGTACCGGCCTCTTGCCCATTTGGCCTCTGAGCTAAATCGAGGACACACAGCAAACATTCGTCCAACGATCGCCATCAACACGAGGCCTCACTCTATGTATTTCGACGCAGTACTCCACCTAGTAGCACCAACATTGCCTTTGAGACCACATTTGCCTCATCGGTTCATTACGCATACGGACTGGAGCGAATAAATTGTAGTGATCCATGAAATCATTGTTCGCCGATCAAGATGGTTCTACCAAACAGATGTCATGACAAGAGCGCATCAGTACCGGGCAATGCGTTGGCAGCGAAATTGCCGATTTGGCCACGTACCCTCAGTCATTTCAAATATTGAGATATTAATGTGGGGCATGGCATGGGTATGGGGCACTTGTCTGCGGGGAGAAGAACTCCTATGAATTGTACGCGGTGGAGTACGAGGCACATGAAGGTGCGGATATTCGGAGAGATGCCATGCACCAGGATTCGAAGTGAGCTTGGACTCCATATTCTCCGAGTTCCGCGGCGTTTCATAAAGAAGTGCGCGGCGCAGTCTGCAGCCCACAGGTAGAAGTGCTCTTAGACTCACTCCGGTGCTGATTGCGAGGCCAGAAGTCAAACACAAAGCGCGCACCTGAGCTGGTAGCGTGCTTGACAGGAAGCTCAAGGTTTACGATGCGATCTTGCCGAGGCAGAAATATCTCACTAGAATGTAAGTGTTGGCTTGTTAACTTAGGTAGATGCTCACCTGTTGCTTCCTGTCACGTTCCTTTAACGGACTTAATCCATCTGCCTTGTGGACTTGCATTGATCGAGGCAGATAAACCGAGAAGCAGTGAATGTGAGAGGTGGGAAGGCATATTTCATCTTCTGAGTCATGACTAGCGGTGCCGGTGAAGGACGGCGTTGTGTTAATGTTTGTGGCAGGAAGAGCGGACATAACTGGGCTAATGTAATACACTTGATGATACAAGCTGTTGCCGACGGTCGATCGACGAACAATATTGTTATTGCGTGTGTCCAAGAGTCGAAGCCCTGAAATTTCCCTCGCCTGACAAATGGCCAAACGCCGTGAGGCTTGAGCGGTCCATGTGAAACCCGATTTTTTTTTGGGACTAGGGTTACGAGGGATCTAAGTCATCGGTGCTCATAACTACTAGTGTCTGAAGGGATAGAAGCGTCTCAGACCATCAGGTATACATATGTCACATTGATAAAATCTTCATGATGCACTAATGTATCCTTGTAACGCCATTCATCAGTAATGAGATACCCAAGGGCGACAGTAGTCAGAACATATCAGATAAAATAATGAGTCTGAAGGCAAACTCAGCCGGACGTAAATCAAACAACTTTCGAAAGGTGATAAACACGCATTCAAAGAGTCATATGGCCCCGGCAAACCTCATCATCGATTATAAGAAAATAAATTTGGACTCACCTATGAATATATCGCGGCTACAAACCACGAGCCTATGTGTTATCGTCGTCGTCATCTGTCAATTCCTCTCCCTCTTGAATTCCTTGGTGTCTCTGAAATCCTTCACGCCGGGCCCACGAACGGCCATCGGTGTAGGGCATTATTCGTAGGGGAAAAATGAGGGTATACCACGGGCTGTGAAGAGGAGGTTAGAAGAGTAAATTAAGAGAAGACCACAATTTACTATCCGTCCGGACCAATGTTAAAGAAAAGGCGCAGATTAGCGCTCCTTCTAAGAAAAATCAGAGTATTACACCTATGCCTGACGTTCTAGCATCCTGCTTACCCAAGGTCAAAAGAATTTACAAAATTCTACACAGCGTATCAGCATGTAAATGATCGTGCCTATAACCACATACATCGCCTCTGTCCTTTGCAATGCGCTTGTAGATTTCATGATCTTGTGCCTCGACGGTAGTCTCTCCACGAGCAATACCCCACAAATGCCAGCAGAGCATTATTAACACTGCAATGCAAATGACAACAGAGAGCATATAGGTGAGGATATAAGCTAGCTCTGGCACCATATAGGGCCAGTCGTTCTGTGATATGTAATGAGCATTGGCTGAATGATATTGATGGAGCGACGCACAGAATACGTGAGGCCGACTGCCTCTAGCGCCTGAGAGTAACCCAGAATGCTCAAGAAAAAGGTCGATAATACTAGGTAAGCCCTGATGGAAACGCATGAGCCGGGAATTGGGAGGAGGCGGAACTTACATAAAAAGGACGAAATGCCTCTCATTGTTTAGTCCGACGCATTGGTTTATCCCTGCAAGGAGCTAAAAGGGACGAGCACGCCAAAGTAATAAAGACTTACACTAGAATAATCAATCAACGGGTGAGCAATATCCCACGAACATAGTGCTCAAGCAATTACAGGACAATGATGATCATATTTCATCACACACCGGCCACATATCCGACAATGGTGGGCCCTCTCCGTGAAGTATAGGTCAGTCTCCTGTGCTGCGTCAGAGTAGGCGTACTCACTTCGGGGCGCATGAATCCACACCTCCTACACATAGTGGTACTCGCTGTCAATAGCGTGATACCATGGTTGGACCACCGAGCTCCCGCGCTCGGCCGTTGAGAAGGCGAGGCCCAGAGTCGACCACTCCCTGGCTGCAAGACTTCACCTTGGACGAATCCAGGGGGCACTGTACACACATAGTAGTAGTGCGTGAAGAGGTTGAGTGCAATGAGTACACAAGGAGGTGTGGTAAGCCAACGAAGGGGAAGGCTGGGTTGAATCACGGTGACTAGTATTGAAATTTAGGTGAGTGTTACAGTGTATACAATTAGACAGCAAACCACACACAAAAGCTGGTTACTCCAATTGCCTGCAGTATTACTGCAAGCCCAACGAAATATGGGCCCGCTGCGCCTGTGACGCGGTCTCCAGCCCGCTCAAGCCATTTGAAGCACCGGAAAACGTGACGAGCACAAAACATGAAGAAGAAGTATAAATGAGAAACCCTGGCCAAGCGAGTCTACGATGGCCTTGTATTTGAAGTTTTGTTGATGAGCGTCTGGAAGAAAATTAGGGCGAGAATCTGGAGACCCATATCCGAAGCCGAATCAATTTCTGACGTGTCACTGGCAGTGTCGGGGACAGAAAGGAATTGGCCTCTTGGCAGAAGTCGGCAAAATGTATTGTGAGCTCTTTTCAACTGTTTCTACTATGGCAAAAATGGTTTTGACTACTACTAGCACACCTTCTGATGCTCAAAAGTGCATCAATATTCCACTCTGAGCCTTGATTGAGTACATCAATCTCTTCGACGAAGTCAATTGGCATGATACCTTTGCCAGCCCTCTCAGGCTCTAGCTAGCTCACTCAAGTCGATGATGCCACCATCCGGAACATCCGGTACATCACCTGCCCACTCATTTTCTCGCAGTTGGTCAGCCTCCGTGTCTCCCGCTCGACCCAGACTACACTTTGGCCGCAGACTGGCCAAATCTCTGACATCCACAATTCCGGACCCGCGAGACAATCCTGGTCATTCTGCCAAATTCTCCCAACAACACTAGGACTCCCAGTATGTACTAATAGGAGCAGGGAGACTAAGTTAATGCAGAGACAAACTAATTGTACTACACTTCGAAATGATAGCCAGTCAGCTGCTGGTAACTTACAAACCAAGTGATAGGTACGAAGGACTGGACGATCGAATACAACACATCAGCACTGCATGCAAGCCCCACCGAATACTTTGGAATAAGATACGCGCAGATAAGTAATGTTGCATCTGATACACCTTCCTGAGAATCACAATATTCGCATCCTGCAGATACAAGGAATAGATAATCCAAACACCAACACGTATATATGCCGCAGGGGAAGGTAAAACGTTATCGTCATCGCTCCTTCCGCCGAGGCGTCCCTGGAACCTTGCGTGGTGTTGCACCAATTCCGGATGGTAGCCCTGTCAGCCGCCGCTCGCCTGCAAAACCACCGCCTTCCTGTACCCGCTGCACTTCTCGGACAGCACGCCGGGCAGCGTCCCCAACTTTGGCTGGCGGGCGGTCCATATCTACTCGTGATAGCGCACGGAAAAGATCTTGCTGGTCTTCATGTGGATGTTGGCTCGAGCCTCTCTGAATCGGTAAATGTGACGAAAGGGAAGAAATTTGTGATGAGGGAGGAAGAGAACGCGACCGCGTCGAAAGCGCCAGTGACAGCAAAGAGAACCGATAGTCGAGTTCTGACTCAGCTACGTTTGTCGCCTGAACTGCAGAGTGAACAAATGAGAACAGACTGTCCACCTTAAAGTGGACACCCGCTATTCGTTCGTCGAGGATATTCCTCGACCCTGATCTCACATCAGACATTATGTGTTTGATGAGATCCAGATTAATCTTCTCTCGAAAAGCGTCCGAAAGTTCGTCCTCACGAGGTAGCAACCACCCCCAGTCATCCGGTGGCTCTTGTGAAGCGGCTCGTTGTTTGCCCTTCGCCTTGACAGACGAAGGGGGCTGCAGAGCTTGGCGTCGTCTCTCCAGATCCGCCTTGGAGTTGGTGATATAAGAGTTGTAAAAGTAATCGACTTGAGTCCACGCATCAGCCTCTGCTGATGCACTGTGCAGCGGACAAATCGTTAGTTGCTCATGACTGTGGATGTAGTCTAACAACGAACCGCTCGATATGCTCGCGAAACTTGATTTCTCGCTCTCTATTTTTCACATTCTGTTCATTTGGCTTCAGATTTTGTTCGCCACCAGCCTGCCCATCCAGACCATGGCCATATACGGGCGTATCGATCTTCTTCTCCGCAAGCATGCGAATGAAGTCGTCCTGTACGATCTTCAGAATTTGCTTTCTGTGCTCATCAAGCGGAGGTGGGTCTTTGCCACTTCCGCTACTTGATGCTTTGGATTTTGACTGGGACTTCGAACTTGAAGATGCTTCAGATATTCTCGTCATAGCTCGGGCAGCCGACCAGACGAGTAGCTGACGTGCTCGTTGCGGATCAGGGAGGTCGCAGTCAATGTGTTTATAGAAGCTCGAATCAGATACAGTAGCATGTGGTTGAGCTAAGAAAAATGATGAGAACCCGCGCATGAACATGTAGGGGAAAACAAAGATAATGTATTATAGGGGAGAGACGTACTGATCACACCAGTGTTTTCAAAACTTGTGCTTATGCGCTTTCCACGCGCGCTCATCGACGTTCGTCGAGAGTGTTGGGGTGTCCTTTGGGGGGTACGCGGGGGAAGGGACACCCCTTCACGGAGTAATTTATTGCGCTCTATTTGTGGAGTTTCGCTGTCGGGCAGTGGATGAAGCGCATCAGAGGGGTATCGCTGAGAAGTGTGTTTAGGTGTAGAGGGAGGGAATTTGAATGAAGAATCGATTGCATCTTTGGCGCGCGACCGCTGACGAAGGTGAACAGTCTCTGATTCCATCTGTCTGATATCCTCATCCAACTCTGGTTCCTCGCGTGTCGAAGAGGGTACATCGCGTGGCTTGACACTGGTAGGTGCGCGTGACGAGTCAGCTTTGAATCTCTTAGCTGGCGGCTTGGAAGGCCCGGCTATGGAGCTGGAGGGAATGGGTTGCGAAAGAGATAAGGGAAGACGGGATGGTGCTTGGGTAGTTGTGGTGGATGGCTGGGATGATGAATGATTGTTCTGCGGAGTTGTAGGACGCGATATCGGCGCGCGTACAATGACAAGCCCACCTGGCTGTTCCTCGCCAATGTCTAGATGCGATTTATGAGTATTTCATGCGACTTGCCTTCAAACTCTTACTTACACTTTCGTTTGAACGCGCCGTTCGGCTGTGATGCAGCATTAAATAAGCAAATTGCGTGCACGGATTGAGTGACATACCTTTGGCCTCTTTGCTGCCTGTACAAGAGGATTAGTATCATCAACTGCTTTCCGCTTTCCTGGTGGTTTTGGATCTGCGGGTGTCATTGGGTTTTCGAGTCCTCCAACAGCATGTGTGAGGGTCCTGTTCATGAATGTTCGTCAAAACACAGGAGTTCAAGGTCGTAGGACGTATATTTGTTGTCGTTGCCGTTGATCCCGGCGTCGGCGTCGGCGACGATGATCAACGGAGGAGGGAAGCTACAGCGAGCGGAGTTTGAATGAAGAATTCCCACGTGAGACTTTTGATCAACAAACGAAGTACTAGTGTTACGTCTATAATGTCACGTCACACCAGGTATAACACAAAGACTACATAGTAATTATGGCTTCTCACTTCATACGTCTGGCTCCGAATATACCAGTTCCTACTCTGACAATGTGACTACCAGCTCGTAAGCCTGCCTCAAAATCAGCCGTCATACCCATACTGAGAACCAGTTTTCCATTGTCTCCCCATCTCCCATCGAACGTTGGATTGCTTCGAAGCATCCCTTCTAGTACATCTCTGGTCTTCTTGAGCGTTTCGAAGTCTTGATTTGGACGCTCCGATGACGCTAGAGATTCTGTCTGTGAGCCAATAGTCATCAACCCCTGGAAATGTAGCTTGGGACAATGTTCAATGATATGGCAAGCAAGCTTGAATAACGGGGAGTCGGCGGCTTCGGTTTCGGTGTCCACGTATTGCAGTCCCGACTTTTGGACTTCCCCAGAAGTGTTGACTTGCAAGAGCATGTTGAGAGGCGCCTCGCGGTCAGCAGGTATAGCATTGTTATAGATATCAGCATCTTCGGTGCTAGTCAAACTCTGGATAGCATGAAGATTCGACACCGCTGGTTTTCAGAATGACCGTCACAGTACGAATCGGGACAACCTCAAATGCACATACTTGTAAGTTCTCTCATCCTTGCTTGCCTCCGAAGGTCGTCTCCTTCTGTCTTCTTCATCACACCTATGAAGTGCCATCGAAGGCCGTCAAGGTCTGCCAGCTATCGATTGCGAGTCGGTCCCTTCTCGTTAATCACGCAAAGGCAAGTACTAACCTTTTTCGCCTTGTTCACTAGATCGATATCAGAATTCTCTCCGAAATCCTTTTGGCCCTCCTCATAGCAAGCACGAGTCATCCATGCTGGCTTGGTCTTTGATACGGCTACCAGTGTCGGAGCGTGAGATAAAGATTTCGAAGCTTCCGCAAAACAAATTTTGGTTTCAGCGAGATTCTGCAAAAGCTCAGCCCGTCGCTGTGGAGTTGCTTTATCTGACGTTGTCGAAGCCATTCTAGACTTATAAAGAATTGACGGTGCCCGGAAGATGACCCTAGGGTGGGGCATGTCGGAAGTAACGTCACGGTGCAAAAGGCAACTCACGTAATCATCGGTGGTAATACCGCACCGGGCCCAGGTACTGCAGTGCCTCATGATCCAAGCTTCATCTTATTCCAGTACAAACTTTACAAGTAGTACCCCCAACTATGCTAAAACTCCAGGAGTACACCGCATGGATTTCGGTTGATGGTCAACCATTGGATACTTACGCTGTGGAGACATCTCTGGCGACCAATGAAGTGACATGCTGGATCCCATCTGAAGCTGGCAAGGTGAACGCCACCTTCGCGTTGTTAACTCATTTTTATGTCTGACAATAGACATGCTCAGGAGTTTTCTGTGCATTGTCAAAACACTTCTGCCCCTGGCCTCGATACCATCGGTGCATTCGTTTATATTGATGGACAGGGGTGCCACGGTAGCTTGTTCGAGCGCTGGAATGTGAATCAGACTGTCAAGTTCAGTCACGCTTTTGTTTCGGATAGGATCACCAAATCTTTCGTATTTTCAAATGTTCGGCTGACAGGTATTTCTGCATATTGACTGTTCATTGATTCAATGCCTCACTATTTTTCAGATGAAGATGAATTCGTGGATGCGTCATCAGCTGATTTAGGACAAATCCAAGTCAGAGTTTGCAAAGTAGCACTCGGCGAATACTACAATCCTGCCCAAAATCAACTTCAGACTGAACACAAGGTACACGAGCGGTCGAAGAAAGCAGTGACACACTGTGTTGGGTAAGCTGTGTGGGTTGCGCAGGTCGTCCAACTGAACACTAACCACTTGACACATACCTCGTTTAGGCTTGGTGAAGAAACTATGATTCCACAAACAATGTTGCGCAAGTCACAGTGCATTGGTCAGCCTCTCGCAAAATTCACATTCAAATACAGAGACCGAAGTTTGTGTCATGTGTTTTACTCCTTATCGTGTTCACAGAGTCTTCTGGTAGATCTTTTGAAGGCGAATGGAATCATACCAGTTCCAGCACCCTTGAAGCGCAAGGCATCACAGGAAATCATTGACCTCACTGTTAATGACGGCCAGGCGGGGGGCAGCAGATTCAATGATCCAGTACGAGGAGAACAAAACTCACAGGGAACAAAAGAGACAGAACGCAGGAGCAAGAAGGTGAAGCAAGAACCGAAGCCCGGTGTGTTCGTAGAAGTCATTGATTTGACGTAGCTCGTGTGTTACACGAGTGAAACCAATGACGATTGACGGCTATCTGGATAGTAAGTGTGCCATCACTGTGAATCACGTCGTTGCTTCTCTAACCGGTTTTTCCGTGCTCTTTCTGCACAGCGCTTTTGATCATGTATACGTGATTCTCGCAGTTATCAAGGGTCACCGCTCATTTGATCGAGACTTGTCATGCACGTTCCATATTATTAAAGATCCGGCTGGGGAATGCTCAGCACAGAAACTTTTACAGTTTGTGAGGTGAAGCTGAACATCTTTCGTCAGCATTGGTCTGGTGCATGATGACGTAGGTGGTATCTATCCCATTTCATCACCATGTAGCGAGGCATTTGTGATGCACAAAATCCCTGGAACAGTGAATTCAGTCCCACTCTCAGGGGGATTCGACGTGTCCTTTGCCGAGGAGATCCGATGAGGTAAGACGCTTTTGTTGATTCGTTTTTTTTTGCCCCAGATCCCATTACTGTATAGTCTATATGCCGCACAAGCAGTCAAGTATGGCCGAATCACATGCAGTTCGAAGTCGCTTCTTGTCATCCACAGCAAGTTGTAGCAATGCCATTGTGAGTTTTTCTTTCAGCTGTAGAACTCAAGTGCTGGCTATTAATTCTGCTCCCTGCGTAAATCACGCAACCTGACACCAGATCAAATATCAACTACCTTCCACATGCACATGCGGTGTGGGTTCCTGGGTAAAGGTCGCGGCTTAACTGCGAATTTCAACCTTGTCTGAGTGCGCCACTCCCTCCGCCTCGCTGAACGATGAAATTGTACAATGCGAGCTAAATCGTGAAGAAGTATGAATATGAGTTGGTTAGGTAGGCTTCTGGCAGTGCGAATGATGTACTTATACCTTCTCATACAATTGGCTGACTGATACAGTGACTGATCAGACAAAATCTCGATTTACCAGAAGGGCTTCTTGTGCGATCAGATCTTGTCATGTCTAACATGTGTACGGTGACTTCGAAGTTGCGTCATTCGTTTTGTCAGGGTTTGCCTGCTCCACTGCCTCCGCTTGATAGATGATTTTCTATTAAATAACAACCACAAACACGAGGTAAAAATACCGGACACCCCCCTGACTGTGGTTGATGCGATTGATTTAGAATCAAACTAGTAGTATTTCCCGAGCGAATGACTGACATGGTCAGATGGTTTCACATACCACTACTCCAACAGGCTGGGAAGTTGCTATCACCCTCCTACTATTCTCTTCTATCTTGATCTTAACCCTAACTCCGCTTCATCTTCATGTCGTTGTACGCTAATACAAATATGAACACCAGCTTCCTGCGTAGAATCAGCCTTTCTTTGGCAGATAGCAAGCCTTCTTCTGTTGGACGAAAACCATCAGCCGTTCCCCTTCGCAAACAGGCACCTCATGGCTCCAGCGAGGCCGAAAAGTTTACATCACTTACTAACATCGGGATTGCTTCTCCTCTCCGACACGCTCACGGGTTATCGGATCATGCTGTCCCTGGTTAGTATCATGCGCTACTTGATCGTGTATGAGCTAAAGATTCATTCTCGCTTCTGCTCCCGGCTGCGGTTTCTTTACTTTTGGTCGTGTCTGCAATTTGTCCAGATATCTACCGCGGTCGCAGCATCAGCCTGTTCGTGTCCCGTGGCGCAGCAAGAAGTTTTCCCACTGGCAACGAATCTACCCTACCCTACAATGCGGACAATCTGGGCGCCCTGACATGTAGCTTGTCCTTTCGGGGAACACACGACATCTCCTCTATGACTGTCATGCCCGAGATCACTAGCCCGACTTCGTCCCTGTCCTACAGCGCACTTGACACGCTACTTAAGGGGAAAGCCCACACTTCAGACACAGGCGCTCCATTCGTCCCTTACTCTAAAGACGCTAAAGACGAAACTTCAAGAGCAGCCGAAATTTCCCATTCTTATCCCCTCGTTATGACAAACACCAGCACAAATAGGCACTCTTTGAAATCCCTCACGAACCCTGTGGGATCAAAAGGGGCTGACCAAACAACAATTGAAAAGCCACGCTTCCCATCTATCTCACCATGCCCATCCATCGAGGCGAGCAGCTCGTCCTCTAGCGACTCGAGCTCATCGTCACCGACAGCGCGGTGGCGGCGTTCCCCATCTCCAGAATCCCGACCATCAATGGTCATCCAGAGCACTCTTTCAACGCACTCTCTGTCCGTTGTGCTCCCACGTGCCATACAATCAGAAATGGTGACTGTCTCTGTCAAAAAGGGAGATAAGTTGAATATCGTGGCTGATGCATGGCACATGGAGAATGATTGTAAGTATGCACCATGCATTAAATGGTAGAGTCTCAACTCATTCTCGTGGATCTTAGGTCATTACGAGTGGCAAGTACACTTTGCACCTGGTGACGCAGATATGCCTAGTGTCCGTGCACGGTTCGCGCCTGACGGGAAACTTACTATCACTGTTCAGCGACGTATCCCAGGGCAAACCTCAGGCTATAGTCGGGGACCACTGGGAACCAGGTTCTGATATATGCAGTCCTAATACAGTAGCCATACGTTATTTACTTTTTTCCAAAGCAATTCCAGTGTAGCATGACCACGCCTACTACTATACGTTCTCTTAGTACTAAGTCATATCCTGTATTCAAGATCCATAGGGGTATTTCCCCATTTACGAATCAAAGACATGTTCCCATGAAAGGTTCTTCTAATTCGTTTCGCGACAAGCCCGACTTGCTCCGAGTCCCCAGGAAGTTGACGGTCCAAGAGCTCCAGTGTGGTACAGACCAGGACCTCATTTAGACGTGGGCGATATTCACCAGAACTTCTTCAAGCACGGTGGTACTCGGATACTAGCCAGCATCTGATTCGGACGCGTCACTGAGATGCCAGCCAAGGCGACTCGTCGGGGCTTCGAAAGTGACTGTCACCGCGAAAAGATGAAAGGGAAAACTCGAGAGTTGTTAGCACCCATGAACATGGTTATGTTATGCCAGGTGAGCAAGAGGCAGTAATAATTATCCTATATCCGAGTCAAGCCACACAGGTACTAGTACCGTCCTCGATGTTACTCACGTGAACTATAGTGCTTATTCCTGGGTCCAATGGACCTTCTGAATCTCTCGCGCATCACCAAGGCCTGTCGAAGTTCACTCGTGCGAAGGTCCTCTGCATTCATCGCTCGCCGAAGTGACAGATTGCAAACTTTCTTGATATTGCCCAACTGATTCGAGCAAGCCAGAGTACGCAAATCTGGCGTTTCGTTCTCGTTGCCATGTATGTGCTTCGTGAATAACACTCCATACACTCGGGCTAACCGACTTTTGAGGGGTGCGGAAAGGAGTCTGTCTGTTGTGTAGCCGCTTAGGGTTAGGTACATGCCATCCGCAAATATGGTATGCGTCTAGAGACCCCCATTCTCGATCACTCAGTTATTGTGCTCACATAGATGGACTCTCAGGACGACGACTTCGTCAGAAATTCACAATTCAGGTATAAAAATGATTGCAAGTGGTTCGCCATACTAGCAGCAGATGTCAAAATGGGCACTGGTGTGCGCCAAGTTTGATTCGTATGTGTTGCTGTGAATTGATCGGGTTTCAGGTAAACTGGTGCTGCCATGCTTGCGATCATAGTTTGAAGCGCCCAAACACGATCTTTCCGGCAAGAACAAAAAGGACCGACAGCTTACACCCTTCAGCAAGCTAAAGCGGCAAGTCAAGCGATTAAAGAGGTGCATATCTTGTTATCGCTGTATGAGGCCGTAATTCAGCTGATATCTAACGCATGCGAAATCGTGTCATATGGGAGATAGAGGCTGCGCATCACTGCAAGGGAATATCAAGTTTACACGTGAACGGGAGTCAGCTCTATTCTCACTGCTTTTATTTCGGCATTCATCACCCCCTCAGACAGGGTCAGGATCATATCATAAGTGAATTCCAATTCCATCAGATGTATAACGATTTCGGGAAAAAGTTTGTTAAGCATCCTGGTGTAAAAGAAACCAAACTGCTGACGCCGAGGTGTAAGTTGCCTATCGTGTATGTTAGCCTTGCTGATAGCCAGTTTGGCAGCATGGATTCGCGTCCAGGGATTACTCCCGTTACATCCATGAGATGAGAAAGAATAAAATGGCTACCCTCGTCTATCTAACGCGTTGCGATATATTGGAAACTGCTTACCGGCAATCTTTGGAAGACAGGACTTGGCAACGCGACCTGGATGAGCCAATGCTGGACTGGCATTGTCTCACTACATTAAGAGGATTCGATGACATCATCAAGGTTCCTCCGTAGGTTCTTTTCAGAGATGATGTATTTTCTTCGTTCTCGCCAAGCTTTGAAATCCTGGCCCCGTTACAAAAGAAAGCGGAGCTGAAGCTCTCCGCATTACTACGTCTATTGCCCACATCCTCAAAGATCAGCGGGCCCGGGGGTGACCACGACTGTACTTTCCTTAGACTTGGGTTGGCCAGCTCATTCTTCCTTTACAGACGAGGATTGTTCGCGTATCCAAAGGTTTTTGCCGTGTGTTTCTTAACCTGGAAACGCTGTCAGTGCTGGATGACGCCCATGTTTTCGAAATGGAATTTTGGCACATTGCATAGGGATATTTCTCATTGCCAGAGCGTTGCTGCTAGCCGTCTTTTGTATGGAGTGACGGTATCCACTTGTTCATCATGGCAGGTTAATTCCATTGTGCTTTGTGGTAGTCTATTGATTCCATGCACTCTGCCCGTTTACTGACATCAGCATGCAACGTGAAGAACGTCCAGTTATGTTATACTCAGGTCCAACATTTGTCTAATGATTAGTGGCAGCGCTAGTCGTTAAAGCCGTTGGCTAGCTCTGTCTACCTTCTGGGCGTTGCTGCGCGGGGTTCTACCATAGAGGGTTCATGCAGTAGTACACCACCCGCTGACGCTTCATAGTACAGGACGCTCGCTGTCAGAACATTTTGCTGTGGAGCAGTAACAGATTTCGAGCAGTCAGCACTAGTGCGATGAGGTGTCGCCGTGGCTAGTATGCGCATGCATCATCGATCTACATTTCATCTCAAAAATGTGACGAAAACCAGAAAGAAGTCAATAATAATGTCACACAGCTGTTCGCTTCAGAATACGTCACGTGAATGGCATCGAGAGCAGCGAATGAGGACATTTTAGGCTTCCACAACATCAGGGGTAGCAATAGTAGGGTCTAATCCGCAGAGGTTAACTATATCTTCCTTCAATTCGCCCTTTGTTGCGGGGACAATGGTAACAATCAGCATTCTGATCGATAGTGACCCCAAATAGCGCGCCTAGCAGAGTAAATTTGGACTCGGCGAGTCGCGGTTGTGGTCAGCAATACTTAGCCAACCAGCGAGTCTGAGAATAATCACAGATGCATTTAGATCCTTCCATGGAGTTCTGGAGCCAGAAAAAGAGCTTGGCCGGGTAAGAGTCAGGACGACACTTTGGACAAAGCGGCAAAGGCTGCGGAGAGATTGTGATACCTATAGACAATGGAAAGACTAGGAAGGTCGCTTAAACTTGAAGGGCTGGGAACCACGGGGACTGCTCGGAAATCCTAGCTGGAGTCAGGACTCAACAAGCGCCCACCTAGTCATAAGGCTTCGGGTCCGGATGATCCTCCTTGCAGACCTTGAAATAGAGTTGCATTCCATCGTTAGACATTGCCACTCACCACCATCATCCACCATGCCCACAGCAACAAGACTGCTCTATCAACATCTTATGGAAGTCGACAGTGGACAGCTGTCGGCCCATATTATATCTGAATCCAACTTAATCGAAGAGCAACATCAGTTGCGCAGTCTGTTAGAAAGGAACGAGGGACGTGCCCTTGGCCTTGCTGGCGGATTTGCGCCCACTGGAGAGCTCGCGATGCTTGCAATCGCCGACACGTCCACTATTATCATTATCGAGTTCGAGTTGAAGAAGAACAAGAGGAACGGACGCGATAAACGGCGCCCTGTCACACCCGCCAGTGACTCGAGAGGCAACACTGCCGCTCGGGTGTTTTTGACACAGAACCTCCTTCGTCGCACAACCGGATTCTTATACGCTTTCGACGTCGCTTCGATCGCTCTGGCTCTATTTCAAACACTTGATCTTCGAATCGCAAATGCGATCGATATGCAGAGCGTATCGAAAACACGTGTCCCGCTCGCCATTGTTAAACAGGTCGTCGGTGATCTTCATTGTGTACATGATGTAAACATCAACGGAATATTCTGCGATGATAGTATCATCAATCATCTGCCTGTGGGCCCCGCCACTAATAATGGCATTACTCCACTTGCACTGCGTGCATGGATCGCACACTATCTATCGCAACTTTCAAGCATGGAAGATCGCCTCGCGCAAGTGCCCCTGGTAGACACCTTCCGGCTCTCTGACGAGGTAGATCACTGCCATCTGGACGATGGATGGCGCTGATCATAATCACAGGCCTTGAAGTTTCTCTCGAAGAGCTCGAAGGATTCGTTCCAGCTCGAGCAGAAGAAGCCGATCGAGGTCACGCGCCAGTTTGCTACTTCTGTCGATCATAAGAATAACCACATACATGCCCAAGTTGACAGATACAAGAACAGAATTCGCAAAAACCACCATCAGGCATGTAGTCCGCGTGTCCACACTGTGCCTTGCTTGACAAGTGATTACCTCAGCATGCATTCATTGATATCGGCGGGCGCGATGGGCGGGGCTTCACTGTCAACGGGAAGGTTGGCATTCCTCAGGGTTGCACCGCCAAACTTGCTACCACCAACAGTCTCAGTTTAGCTGGCAAGAGCGTCGGCTCGATCAAGATTGTCGGTCGTGAAGACCCTACTCAGGCTGAGAGCCAGCGTGCTCAAAAGGTTCTAGAGATCCTCCAAGGTCTCATCAACCTCGAGCACGACAACCCATGGGTTCAGCTCATATTCTTTTCCTCTCCCAGGGACGACTTCGAATGGCCCTCCGCCTGGACGGAGGAGGCGAATGATGCGGATATTGTCAGATACTGTGCCAACCGTGTCAGTCGCCCCCTCAATCCATCTCAGACGAAAGCTGTGAAGCAAATGCTCCAGCAGTCAAATGACAAGCGTCTTACTGTCATCCAGGGGCCCCCTGGAACCGGTAAGACCACTGTCATCGCTTCGTTTGTTCAGACTGCCCTTGCCGGTGGACTCTCTGGTATCTGGCTCATTGCTCAGTCCAATGTTGCCGTTAAGAACATCGCAGAGAAACTTGCTGACTTTGGCCTGACCAATTGGAAGCTTCTCGTCTCAAAGGATTTTTTTGAATACTGGTCAGTCCTTTCACTAGCGGACTTCTTTCCCTTTAGGCAGACTGACATAATCTAGGCACGAGCACCTCTATGCCAACATTCGGGCCAATATCATCATATCGGAGGACTTCAAGGCGCCAAATTTCTACCAGGAGCTCCGAAACAGCCCGGTTATTCTCTGTACCCTCTCTATGCTTTCATCTTTTGCTCTTCGCATGCATGGAGGTTTTAAAGCCGCACCACTCAGGACCCTCGTCATCGACGAAGCATCCCAAATTGAGATCGGTGACTACATACCTCTCTTCACCTCTCACACCTCCATCCGAAAGGTTTGCTTCATTGGTGATGATAAACAATGTGAGTATTTCTTCTGCATACTATCACATGTTCTGATATCTTCAGTACCACCCTATGGTCAGGATGATATCCAGGACCTCAAGAGCATCTTCGAGGTCAAGCATATCAAGGACCGTGCCATTTTCCTAGATACCCAATGTAAGTCCTTTACCTAATGTTCCCGTGTCCCAAATTTTACCATTTTATTGTAGACAGGATGCCCCCTCAAATTGGACAGTTCGTATCTACATTTGTGTATGATGGCCTACTCGAGTCAAATCCGCAACATTCCGTCACGAACGAGAGGATGGCTTGTCATTTTATTAACATTCCCAGCCAGGAACAGTCACATGGGACTAGTTGGAAGGTAAGCCACTTGAATTCGGCCACTCGCAGTTGGCTAATGTCATGTGCAGAACGTTGAAGAGTGTCAAACCATTCTCCACATCGCTACCATGCTGCAAGCAAAGAACAAGCAATTCCGCATCATCACCCCCTACGACGCTCAGCGAAGTTTGATCGAGGAGTGTTTAAAGCTCAATGAGCTTGATTGGGAGGACAAATGTTTCAATGTTGACTCGTTTCAAGGTTCGTTCTCGCAACATATATTTGTAACATCATATTTATATGGTTCGTTCGTGGCAGGTAACGAGGAAGATTACATTGTGATCTCACTTGTGCGATCCACGGCGCTCGGATTCCTCGCCGACCGACGCCGGACTAATGTCATGCTTACTCGATGCAAGAAAGGCATGATCATCTGCACGAGTCAGAAATTTATGAAGCGGGCAGGGTGTAAGTCACTCGTGGGCAGGTTGTTAGAACATTATGAACACACGTGGATCGACAAGGATGACTTGGAGAAAATTGCGCTGTAGGTGGGCCCGCGAAGATGCTAGTTGTTGACGACCTCGACCACGGTAATGATGGTTAGTTGTATGATACGTAGTTGGTTTGTATGACAGCTCGCGCGGTCATGAGACTCCTTATAAGGGGCATAATTTTCTTTTTCTTGGAATAAAAAATAAATTTCTCATTTCAATTACATCTGAGTGGTGTATTGCATGGTGAGCGATAAGCAGGTATAGTTTCGTTTTGTGCAAATAAGAGTAGGCTAATTTGGTGGAGTTTGGACCTCAACACAAACTGGGCAGGTATTGTGCAGCGACAAGCGAGGACGGTCGTTGGTGGCCGTTTCATGCATGCAGAAATCTTGATCCAGTATCCAAGCTTCTACTGAATCTGTATGGTGTCCGATGATCTCTCCATCAGTGTCGGATCCTCATGTTCAACGAGCCAAGGCACAAACCTTGGTCGACGCTACCAGGCCTATAACCGCGCCTGTACTCGCGCGTCTGCCCCATCCACTGATTTCTTCTTTTTGTCTTTTAACTCGAGCTCTCCAGCCTCGCAAATCGCGCACATATCCCGGAGCGCATCTGCGATATGTTGCTTGAACTTGTTCGTGAAGGTGAGCGCGGATGAGAATTTGGACTCGACACATAATTTGATGTGATTGAGTGCTATGAGATCTGTGAGAGAACAGAGTATGAGCTTGGTTTTGTGACAAGGGTGAGCGTGAGCGGAATTGCCAATTAAATTCGGAAACGAAACACCTTCAGTCGACCTGGTCAACTGATGGTGATGTCGGCGATAATAACAAATGCAGATGGGAAACTATTACAGACGAAGAATCCCTCGCTGAGGTTCGACGATCCCGCAAAACAATTGTGAAATCAACGAATAAACCTTACAATTAATCCCATAACCATCCTCCCAACCAGCTCCAAAGCCAGTGCCTCTGAATTGGTCACCGGCGCTCAAGCCACTAGTGCTGAGTTTCCACTCCTGAGAGCGAGAGAAAAGAAGGTCGGCGAAGAGAGGGTGCGTACGCTTTTGCGGGGGGTCAGTGGGCCCTGATTTCGAGGGAGAGTCCGAGGAGGAAGTAGATGTGGCAGGGAGTTCTTCTAGCATCAACTTCAGGCCTAATAAGTGCCTGTCGATTCCACGACCTATAGCGGCTTCCCTCGTGCGCCCTGCATGCGTCTGGATAGCCTGTTGGAGGAGGGAAATAAGTGCACGGGGCTGATCAGATTATTGTATCAAAAACCACAGGTTCCCGTTGTCATCACTATGAGGGTATAAAACAAATTCACCTCCACTTCGTGTTGGCCCCCCTTTGCCACACACTCAGTTCCACGTCCCCGTCCATTTCCCAGTGTGCTGTATCTTGTAGTCAACCAGGTTCAGGGCAGAGTTGATCTTGACCAGGAGCTGCCCGGTATTGGGGCTAGGGATGCTGCGAGAGCCGACTTTGCAGTTGCTCCGCTTTTTGGGAATAATAAGAGCTTTCTGTTGCGGAGACACGGAATGTGGGGATACAGTGACTTGAGGTCTTCTGACTCTTCACCGCACTTGCTACCTATATGATAATCTGAAAAGTCTCGATGAGCAAGGAGTGATCATATGGATAATGGAAGTAAACGACATCATTTGAAGAGATGATAACAGGCGGTGTCCCGTTATTGATTACAAGCACCACGACCTATACATTACATAGATGCGACTGGAGCAAGGCTCAGCAGTCGGACCGAAAACGAAAGCCCCCCCTTCTAGGCTGGGACTCGCCAGAAATGGAAAGAGTTTCGCGCAGGTGTTCCGCAGTGTGTTGGCTGACAACTGTTGCAGCGCTGCGTGCACCGCTGCTACCTACTGCAAGGAGAGTAGGATGCGGACAACATTAATGCGAACGATCATGCATAAACGATTTCCAATATCTGTACTTGGCTTCGTGTTGATACCTTTGGTCTCTGGACGGATAGACAACTCGTCGTGGCCAACAAGCGGAATGTCCCACTACGAGATATCCGTACGTACTACCAGTCATTCATAACGTCGTGTCTTGAGGTGCTCAGATATCACTTCTTTCTTAGTCGCTCGCGTCTTCTCCCTCAATAAGTATGTCTTTTGCATCTATTTGGATCGCTCGTTGACCACTTCGTGCTCTCTAACCTAGACAAGTGTCCACCTTGTTTCAATTGTCTTCTTCCAGCGTTCACCTGCGGACAATTTGGTCACTGCGACGAATACGATGGACAATGTAAATGTCCTCCAGGCTGGGGTGGGATAGATTGTTTGCTTCCCCGTAAGTCACCAGCTCAGCGCCGTTTGGATGCTTACGTGTATCCCTTTCTAGAGTGCGGTTCCCTAGCAGATGGCGTAGAGAGGCCACTCCGAGAAAATGATCCATGTCAATGCAAGGATGGCTGGGGAGGTATAAATTGCAATGGTACGAATCATTCTGCATCATAATATGTCATTGCCATTCGACCTAATCAACTCCCGTCAGTTTGCAAGACCAACGATGCCTGCGTTGGCTTCCCATTAGCTGGCGGCATCCATACCGATATGGTAGATGAAAATGTCGCAAACATGACTTGTTACACTGGCGGCGAGACTGTTTTTAGCAATCACCAAATGTGTGACATTACTAGTACGCCCTCGGAATGCATCGACATGCCGTATACTAATCTTGGTAGACCGCAAGATCTTGGACATGCTCCCCGACCGCCCCCCGCAAGTCACATTCAGTTGCGATAACTCCACTGCGACATGCGGCTTTCAGTTCTGGACCGCACAAGAAGAATCCTTTTATTGTGCGCTGGACACGTGCTCTTCTGAGGCCCAACCGGGATACGACACGAACACTACAATCTATGCATGTGAACATATCAGATGCAAATGCATTCCTGACAAGTTCCTTTGTGGAGAGGATGGAAGTGTTGGTAAGGATGCGCCGTCACTTACTTTAAACTTTTTATGAGATTCCGTCATAGATATCAGCGACTTCCTGACAGAAGAAATTCGTGGACCCGCGACCTTCAGCTGTAAGACTTCTACTGGGTGTAGGTTTGAGGAGCCCGCTATGAACAATCTAATCAACGATATCTTCGGCGATGCATACATCACCCTCCAGTGTGCAAGTGGAGAATGCTTGCATTACTCTCAAGTTCCAGGGTTCCATGTACGTAGAGTGATTGAATTGACGCGTTCGTGTCCTCACAATCTCATAGCCCATACCTAAACCCGACAACACCAAATGGATTGCCCTGAGCTCTGCCGGTGCAGGTTTGATTGTTGTCCTGACTGTTGCAATTCTTTGGTACGTCGGTCGATCGCGCAACGGTGGTGACTTCGGAAAAATCAGGCTGCCGGAAAACGAAGCTTCGAAGCTCATGACAGACCATGTCCCCGCATCTCTCCATTTTTCGAATATATCTTACTTTCTTGGCAACCGCATTATCCTCGACAAAATTTCTGGGGCCGTCAAGCCGGGTCAAGTCATGGCGATCATGGGTGCATCCGGCGCGGGTAAATCTACCTTCCTTGATATCCTCGCTCGCAAGCGCAAGATGGGCCAAGTCAGCGGCACGACACTCGTCAACGGGCGAGAGGTCGCGGACGCGGAGTTTAAAAAGGTGGTGGGTTTTGTGGATCAGGAGGATACATTAATGAGCACGTTGACGGTATATGAGACCGTGCTGTATTCTGCGCTATTGCGACTCCCGCGAGAGATGAGCTTAGAGGCGAAGAAGTACAGGACACTTGAGACAATGAACGAACTCGGTATCCTGGGTATCAAGGACTCGAGAATTGGTGACTCTGGTACGCTTGATGTCTGCTCGGGTTAAGGGTGCATACTAATTGTTGCGTAGGACGCCGGTCAATATCCGGAGGGGAAAAGAGACGCGTTTCGATAGCCTGTGAATTGGTCACAAGCCCTTCGATATTGTTCTTAGATGAGCCTACAAGTGGTCAGATTGTGCTTTGATGAATCCCAATAACACGCTGACATTGTATAGGATTGGACTCTTATAATGCCTTTAATGTTGTCGAGAGCCTGGTGACCCTTGCACGCGATTACAATCGGACCGTTATCTTCACCATTCACCAGCCTCGCAGTAACATTGTCGCCTTATTTGATCATCTTGTCCTCCTCGCTCATGGGAAAATGGTGTATTCTGGAGAATTCGCCAAATGCCAAGAATACTTCGCTAGCATCGACCAGCCATGTCCACCAGGGTTTAATATCGCAGATTATCTCAGTGAGTAGTGTCATGATTCTATGGTACTGCGCGACTGACCTCTGTCATAGTCGACCTAACAGTGCATGCTGGACTTGAACCACGAAGCCCGGACTCCCCTTCTAATGATGCGGTATCGTCGACATCTGGTGACAACCTTTTAGATGAGGAGCGTGCCGTTGGTGCATCGTCTGTACGATCACAAGGTCGCTCTTCCACTGCGGTGGAGGAAGAAACTGAGCTCCGAACCCGTGGCGTCTCTTTCACATCCTCAATCAAACGCAAGACCTCGCAGCTTCTGGAAGCTGTCCGAAGCTCACCATCTGGTAACAGCACGATTGCTCCCAAACTTGCGCAGCTTGTCGAGGCGTACTCTACGAGTGAAGTTGCACAGTCGATCAAGGCCGAGGCAGAGGAGGTTGCTACTGCACAGCGTGGAGCTGATGCGTCACACGCGGATGGTGAACTGCGAGACGTTGTGGTTGAAAACTCTTTACTGCGGGGTCGGAAAAGAGCCAGTTGGGGAACGCAGTTTACGATTTTAAGCGGTCGGGCGTTTAAGAATCTCTACCGTGATCCGGCATTACTGGCAGCTCACTATCTATCCTCTGTCGTGCTGGCTTGTGAGCCATCACCTTTTCTTGTGTTTTCATATATTCATATACCTTTCTCAGTGATCTGTGGCCTCTTTATCCATAACGTCAGCAATGACATCGCAGGCTTCCAGAACCGGCTTGGTGAGTAGCCTTGTGATAGTTTATTTTATTTGACTGATAGGATTCAGGCCTTTTCTTCTTCACATTGTCGCTCTTCGGCTTCTCGTGCTTATCTAGCCTTGGATTATTCGCGAACGAGCGAGTGCTTTTCATGCGTGAAAGGTAGGGAGATTCTTACAAAACATGTTTCCCGCACTCATTCTATATATATCAGAGCAAACGGCTACTATTCGACCTTCACTTACTTCTCTTCAAAGGTAACCAACATTTAATCATACTGTATTTTTTTCTAATTTGGCCCTTGGCCAGGTTTTGTTTGATATCCTGCCACTCCGCTTGGTGCCTCCAATTGTCTTTGGTGGCATTGTTTACGGCCTAGTTGGTCTCGTGCCCACAGTTCCGGCTTTTTGGAAGTTTATATTGACGCTCGTGCTATTCAATTTGACAACAGCAAGCGTGATCCTTCTATTGTCGATAGCATTTGCCAGTACCAGCGTGGCGAGCTTAGTTGGCACCTTGATCATGCTTTTCAAGTGAGCCATCCTACGTATCTAAATGCCGGCAGTGTTGATTGATAATCACCACAGCCTCCTCTTCACAGGCCTCCTGATCAACAGGGACACTGTCACACCCGCTTTGCAGTGGTTGCATACCGTCTCATTCTTCCACGCTGCTTTCGAGGCGCTTGCCGTGAATGAACTGAGATATCTACAATTGAAGGAGATTAAGGTAATGTCGGTGACCAATTTTTTTTGTCGTCTAACGTGTTCGCTTCAGTACGGTGTTGAATTGGACGTTCCTGCGGCCACCATTCTTTCGATATTTGGTCTTAGAGCTCAGGTGGGTGATAGATGCTTACACTGTCGTACATTGTGTGCTGATGTTCTGATCCGGTAGTCATTTTGGTGGCCGAATATATCCCTGCTTGGTATCTTCTTCGTGGTATTTACGACTGCGAGCTTCCTCATGCTGCATTTCTTCGTAAAGGAAAGACGGTAAACGTCCTTTCTTGTATGCACGTTCGTGAAAGACGATATAATAAGATATCTCTACTCATATCGTATTGTATGAATACTACAATAGCAATACATTTTTCAGCGTCCCAGGACAAAGAGGCTTGTGTGACGAGTTTGGTGTGTCACCTGCCTTGGTATCCGTGTTCATAGATGATTTTGATCAGTCCACCCAAGCTCCATGTAGGTGGTTCCTTGAGGAGCAATTAAAATTTTTGACCTGTAGACGCGACTAGGCCATTGTTGCCGACGTTCCTTGAGCGAACTGTATGACGGTGAGTCACGATTCATACTAGATGGTCCCGTGGGCGGGAGATCAGTACGTATCTCGATTCTTTTTTTGTAACAATGGCTCATTATCCCCCGTGCACATAAATAGCGCTATCCAGGCCTTGTGCTCCTGAGGACATCGGTCACGATTTATCCGGACAAATCACGGAAAAACCACTCTTGCCTACCTGGGCCAGCTGCATGCAGTCAGGTTGATAGCGCAATTGAAATCTTCAATCCACGACGTGTGTATTTTAGACGAACGCCGTCAACCACTGGGAACGAATGCATATGCCGCTGAGATTGAGCACCTCACATTGGGGTGTACTAATCGGCGGTGGAAAACGTTCATACTAGCTGCTGAATGGTAGCGAATTAGGACCTATTATGACCGCTCCAGACGTCGTTCCTTGTGTCCCCGGTACAGCCCCCCTTCTGATCGATTTGGTTAAGGTCCAGGAAGTCCTGCCACGACCCTGGCAATACTAGAGTGGTGATTGGAATTCCGAGCTGATTGATAGGAGGATGGAGTGCTAGCAAGTTGATCAACCTGACTTGGACGGTAACTAAGTTAGTTATAAGTGCGTGCTAAGACACACCACCGCAAAGATCCGGCTGTGTATTGTTACTTAATAGTAACACTACTTGGTACAATGCTGCTGCTAGCAGGCGGGTACGTACGAGCAAAGCGATCGCTTAGATGATTCGCGTGTAGTTCATATCGGCGGTTCCAGGCCCAGCCGATAAGTACGACCCTGAGTGGGATTAATACATTGACCTATATGGGGCACCTACTAGTAGCACTGGGCAGTAATCTGCAGTAATGCGGAAATCAAGAGCTGCCAGTGTCAATAACAAACCCCCGCGAAAGCGACGCGTTTAATTTTACGTCCCGCGTTATGTTGTTTTCCCTTGAGTTTACTAGATCATTGGAGTTTAGTGAAGGAGGATATCAATTTGGCATGAGGAGCACGCGTAATGGCTGAACCGTGCTCAGACAGGTATCTTTGCCTATCTTTGCTCATGTGAGCGTAGATTTGGCCTAGATGGCCAAATATGTCAGGATCCGAGCTCAGCTTCAACAAGTATAAAGATGAAGACCGATAAGAGTCGCAAGACGCTCCCGCGAATCACTCTCACACTTCTGCCACTGCTTCGCCGCACCGCGTGTGGTATCTTCTGCTGTCAAATCAAAGGTAAGAAGGGATTGACCGACATCATGATGTAACTCACGCCAATGTCACTTGTCTATCACACGTCTAGCAGTGACTTTATTACCTTAACTTACCTCTTCAGTATAACAATGGGTCACGAAGAACCATCCGTCCTCGTCGATATGTGTTATGCAGTCAAATGTGACAAATGCGGCAAAACTACCTGGAATGTAAGTAATTGTCTCCTTGACGATGTTGTGTAATCCATTGTATCCCGGTTGGAGGCGGCAGCGCATGCACGCACGATGTACCGATGTGCATGGTGATTGGCTGACAGAGAGAGGGTTTACGATGCTTCCGCGGACGCTGCCAAGGGCGGAAGTATCATGGGATTAAGAGAACGCTGGCCCGACCCGCGAACTTTGTCTATTTACACATACCCTCTCTTTCAATGATAGGCTGAAATCTAACTGACGTGTCCCTTCAAACAGGGGTGCGGACGTCATGTCGAACAGGTGAGAGGCTGTTCTTAACTGTATAGACTGCATCGGTGTAAAGTTCGGGCGTTGGATATTGTGATCTGTAGAAGAGGGTCATTTCCACGTTATCGTTTGATGTGGTCCCTTTCGAAGACGCCCTCCTCGCATCTCTGCTTGAACTTGGAGTGCAGGGAGGGTCGAATTTGAAACTTCTGCTACTCGTGGCACCCTGTACTGACATATTTTTATTGTACAGGTTATGAAAGACGTCAAAGAGGAAAATAAATGTGTTTGTCCTCGTTGAAGACACGATAAGCGGTCGGCAAAAAGACGCTAGCCATCGAGGGCTGTGCCTTGATGGCAGGGCTGTGGAGTGCTGCATTAATGTAATTGAAACGTTCACCATCCAAATTTGTGATAGACGTATTCCGTGAAATCTGTAATCTGTGAAGGCTGTTGCATTACGGAGTGTCCGGGGTCAGCCGCATCTCAAATTGGTCGTTATACGCTGCTTTAGATTGCAGTTTCTTTGAAGCGTCGCTGTTTGATCTCCTTTCCCTTTCCTCCTCTTCCAGGGTCTTCCAGTCTATTCAACAATTATTTCCCTTCCATTGATTCGCAGTTTATTTCCTTGCAAAGGACTTCATGAGTCCTCAAACAACATGTCTTCCGACATAGACTCAGCAAGCAGTGCGCATGCTGCAGGGGACCCCTCAGGACTCCCATTCGACCCGCCTGGCAGCGTTCGGATGACAGCTGAACTACACTACAGATATAGTGATGACCGCAGACCTATAGTGAACCAGTATCTGCGCGGTCACCGAGTCGGAAAGGGTCAGCATGGCGAAGTATGGGTGTGTTGGGACTTGTCGTCGAATAATCGTCGTGAGCTGGTCAGTCGTCAATCCTTTGCCCATATCTTTTAAACGATCTTGTTAACACCGCGTCTATCAGGCCATAAAGGCTGTCAAACGTAATAACCCACGCGCTGAGAAGATGAACATGCTCCGCAGGCGAAACATCCCTGCGTCCTCTCACACACCACTCACAGAAAAACTCGGAAGCCTTGAGCATAAAATACGGAAAGAAATAGCGATAATGAAAAAATGTCGTCATGGGCATGTAGTTCGCTTGTTGGAAGTTATCGACGACAAGCTGAATGATCGGATATACATGGGTAAGCATTCAGTCTCGCTATTTTCCGTGTAGTCGGAGAATCGTGCTGCCTATCTACTTCCTGACTACAGGCCATGGGTGAGTGTCTCAGCTGAGAAATTATGACCTTGTGGCTGCAGTCTAGGAAACAGTATGATAGGAAGGTTTATTTGTGTTAGGAAGTCATGTGCTCACAGCCTCACTTCTAGTCATGGAGTATCTAAGCGGCGGAGAAATCAAATGGCGCAACGAGCAGAATGAGCCTGTGCTGCAGGTGGACCAATGTCGACGAATTTGCCGTGATGTTATCCTTGGCCTCGAATATCGTAAGTTTAATAACATCCTCATTACCACTGGCTAATCTGGACACTCCCTTGCCTTCTCAACACGCAGTTCATTACCAGGGAATTATTCACCGTGACATAAAGCCCGCTAACCTTCTCTGGACTGCGGATCGCCAAATGGTCAAGATCAGCGATTTTGGGGTCTCGCATTTCTCATATGCGCAGCGCCTTGCGGCTGCAGGGCGTGGAAATGCTCTAGATGACGCTAACGACCCAATTTTGCTGGATGATTCGGACCTTTCCAAGCGCGCTGGAACCCCGCCGTTTCTTGCCCCTGAAGTCATCGCTGAGTATAATGGCGATCCTTCACCATCCATATCAGCTTCTGCTACCTCAACCACGCTGCCGTCCTTGAGGTCCGCACCACATATAGGTTCCTCTTCTACTGTCCGCCCGAACACATCCCAGCGACTGCAGATCACGAAGGCCATTGATGTGTGGGCTCTTGGTGTCACACTGTACTGCCTTCTTTTCGGTAAAATTCCATTCAGACCCCCAGATTCGAGCGAATACATGCTCTACAATATCATATGCAAAAATGACTGGGAGCCAGAAGACACCATGGGTTATGATCGTCTTCCAACTGGCGGGCGGAAACCTAAGGATAAAAAGTCTGAGGGATTTGTTGTCATGAATCTTCTCGACAAGCTGCTCGAAAAAGATCCCAACAAACGCATGACTCTCGATCAAGCAAAGGTTCGTCAATTTTCATTCTGCGCGTATTTGCCCCCATATCTCCCATTTTACGTGTAGCGGTACGTGTGGTTCCTGCGGGATATTCCACATCACCAAGAATGGCTTCGCCAAACATCACCCTCCAGGATTGACATGGTGGAGGTTTCGGAGTCTGACACCCGCACTGCGATGACCACCGTCCGCTTCAGCTGGGGCTGGCCAAAGCGCCTCACACGTCGCCTATCCTCATTATTCAAGGGCGTTCGTCCTTCGCGTGCCACGTCATCACGTCCTGATGAAGACGACTTTGGTGTGTGTTCCTCGCCTACCATTGCGGTAGAGCGGCACAAAAGCGTTAGTGCGCGAATGTCAAGTTCAGAATTCGACGAGGAGGGGAAGCGCCGTGGTATTGCACGCTCTGTCATTGTGCGTAACGACTCAACGCCAAACATGGGAAGGAGAGAAGAATCAATCGAGAGGTGGGCGCGGAATGCATCCATGAGCAGGGCGCGTGACTCCAGTCGCCCTCCTTCACGACAGAGAGAATCCAAGACCCTTCTTCCACTTGATCAGAGCCAACCTGGTACATCATACTCTCCAGGCTCTACCAGCCATGGTAGAGACAACGCCAATACTCCCCTTCGAGATGATGCGATGTTCTTGGGCGCTGGTGGCGTGTGCAATGACCCGAGCAGCCTCATTTCGTCAAACTTGCCTTTAGGCCTCAATCAATCAATTTGTCACTCTCCCGCTGTATTACGACACCCACAACCTGAACGCATCCACATCGCTCCCCCGACTTCAGTTGTTCCTGAACCGTCCTTGCACGACTCTGGGCACAGCCGGCATCTCACTGTTCGGTCTGCTACTCAAAGCCCCAGTCCCTTACAGCAAGTCGCATACGAATCGGAATCCAGCACGACGAGCGAGGACGACTACGACGACCTCGACGACGACTCTAGTTTCTTTCGCGATACTCACAGAGATCGCCAAGCGGAATCGGAGGCTTTACAGGCTAGCACCAGCCTCATGTACGGGGGGGTAGATGAGGATGAGAGCGACGAGGAGACGGTTCCTATTGAAGTAAAGCGGCGGCGTCCATCTGTTTCCGTCACGGCTGCTTCCCCCGTACCTGTTTCTGACTTCTCAGATGACGCCCACTGAAGTCGAGGCAAGCAATTTTCTGTACAGCACTTTCAACACATTATGATATCTCTCGGACTGTCACCTAGACGACTCCTCATCCTCCCTCTGCACCATACCGGCGGACGGCCGCTTGCAGTTTCCACTCATTCCTGACTTAAACTCACATCCAATTTTTCTTCTAGACCTATGTATTTCCACTGCATCTGTGATTTTATACTCTTTTTTGCTTCCCTTCCAAGAGGCAACATAGATTTAGGTAGCTTGCTAAATGTTACTGGCGGCAAGGAAACCACAAAATCTACCCGGTGTTCTTACACATGATAAGCCATGCCCCACGACTCATTTAAAAATATCTGACTAAGTATGTACGTATTGGCGCTCGTAATTATCGTCCTACTCGTTCCCATCATCTTTTCTGAAGCCCCAATATTAATAAGAATCAAACTATAGCTTCCCGCGTCGTGACAGCCCTTGTTAGACATTTATGTAACTTACAATGGATCAGCAGGTGCGAGTAAGTAATATCCGGGATGTGACTCGATCGGTACCTTTCTGGCAACGTTGCTGTACATCATCAAAATCCGGTGCTCATCAAGGTTTCACTGTTATCTTGATTATAAAAAGGTTGGCTTTGTGTACCGTCATGTCTACCCTCACTGTGACGTGAGCTTTATCTCTCCAGGACGATCGATTGAACATTAAACTTTCTCAAGATGGTCGCACACTCCGATGGAATTATTGTCTCAGCTTCTGCTGTCACCACTCCTGTTGAAACCAACGGGCACGCTGTCGAGAAGGTCGTCAAATCTCTTCCAGTAGACTTCTACACAGAGTTTTTATCTGACGCCGCCAAAATACGGAAGCCCAGTCCTAGTTCGTTTCTAATCTTGTGAGTCATCGACAGTAGTATTTTAATGGTACCACTTCAGTTCGCGGGCTGTTCCCATTGGAAAACAAGCCAGGTGTGATATCACTTCTAGCGGGAAAACCCAACGATGCTATGTTCCCCTTCAAATCATTATCTTTCAATATTACCTCCCCTACGGACCCATCGCAGGAACAGTCGATCTCGCTATCCGGAAAGGATCTTTCGGCTGGCTTGCAATACGGCCCCACTGGCGGTCTTCCTCGTCTCCTGAAGTGGTTCATAGGATTGCAAACGCTCTCTCATGGCCGCAAATCAGGCGAGGGATGGAGTTTATCCATGGGCAGTGGTTCGCAGGACTTGATTTATAAGGTTAAGAGCTTTTTAAAAATAATTGATGGTTCTCATGTTTCCGCAGGCAGTCAACGCTTTAGTGAACCCTGGAGATGCTGTTCTTGTGGAGTCTCCGGTGTATGCGTGAGTTAAAAATAGTCTGAAGGGAGCCGGCATTTGCTGAGTCCTGACTACTATCTATTCAGCGGTGTCATCCCAATGTTTAAAAGTCTGCACTGCGAGCAGATCGGTCGGTCATGTTTTGGTTTTAATCTTCTCATGCTCAGTAAATTTTAGAGATAGAAACAGATGCGAATGGGGTGTGCTCTCATTCGCTGCGCGATATTTTGGAGAATTGGCCTATCGGAAAGCCGAAGCCGAAGGTATTTTATACGGTGCCCGTAAGTTATATTTGTTCAATCTGTGGACGGAAATAACCATATTGCAGTACGGCTGCAACCCCACCGGTATGACAGCAACTGTTGAGCGTCGCAAAGAAGTATTGCAACTTGCACGCGAACACAACTTCTTGATTCTCGAAGGTGTGCCACATTTCTTGTTTTTGGTGCAGTAGATTGAATCGTCCTTTTATCCACAGATGATCCCTACTTCTACCTGTACTTTGGAAAAGCCGCTCGGCCGCCGTCGTACTTCCAGCTGGAACTTGACGAGCCTGTGGTCGGCCGAGTTATCCGGTTCGACAGCTTCTCCAAGATTCTTTCCGCAGGCATACGCATGGGCTTTGCATCAGGCCCGAAGCCTATTATTGATGCTATAGACTTGCATGTACGTACAAGATATGCTTGCATGTGCTGTGTACCTTACATTCAATCAGACTGCATCGGCCAATCTGCAATCCTCATCACTCATTCAGGCGATCACCCTCGCACTGGTTGAGGAATGGGGTTACGCCAATTTCTTCGCCCATACGCAGGCCGTTGCCGAGTTCTACCGCAAGAAACGCGACGTGTTCGAGTCTGCTCTTAATGCGCACCTCAGTGGGCTTGCAGAATGGTGCACCCCTGAAGCGGGCATGTTTTTCTGGTCTGTGCCTCTGTTTGACGCTGATCGAGATGCTATGTTAAAAATGACATTACAATAGGTTCAAGCTGCTTCTCTCACCAAATCATACACCTGGCGTAGATGAGGGTGACTCAGAAGACCTTATACGAACCAAGGCATATGAGAACGGTGTGCTCGCACTCCCTGGCACGGTCTTCCTTCCCAACGGACGTAAGACATCATTTGTGAGGGCCTCGTTCTCTTTGTGTACGGAAGAACAAGTGAATGAAGCGCTGAAACGCCTCAGAGATGTATTATTGAAGGAGAGAGGACAAGCGTAGAGAGGTTGGACGTAATACCAGAAACGTAGATGCTTGCATTTTGTCAAAGCTATTTGGTAGAGCCACCGGTCAACGCTGTCAACTGAAGCTCTTTGTGCTTTGTCAGTCACGTGGTGTTGTTCATTTGTTGACGACCGAATTTGGCAAGTGTTGTGGACGATCAAAGTCATGTTTGGTTACTGTGGCAGCCAAAGCATGCTTGAGCGATTTCATTGAAGTAGTGGAAAGTAAGTGCATTGTACAAACCCATATTTCCCTTTTCTCATCATCTACTTATCATGGTACGTGTTTTCTGTGCAAAGAAGTTCATTTCTGACCCCGAAACCTGCTTCCAGTCGAACTTCGAGCGTAGCAGGCAATCAGTATCAGACATCGAACAAGAACTCTACGACATATTTAACAGACACCCAGATTCGCGTACAGTCCAATCAGGAGAACCAGCCATACCCTCAGACGCACTCCCAGATGTACTCAGTGCATTTTCAGACTCGTATAATGGCGTCGACCTGCTCAACGATCGCGAGATGGACGGGCTCAAGGAAATCCTCGCGAGCAGTCCCGGAATTGAAGTTACACCTCAAATTCTGCTTCAACTCGTCGCAGAGAGGGCCAGGCACAGTCCACGAGACAGCCCAAATGATTCGCCATTGGAAGAGGATGTAACGCTGCCTGATGATCGGGGGCGCAATCCTTTTTCTCCCAATACCAACCACTCGCGATCACGTAGCAGAGGCTCGGTAGGAACTTCACGCGTCACAAGTCGGCCACCGTCTGTGCCGCCCAAGACGCCTAATACGGGAATTAGCTCTGCCTTTGATACGTCGCGACGACAGCGAACAACCCCGTTGGACGTACAGCCCCCTTCAAGCTGGTCAAAGCGTCCTGTGCCTGCCAGCAGACGCAAAAGCATTGATGGCGGATCTCAGCCTGCTCTTAGTGACTCAGAAGTGCGCAACTCCTTCTACGTATATTCACCTGTTGAACTTAACTGTAATTAGTCGTCTTTCTCCTCCAGTCCCAGTGTGTTCGGTCGAACGCGCACGCCGTCAAATCCAACGAGTCCTTCGAGCATTTCTATAGGACTATTCTCCCCTAACTCGACGGGCTCTTCGCCTTTCGCGCGGCCGCACTCCCGTACACAGTCGCAGCCCTTCACTAGCATTGGGATCCACTACTTGTCTCCAGACAGGGATCACCTCTCTTCGGGAGAGCATTCACCTGACATGGACTCTTCCTTTGATTACCCACAGAAAGGCGACAGCTTTGCGCGCCAACTTTCCTCGTTGCCCATGCCACGCTCAGCATCTGACTCAGACTCTGATGGCGAGCACGGGTCGTCCTTAGGCTTAGTTACGGAACGGTCAGCAACGTCGTCAACTGTGTCTCTTGAACACACAGAGCGGCTGGAGGCATTGCAGAAGGCCAACGCAGAGCTTGGGCGGAAGCTGATTGAGGCTGAGAGGACACTTGAGAACAGGCTGAATGAGCACGACATGGACTTGGATGAGATGCAGGGGCGCTTGGAAGAACTCAAGAGTGAACTCACCTCTACCAAGCGGGAGGAGAAGGAGCTCCGAACAAAGGAGGTACGTAATGCATGAAGTGCGTGGACAATGTCTGATGGATGTCATTTAGCGAACCAACTCAACCCAAATTGCAGCACTGGAGTCTGAAATCGCAAAGTTGGAGAAAAGTTTGGAGAACGCGCGTTCGTCTTACCAAAGCTTACAGAAACAATACCAAGAGCAATGCGGTAGGTTCACTCCATGATCTCAAAAAAGTGTGGCTCACATCATCGTAGCGGAATCTGAACGCTATCGCAACCAGCTCCGCCGTCGAGACCAAGAAATCAAAGACTACCAAGATGCTGCCGCGCTCCAGTCACTCGAAGCTGTGAAGTGGGCTAAAGAAGCGTCATCCTATGAAGATCGCCTCGCACATCTTGAAGAGGAGCTAGCCATTGCGCAACAAGCCCATGCCCAGCTCGATGAGCAGAAGCAAGAAAACCTCATGCTCAAGGAAACGATCGACCGTATGCGATTTGATATGGACGAGATGCGCAGTGCTGCAACAAACGCTGCTGCAGGAAGCGGACACTCTAGTGCGGCGAATACTATGAGCAAGAGTCTGGGTGCTGAGCTCATGGGAAAGTTGGGCGAAAGTTGGGGTGGCGAGGATGATGGACTTGAGGATGAGGGAGATAGTGATGAATTAGAGCTGGATATGAATGAGGATACAGAGGGTGAGGAGGAGGACGTTATTCAAACCATCATAACTCGGAAGAAGAGGGTAAGTAATCTTCACAATTGCGCCTCACATCTGACACCCCAAACAGAAAGTTGGCCGTATTAACAAAGCCGAGATCGTCACTTTCTCAGAAACCAAGAAGTACATTGATACATTCACGCAACATGACGCTGCGGAGCATACAACAACGTGTGCAGTGCAGACGCATCCAGAGCCAAAGGTTCTTACTTCCTCGTCCTCCATTCAAACGGAAGAAGTCCCCCGTGATATGATTGCAGTCCAAACCGATCCAGAATTGCCACGGATCACATCAAGCATCGAGATCCAAACAGATGAGCCAGAATTGGAAATTTCTCGGTCGGTCTCACCCCAGGTCACCCCAGAAGACGACGAGGCACTCGCTTCTTCATCGTCGACTGTCCTCCCTCCCACGCCCAAGGGGCACCTGGACGCTCCTCACCTGAACGATGCACCTCCTTCCTACAACTTCGTGACCGAGCTCGAGCAAGTCAACAATGCATTAATAGAACGGCACAAAGGTATTACCATACCAATACGTGGTGTTCCTGGAGGAATCTCAGCAGACGCCGTCGAGGAGTGGAAAGCGCTGAAGGAGGAACTTGGCGTGGAATGCGAGATGATAGATGAGCTAATCGCCTGCTCGACGACTAAGCGTCAGCCGCGCCGCCAGAACCGTTTCTACAAAATCTACAATACCTATGTCATCGGCAAGGGCGGAAACGAAGGGGGTGAGGAGGGCGACGCTTGGCTTGCTGGAGCTGCTCGGCAGGCACTCATCAGTGCTGGGGCTATGGCGCTCGTATTTCTCTGCATGACTTCGCGTCTGCCAGCTATCGGGGCGCAATATTCAGCTGTTGGTGGCCCAACAATATACGACCGCGCTGCCTGGTCGAGTTTTAACAGCATGCAAGGACCCGGCGAAGGCTTCGGTTATGATGGCACTTCTGCTGTATGGAATATTATGGGGCGTGTTGGTTTTGGTGCTGCTAGGATCGCAGGTGGCTGGCCGACATAATTTTATGATGGGCGAACCCCATTCAGTCCAAAATTATGTATATCTCCATAATTCTTATCGCATCATCTATTTTCTTGCCACGTTGAACTGCACCACTCTCTTACCCCTCAGCATTCCTCTTGCACAAGCACTCTTGCCTCGTATATGTCACTCCTTCGTTTCTAAAATATTATCATTGTATTGTATTATACAATATAACAACTTTGGAAGAACGCGTATGCCTAGCTTATAGACAAGGCTGTCGTGTCAATGGTAAGCCAATTGAAATAGATCGACCGGTTGTCACTTCTGCTTCCGTTGCACATCATGCTTCACGAAACCCACATGTTGAAATTTTTAGGGCACGACTGCTGATGGACTTTTACTCCGAAGAACCTACCGAAGTACATCGATATTAACATTGATCTCATTAATTTTTATGGTTCCTAACTACACTCGGCTGCCGCGTTCTCGCTTCTCTTACTCTCCCGATTCTCGTATCTCAGTCCCTGCAGCCGCTGAGAAACTATTTTAGTGTGCATGCTTTCCATTACTTCCCACACACTGGCACAGGTTGCATCACTTGCGCAATGCGCTTGCATCCCTTAGCTCCTTATCTCATCCCACCTCTCAAAATATGAGGCACTTCAATGTCGTCGTCCTAGGAGGTATGTTATTCGTTCATCTGTGACTACTGCTTGTTTCATATGTCGTAGCCGGAGGAGTAGGGAAGTCTGCGTTGACGGTGCGATTTGTTCAAGATGTCTTCCTGGAGAACTATGACCCCACTATCGAAGGTGCATCTTCAGTGATAATCCGTTTCAATGTGATGTGAGGGGGCTTACTACATCGTCTTTGCAGAAGCTTATCGGCGCATCCTCGATATTGATGGTGTAAAGACTTCGGTAAGATCCCGTGTGTTCCTACTTCCCCCACCCTGTTGTTAAAGTCATTTCTGACTATCTGTCTCCTTGCAGCTAGATGTATTGGATACTGCTGGTGCTGAGCAATTCACTTCTCTGAAAGAACTTTATATCAAAGTAAATATTGATGATTTTGGGATATATGGCATCACACTCACACCAGTTCCCTACAGTCTGGCCAAGGATTCGTGTTAGTCTTCAGGTAAGCATCACAAGAAATGGCTGTATTTATTTTTGACCTACTGATGTCACTGCAGCCTCACACAAGAAGCAAGTCTTAGGGAGCTGGACAATCTTCGACAGCAGATACACCGAGTGAAGGGAATGGACAGCGTAAGTTCCATTGATTATTACCGAATACAGCGACTACCATTATACGTAGGATGTTCCTATCGTTGTTGTTGGGACAAAACTCGACCTCGTCACGGAACGAGAAGTGGCAAGAAGCACGATACAATGCCTGGTTGCGCTTTGGAAGATACCATTTTACGAAACATCAGCCAAGCGCGATTGGCACATTAACGATGTCTTCCAAGAACTTGTCAAGCAGATGCTTATGCACTACCCAGATGAACCACCCCTCAAGAAGGCTTCACGTCGGTTACACCGCAAGCCTCGGGCCTGCATCGTGATGTGATGGATGCAGAATATGTGACGCTACTCACAACTTCTTTATTTATTATGCCCATCGAAGTTACTACAGGTCTGAACTTCGACTATGATTATTTTCATGCCGTTTATGCACATCATTTCACATATATACCCAGCACAGATTTATGTATTGCCCTGGTATCTTGTGTACTTAGTTATGTTAGAATTTTGAGAAGAACATCACGTAAGCATATTGTTGTTTATTTACTCCAAATCAAACGCATTTTTTCCAGCTCTTTGTTCCTTGCTCTTTAACCACCACGCTTTCGGATCCCTGCAACATCCTTGTTTTCTAATTCTCTGGTTCTTGCTATAGACAACATTATGGTAGAACTTCTCACTGGAGAAAGTATGCATTTCGCTGATGTCTTTGTCCAGAGTCACGGTAATTATGGCGGTTATGGTGGAGGCGGCGGCGGCGGCGGCTACGGTGGTGGCGGCGGCGGCGGATGGGGCGGTGGTGGCGGCTATGAAGACAAAATGGGAGGCTTGGGCGGTGGCCTGAGAACGATTGATTGGGGGTCGCAAAAGCTCGAGCGTTTTGAGAAGAATTTCTACGTCGAGGACAAGCGTGTTTCAGCTATGACTGACAGAGAGGTGGAAGACTTCCGGAAGACCAAAGAAATAAAGGTATGTGAGAATTTGTGGCAAGCCAACAGTCGCTGATGGTTTCCTGAAGGTTCAAGGACGAGGTGTTCCCAGACCTGTCACATCTTTTGACGAGGCAGGGTTTCCTGAATATATTTTGGCGTCAATTCGTGCACAAGGCTTTGCCGCGCCAACTCCCATTCAATGTCAAGCATGGCCTATGGCACTGAGTGGCAGAGATGTGGTTGCGATCGCTCAAACAGGGAGTGGGAAAACGATTTCCTTTGCTCTGCCTGCCATGCTTCACATCAATGCGTATGTATCTATCTCACTTTCTGATTCTTTACTCACCGGGAATTAGTCAACCTTTACTTGCGCCAGGCGATGGTCCGATCGCACTTGTCCTTGCGCCCACCCGTGAGCTTGCTGTACAAATTCAGCAGGAGTGCACGAAGTTTGGGTATGTTTGTCACCTCACTGTGTTGGCTTTTGCTGATGTATATAGGTCGAGCTCTCGCATCCGTAACACTGCCATTTACGGTGGCGCTCCAAAAGGTCCTCAAATTCGTGACCTGCAACGTGGCGTTGAGGTTGTGATCGCCACTCCTGGACGGCTCATTGATATGCTGGAGACATCAAAGACCAATCTTCGTCGCGTCACATATTTAGTCATGGATGAGGCCGATCGCATGTTGGACATGGGTTTTGAGCCCCAGATACGCAAGATTGTATCTCAGATTCGCCCTGATCGTCAGACACTGATGTTTAGTGCTACGTGGCCGAAGGATGTGCAGAAACTCGCAAATGTAAACATTCAATATTTTGTGGTTGCATGATTAATCTCAATATTTACAGGACTTTTTAAAAGACATGATTCAGGTCAACATTGGGTCTATGGAACTCACTGCCAACCACAACATTCAGCAGATTGTCGAAGTCTGCAGCGACTTCGAGAAGCGTGCTAAGCTGATCAGGCATCTTGATCAGATCAGCTCTGAGAACGCTAAGGTACTTATATTTGTCGGGACGAAACGCGTCGCGGACGACATCACCAAATACCTTCGCCAAGACGGCTGGCCAGCTCTCGCCATTCATGGCGACAAAGAACAGTAGGTTTTATCTGTCACTCCCTCGATGTCTATTCAAAATTCCCACAGGCGGGAACGTGATTGGGTTCTAGGGGAATTCAAGGCGGGTCGCTCACCCATATTGATTGCCACGGACGTTGCGTCCCGTGGTTTAGGTACGTGTGCCATTTCTTGCAAGCGCTCCATCAGGGACTCCTACAAATGGGAGGGCTTTCCGAGCACTCAGGTTAAAGTAGCAATGACCCGTTTTTGTATCTGGGTAGTGTTTGCTCGTGACTCTGGTGTTCACTAACGCGTGTAGCAAGACGGGATGAGTCATGTTTACACTGCTCTTCCTCCGTGCTTACAGCCAGGCTTGAGGGATAAATTTCTTCTCGAGCGAGACGTGCTATAGCAGAACCGCGTGATCACGAGAGGATTTCAAGTCGTCAAGGTTCCATCCGCCAAAGCATCCTGTGTCCTCCCGTCAGTGAGGGTCAAAGGGATTCAAAGTGCTATGGTCCCGGATGTGGAGCCCTCGTCACGGACTTCCTGGCTATATCTCCTCTCGATATGTCCGCTGCTTCGCGCTTGGTACCTGTCTTCCTGGATCGCGATGCCCTTTGTTCATGCTACACGTCCCCCGATCTTGTGACGTGCCATGAATGATGTTTGTATGAAGTCGTCCAATCTTTGTTCCTTGTTGTGTTGGACGCGCTTGTGTCTCTTTATTATTGTCATGTTATTGATTGTGCAATGTGCTATATGTTGTCTGTTCCTATGTTATTCTCTTGTTCTGTACGTGACGCGGTTGCATTGCATTACTGGCATCACAGATGTCAAGGATGTCGGATATGTAATTGTGAGTGTTGTAGTGGTCCATTGCTACTGAGCAGCTGTTAACTTCCCTCTAGAACTACGACTTCCCAAACAACTGTGAAGATTATATCCATCGTATTGGCCGTACGGGAGTAAGTTGTTCTCACTCAGCCCACTAATTCTTGGCCTGACTTTTCTTAGCGTGCCGGCATGAAAGGTACCTCATACACGTACTTCACTACCGATAACTCGAAGTCTGCTCGCGAGTTGATATCCATCTTGCGTGAGGCGAAGGCCGATGTACCACAACAACTAGAAGAAATGGCCATGTACAGTGGAGGAGGGGGAGGTCGCAGTAAGTCTTTATCATGTCCATATGTTTCGTATGCTCATTTGGCCATCCAGGTCGTTATGGCGGCGGAGGCCGCGGTCGCGGTGGAGGCGGCAGATATGGTGGCGGCGGTGGAGGCGGCGGCGGCGGTCATGGCGAATATGGCGGTGGCAGAGATCGGTGGTAGGCTTGACGACTTCTTGGTCTGGATACATAGACATCTCCCATATCCCTCTTAATCATGATTTTGTTACCATTTCTTCACCAAACACATTGAAAACAACGTGTTCGCTTTTGGTTACGTCTCATCTAAGAACTCAAACTCAACGGGACGCCGCTTGTCGATCAGTTCGTATAAGTTGGGAGGGGATGCGAATTCACTCATCAACACTTCAGCTTCCCTCATGCTATAAACATGAGGCCCGAGGCCTTGAAGCTTGAGGGTCTGAGTGATTCAGAATCACGATTGCGGCAGGCTTTTGTTACGTAATATGTTAATCAAGAATTAGCTTGTTTGAGTCATTCTGATTATAGGTGGATGTTTATAGCAAGGCATCGATACCTAGTCATTCAGAAAGTCAGAGACCTTTCTTTTCGTTCAATACACCCATCACATTCTATTCGACCTTTAGCGATGGCAACAACTCCGAACGATCCTGGCTTGGTCACCCCCGAGTCTGATGGTCCTTCGAAAAGTGCAGGTAAGTAGACCTTTGTTACTCTGATAGTTTGACAATCTGATCGGCTGTCGTGTCTAGCTAAAAAGGAGGCCAAGAGGCTAGAGAAAGAGGCGAAGCTTGCTGCTAAACATCTCAAGCAAGCCACTAACACTCCTGCTGGCGAAAAGAAGGCAAAGGCGGACAAAGAGAAGAAGGAGCAGGAGCCTGCATTTGTAAACACCACTCCCAAGGGCGAGAAAAAAGGTGCGTTTTTCTTCACACTTTTTCTTTCTTTCTTGACACTGTATAGATATGTCTCAACCGATGGCAAGTGGGTATAATCCTATCGCAGTCGAGTCTGCTTGGTACGATTGGTGGGAGGCCCAAGGTTTCTTCAAGCCTCAGACCACGGAAAATGGGGATACTAAACCAGAGGGTGTCTTTGTGGTTCCGATGCCTCCACCAAACGTCACCGGAAGCCTGCATATCGGTCACGCACTGACTATCGCCATTCAGGATTGCTTGATACGCTGGTAAATATGAATCCGTATCTGATATGATCGTTATGCTCACAGTGACGATAGGAATCGAATGCTTGGAAAGACTACCCTCTTTGTCCCAGGTTTTGATCATGCTGGAATTTCGACACAATCCGTTGTTGAAAAACGGCTATACAAAGCGGAAGGCAAGACCCGACACGATCTCGGTCGAGAGGTGTTTTTGGGCAAGGTGATGGAGTGGAAAAATGAGTACGTGGTTGCTTTCTAATCGGAACATTATCTTACCTGGTGTTAGCTACCAAGCACGCATCACCGATCAATTGAGGAGACTTGGAGGAAGTTGTGACTGGGACCGTGTTGCCTTCACCATGAGTCCTGTGGGTGTAATTTTGAGTATCTCTTACATATCTAATCGACTGTTATCCAGGCGTTATCAAAAGCTGTTACTGAGACGTTTTGTCGGCTCCACGAGGATGGCATCATCTACCGCGCCAATCGACTTGTTAATTGGTGCGTTCAGTTGAACACTACCCTCTCAAACCTTGAGGTGAGTCAAAGAATCCATTCGTTGGCAACTGACACAAGTTGTGTTGCACAGGTGGACCAAAAACAACTCCTTGGCCGTACCTTACTTAACGTCCCAGGCTACGACCCGAAGGAAAAATTCGAATTTGGTGTCATTACCTCATTTGCATATCACATCGAAGGATCAGGTATGTTTTAATTGAAATTTATGCCGACGTTTTCTTATTTTCATCAATAGATGAGCGGATTATCGTCGCTACGACCCGCCCGGAAACAATGCTTGGTGATACAGCTATTGCAGTACATCAAGATGATGATCGATACAAGGTAACATTCATGATCGATATAAATCACAATCAATATTAAAATATGTTTGTAGCACCTTCATGGCAAGTTCGCCATTCATCCCTTCCTGAACAGGCGTCTTCCCATTATCTTTGATGAACATGTAGACAAAGAGTTTGGAACTGGTGCAGTGAAGATTACGCCGGCTCATGATCCGAATGATTATGAGGTTGGTGTCCGCCATGGACTTGATTTTATCAATATTTTGAATGATGATGGAACGTTCAACGACAATGCTGGAGAGCAATTCAAGGTGCGTCTGTGTGCGAAAACTACACCTTAATCTAAGCAACATGTATCATTCAGGGGATGAAACGCTTCCACGCTCGGCGTGAGGTCATAAAGAAGCTCACAGAATTGGGCCTGTTTGTCGAGACTAAGGACAATGCCATGCAGATCCCTATTTGCAGGTACGCGCCTGTGTCGATTCTAAGTCGATTGGTGACTGAAATCGAGGTGTTCTTACAGTAAATCAGGCGACATCATTGAGCCTGTCTTGAAGCCTCAATGGTGGGTAAATTGCCAACCTCTTGCTGCAGAAGCAATCAAGGTCGGTCACACTATATCACACTAGACTTTCTTTCAACGATCATTGCAGCGTACGAGGGCAGGCGAACTTTCGATTGGTCCCAAGCAGAGTGAAGCAGACTGGTATCGCTGGCTTGAAAACATACAGGACTGGTGTATCTCACGGCAATTATGGTGGGGTCACCGATGCCCAGCTTATTTCGTTCGAATTGAGGGAGAAGATATCGACGTGCGTATCTCAACGATCAGTCAAACGCTTGCGCACTTACTCTTGAATGCAGAGAAACGATGGAAAGAACTGGGTTGTAGGTCGGTCTGTGGAAGAAGCAACCGAGCGAGCGAAAATACTTGCAAATGGGAAGAATTTCACACTTGAGCAAGATGAAGATGTCCTCGATACTTGGTTCTCTTCTGGGCTGTGGCCCTTCTCAATCCTGGGATGGCCAGAAAAGGCACGGTGTTTCATACATAGTAAACTGACTGGTTTTAACCGTCTACCAACAGACTGTTGACTTCTCTCAGTATTACCCTGCTAGTATCCTAGAAACAGGCTGGGATATCCTTTTCTTCTGGGTGGCGCGTATGGTTCTCATGGGCATCTATCTTACCGGTCAGATGCCATTTTCTGAAGTACTCTGCCACGCGATGATTCGCGATGCTCATGGACGCAAAATGAGCAAGTCGCTCGGTAACGTCATTGACCCGATCGACGTCATCCACGGGCTGCCGCTTGAGCAACTCCACCAGAAATTGTATGAAGGTAATCTCGACGAGAAGGAGATTCTCAAGGCGATCGCTGGTCAGAAGAAGGATTTCCCGAAAGGCATTCCGGAATGTGGTACGGATGGGTTACGGTTCGCTCTCTGCGCATACTCAGGCGGCGGTAAAGTAATCATCACGGTGCGAACTACACATAACTGAATTTGCGTTTTAGGCAGGGATATCAACCTGGAAATCTTGCGAGTGGAGGGATACCGCAAGTTCTGCAACAAAATCTTCAATGCCACGAAGTTTGCAATGCTCAAACTCGATGACGGTTTTTCGCCAGAGACATCTGCAAAGGTATGCCGCTTGTATGATGAGTTCTTTGGTTTACATTGCTTCTGAAGCCAACCGGAAATGAAAGTCTTGTGGAACGCTGGATCCTACACAAGCTCAACATAGCTGCGACACAGATCAACGCGCAGCTTCAAGAACGCAATTTTATGGCTGCGACCACGTCAGCTCATAATTTCTGGTTATACGAGCTTTGCGACGTCTATATTGTGCGACTGCTTTGCATTTGAATTTGTATCGATCTCATTTTTGTTCACAGGAGGCGATGAAACCTTTGACCGACGCATCGGTCCCCCTCCAGACTCGTAGGTCAGCCCAACAGACATTGTATACTTGCCTGGATCACGGTCTGCGCCTACTCCATCCATTTATGCCCTTTGTTACCGAGGAGCTATGGCAACGACTGCCAAGGCGTCCGACAGACCCCACCCCATCCATCATGATCGCGTCTTACCCCATAAATGTGGGTGATCATCTGCCATTCAAACTTACTTTTACTGAATCGATGCAGGACCCTGACTTTATCAGTTCCGAAGAGGAAAAAGATTTTGATACAGTGCTATCTGCCGTGCGCGCAGCTAGGTCGCTTGCTGCATCTTACAACCTCCAGTCCAATATCCAACGTGAGTTATTATACTTTAACTGCAGTTAGTACTGACATGTTGCCAGTATTTGTTCATTCCCAGACGGGCAAGGAGATTGATTTGTTCCGCTTGCAGACGCAAGCTATGGTCACCTTGATCAAGGGATGCAGTGCTGTGAACGTCATTGAGGACGTGAAAGCCCTTCCCCCGGGGTGTGGGTCAGCCGTCATAAGTTCCACCATAACAGTCCACGTGTTAGTCAAGGTATGTGTGTAATAGCCTTGTGTTGTGAATAGACTCTAACTCGTTCTATTATAAGGGACTTGTTGACCTTGATGCCGAGATAGCCAAGTGTGACAAGAAACTCACGCTTGCGCGCCTCAATCTGGAAAAGATCATGAAGATCATCTCACAACCAGATTACGCTGAGACCGTGCCGTCTGTCGTGCAAATAACAAATGACGAGAAGGTGACGTTGCTTTCTTTTGACCGCCAAATCCAGAACATTGCTAAACTTTGATTCTTAACCACAACAGAGAAAAACATTCGAGACGGAATGCACAACTCTCGAGCAATCCAGAGAGATGTTCGCAAAGTTGGCTAACTCTTAGAGTACATGTTAGCGGGGTAGTAGTAATCTAGGTACAACAGCAGCATAAGGAACTAAAATACTATATTGAGCACCTATTGCAGGACAAATGAAACTGTTGGTTCTGAAAACTTCTCAGTAATGGGCACTCCCAGAGATTGGCTAATTTAATATTTGACATTCATCTTGGAGTCGACCACACATTTTCCACGTGGAGAGTTAGCCAATGGTTGCGCGGAAGTCAAAAAAGGCACAAACCTTAGCAATAAAGGACGGTGGTCTAGTCTAACCCACTTTCCATGGAAAGAATGTTTAGTGATACAATTTTGTATATATGCTGTTCACCGCAGTCTTTCGTACATCTTGAAGTCCTGTGACTTCCAGGGGAAAGGATCGCCATCAGTGGCATCTTCTCTAAATCTTGTGTCAGCGCCACACTCAGCATATAGGTCCGAGGTGCATACTCCTGAGGACCAAGGACACGCAGCCCTCGTATGTGGGTATCCTTTCCGCTCATGTGGTTCTGCACCACGATAACTTGCAGCA